TTGCCAAATTTCCATTTATAAAACACGAATTTCCTGGTAAACTTATGAATGTTTTTCTTCCAACTTTTCAGATAATGTTGTTTGCAATTTCACCTAAGTTCCTGAAAATTACAAGGAAAAATATTCATAACGTTGCACAAAAATGAACATTTTATCGAGGGGAATTTGGCAACTCTCGAATGTTCATACGGCGTTCCTCCTCAGCACGGCAGTATTGATCTGCGGGTCCAAACGAGAGGTCAACGAAAAAGACCGAAAACTCGAGCGTGTGTCAAAATCATACGAGGCAATCAAATTATAGGGGTTAAAACCGTATTTTGAGGGCGTATCACCAAAACAGCGACGAACGAAACCTCACACGATTGAATAGGTTTCATGCAGAGAGCCAAAGTATACTCGTTACTCAGGAACTCACTTCTCTTTAAGTATTTCAATTTGATTACATACACCAAGCGCCCTATTTTCGCGCAAGGACGACGTACGAACACAATGAGTGACAAGTTTCGTTATCAGAAGCGGTAAATATTGAAGGCGCTAGGGGTTTCTCAACGGCTAGGTCTGGACGCAACTATTCGTGCTCTTAGGATGTCCCAAGTTACATATCCTAAAAATTGCAGGCGTTATCAGAAGCGGTAAATATTGAAGGCGCTAGGGGTTTCTCAACGGCTAGGTCTGGACGCAACTATTCGTGTTCTCGGGATGTCCGTGTTGATTTTAGCGAGATCTGGCAACGGTGAGCGGCGACATCGTTCTCACGCGCGAGTCGCGCGCCGACTACGCACAGAGAATACAGACTGGCATGGCACTCGTCCAACCACGTTTTACCGGTTCGAGGGGAGAGATAAAAATCGATTATAGTTTGATCAAACCTGTTGGGTCAAAAACCAATATCACATGCGAAGCCCAAAATTCATGACGCTTTATGATCCCTCAAAAATCCCACGGTGGTAAATCCCCGTGAGCAACACAGCTACCGCTACTACGCCACATTGTATTCGTATTCACAGAATTGTAAACAACGCATCACGCAGTTGTAGAGATGTAAACAGTAGATTAAGCCCGCTGAATGGGTGCATTTATTTAGCTGTTTTATGGCTGCGTTCAAGTGATTACGTGATAACTGCGTCTCATTTGCGGATTTCTTTGTCGTCGTGCAGGGCCGACCTCGAGAGAAAGCAGCGAAAATGCTACACAAATTATCAGCAAAGGACTCTATAAAAATTTGGGGGTTTTCGTTACCGTATTTAACAGGATGCATACTGATAATACTTCTCATTGAATCAAAATCAGACGAGAGAATCAGGTAAGCTGTGAAATCTCTTGATTGGCCCAGAATTTTTAATTGAAAGAAGGAAAACTGAAAAAAAGCCTCGCCATTTACAGCCATAAATTCTGTCTGGAATATGGGAATCTTCAGGTAAAATAAAATAAACAAATTATTTTCTCCACTACCTACTACAGCGTTCATCAAAGTTTCAAAACCCTCATTTAATGTACCAATATAAGAACATGTAAGATCATGTAATTTATTCTCAGTTGAATATCGCAGATAAAAATTCCCCTTTGATTGAACGTGATACTAAATACCGACTCCGGAGTTCGTATAGTTGCTCGCATCGTTGCACTTGTTGAAAAGTGAGAAATTTCGCGAATTTCGTCTCCATGCCGCGTGAAGTACGTAATATTTCCGGCGGATTCCACACATCCTAAAAAATTACGCGCTTTTCAGCTCGGCATCACGGAAAATTCGCTTCATTTCCATCGATTTATTTAAAGAAAGAAGAAACTACGCGCTAATCACCGCAATGTCGCGGCGGATACGCGAAAGTTCAAGCAGTTTTGTAAAATTCCGGTATGTACGCATATATTCCGGCGAAAGATTACTATCAAACATGATTATACAATTATCACCTCAAAATCGCGGAAAATACGCGTGATTTTTCTATAAATGCGAGAGAAGCCAGTAGCATTCATTAACGTCCGTAGTTTGTTTGAGACAGGCGGAATCTTAAAATTCTCCTTCAATTGAGCGTGATACCAAACGCCTACTCCGAAGTTCGAATAGTTGCTCGCTTCGTGTCCACTTGCTAAAAAGTGAGAAATACCGCGAATTCCATCTAAATATCGCGAGAAGTATATGATACCTACTTCTAGTCCGACGGATTTCTTAAATCCTGAGCAAATACGCGCTTTACAGCCACGGAAAATTCGCCGTTTTTCCAGCGATTTTTTTCGAAGAAAAGTAAAACCACGCGCTAATCACAACAATGTCACAGTGAATACGCGAATGTTTCAGCGGTTTTGTCAAATCATTGAAAATTACGCATCATTCACCTCCATATCGCGGCATGGACGCAAATTTTCCTGGGAATGATTAATATCATACATTCAACAATTTTTATGTCAATGTCGCGGAAATGCGCGATTTCAAAATGGGCGCGACGGCGCGTGAGCATATTGTTCATAGATGTTCGTACACTGAGATCGGCGAAATCCTAAGATTCTCCTTCAACCGAGCGTGATACCACATACCTACTCCAGAGTTCGAATAGTTGCTCGCTTCGTTTTCGCTTGTTAAAAGGTGAGAGATTGCGCGACTTTCATCTCAATATCGCGTGAAGTACGCGATATTTTCGGCGGATTTCAAAAATCCTGAACAATTAAGCGCTTTTCAGCTCCGTATCACGGAAAATTCGCTGTTTTTCTATAGATTTTTTTACAAGAGGAGAGAAACTACGCGCTAATAACTACAATGCCACGGCAAATACGCGATTTTCAGTTCTGTCAAATTACTACAAATTATGCATTAAATCATTCGATCTTATTACATAAGAGTCGCTTTCACAGCGCTCAACGACGCCTAACCGCCACAATGCCATCGGCGGATCCAGCAAATTGGCAACATTGTCTTTTCTCCATTTCCTTAAGCCTATGGAAATGTATCGATTCTTGGAGGGGCCAGGTGCTCCGACAAGAATCGATTATTTAGTATATGTTTAAATGGAGGCAATCCGGTGTTGCCAAATTGCTGGATCCGCCTCTGCACAGTGCTCGGTCCTCCCAGAGCCGGAAAATTCGCTATTTTTCCATCGATTTTTTTCAAAATGTTCGGCAAATGACTGGTAAAAAGAAAACCTGAAGAAAATTCAAATGAAGTTAAAGGGAGACATTAGTCTCAAGTATTAAAATATGAAACTACCGGTTTCTAGAACAGATTCTGTGATTATTCCACGATTATCCCTGAAAAATTTCACTCCCTGATGAATCCCAGATTTCCCTGGTTTTCCACGGTCTAGACGGCGCACAGTGGATCGAGTCAATTAGAGAGGTCGGACATGGAGTTTTTGACTGAAACTGGAAATTTTGATGTTTATGTTGTCACATTTTAAAGTTCAAGGGTTGCTATGGGAGGGAAATTTCATGAGGAAACCGATGGAACCACTTTCAGAACCTCCAAATTTTGTATAAACAGAGCTGTAAGCGTTTAAAGTTTCCAAATTTTGTCCGACCTCTTCTTGTGACTTGATCCACTGTGCGGCGTAGCATTATTCGCTTGAATATCGCAGCATCCACTAACATCAGTACAATCCATCCATTGAAATCATTGACATCTAATTAGGTATTACTTACTCCAGCAGTATCTAATTCTAAACGATCACCTATTGCGAAATTCAACTATGTTGACATTAAACGATTGTGAAAGTGTTTACATGAAAATGGCCAACATTTCAGCCAAGAATGCTCAAGAATCTGCGAAAGTCAGGGGCTGTTGAGTTGCAATGTGTAAACACAGGAGGTGGACGGTATTGGATAAATTAACTTCAACAACGCCCATTTTTACTCTATCTTTGTGTTTCATCAATACTTATATCTGCAGATTAGGTCAAACACTTACTGTGACTTAAATGCAGGAGCAATAATGAAAGGCTATCTTGCCTCCACTTAAATCCGAGCTGAAAAGAGCAAACTTAGACTAAATAAAGTTCAGAATATGACCTATCCATAACCTACGTTTTGAAAAGGAGCAAACTAAACTTAGTGTATGCTTTGTTCTGCTCTAGTTAGGAAAGATTCCATTTGACGAAGAAGAATGACGAAGCTGGTAGCAGGTCATGTTCTAAACTGTACACCAAAGTTTTGGGTTTCAGAGTGGCGAAAATCCTAAGCTAGTTGTAATGCCACCAATTAGTGTAAGAAACAACCAAAAGGACTTGTTGAATAAGATCAAGGAAGAAGGGAGTGCATGAACTACTTTTAGTCTCCCTAAGGTACAACTAAAAATTGAATGCCTGAAGATAAACTAGGTAGATTACTTACCAAGTCTAGAGTAGATGAGCAGACGATAAGTAATGAGATAATCCAAGGAAGAAACAAATATTGGCACTTATCACCTAAAAAGTATGTAGTATTCAGGATGTGGTTCAGACGCGGGTTTTAACAATAGAAAAGAAAATCGGTGAGAGGACGAGAAAAGATTGAGAAACAGTCCTACTTCACTTTCACTGCGCAAAACGGACACTTCATTCTTCGGGAATGATAGATAATGAAACACTGAAGTCCAGTCTAGAGAATGGCTTAGCCGATTCTCATTCTCAAACAAAGAAAACTTATAAGGACTGAAAGTAAATCCAGACAAACGAAACGAACCAACACAAAAGCAATTTGAGGAAATGGCCCGAGCACCCAAACTGCCCAAACTACTAAACTTTGGGAACTTTGGGAACTTCGGGAATTATGATATCCCAAATCAAAACAAAAAAATCCCACAACACACAGAAATAATGTCAATTTTTTGTGATTGATTCACAAATTATGCGCTCACAATCAGTTCAAAATTTTAGCGTTCCAAATTTTTAGATCTTAAGTCTTGTAGTTTTTTAGTCAAAAGACGATAAAACTTGCGAAATTATTTTTTTAATTTCACTAATTCGTGTACTGAGAGAGAATTTTTTATTGTCAAGTTGACGTCTTATGTAAGTAGAGCGCAGCACCTACCAGTGGGCATGTTGCGAAAGAGATAAACAAACCGAACTGAACAACATTTGTGATAAGATAAAAATAGCATTGTCAAAGGTGAAGTCACTGTAAAGACTTCATTTAACTTGAGTTTGAATTTGACAGTTCATCTTTTACTTCTCGTCCTGTAGGAGCAACAGGTAAGAATCAATTAACGATTTCGTTCCCTCGAAGTTCCCTATTTTAACACATTAGCCAGCCCATCTCAAGTCCTCAAAGCTTTGACGCTTCACCTCTTATCATCTCCTTGAGCATTTAAAAATGTATGATATAGTATCCACGCTCTCATTTTGATGCGAGGAGAATGTTTGTTTGTCATTTCGCACTGCAAATGTCTCTTTGAGGCTTTCAATAACTAAAAAGAAGAAGAGTCCCCTTCATCCAAGAGAAGCCCCTCCGATATCAGTTCATTGCTTTATCTTGGCTTCTCTAGAATCCCTCCTTCCTTTTGTCTCCTTATCAAAGTGCAAGATCATATCCTAAAATAAAACCTGTTGCATGTCCTTGAGTGTCATTGGAATTTGATCTCTCTTTCAATCTTGTGTGAAACCTCTCAGTAAAATCATAGGATCTTTGATAGCATTTTGTATCCCTTTTTTGTATTTTGTTCTAGCATTCTATCCCTCATCCTCCTCTGCTACAAAACGTTTGGAATTATTCGCCGAAGAAGATGTCTCTCAGTGTCAAGCGTGTGGAAACTAAACCTTATGAAGGACAGAAGCCTGGTACAAGTGGTTTGAGGAAGGCTGTCAAAGTATTCCAACAGCCAAACTACACGGAAAATTTTATTCAAGCAATTTTAAATTCCATTCATCCTTTACCTGGATCAGTTTTGGTTGTTGGTGGTGATGGAAGATACTTTGGAAAAGAAGCTGTAGATATTATCATCAAAATTGCCGCAGCAAATGGGGTGAGTTTCCTTAGTTTTAACATTAATTTTTCCTGATTGCTTTGATCAATTTACCTACTCAACCATCAGTCACTTTTAAGTTAATCCATCCTCTCGGAGTAACTGCCTTGTGTTTGTCAGTATTTTAATTTGTAATTCACTTCCTGACTGTCACCCATGAGTCCAATCCGTGTGAGGTATAAATCCAATGTACTTATATTCTGCCTAAAATGCAAGTAATATTTGTGCATCTAACAATAATACTATGATAGGAACAGCAACACAAGTCCTTCTAGTAACTCAGCTGATTCAAAGCTTACAAAGTTACTGCAACAGGTGAGAAATTTTAAAAATACCTCATTTCTCTTTCTCTCATAAACTTTCAACTAGGGAATATTAGTCGCTTTGGCACAAATTAAAAGTTGAAGTTTTATATCTGAAGATGCCGCCTGAATTCTCAATGCTTATGAAAATGGCGTTGAGTGTAAAATTATCTTAAATTCCACAGCTATCTGCGTTGAAGACTTCCTCTTATTGATTGCTGATTTGACAAATATTATCAATCCCTTTTCAACTCCTACAGTATTGCAGAGAAGCAAATTGCTTTCAATTTTCATTAATGTTTTAGGTTGCCAAATTAATTGTCGGCCAGAATGGAATTCTGTCAACTCCTGCTGTTTCAACTTTAATCAGGAAGTATCAGGTCACGGGTGGTATCGTTCTTACAGCCAGCCACAATCCAGGTGGCCCAGATAATGATTTTGGAATCAAATTCAACTCATCAAATGGAGGTGAGAAAACTTTTTTCTTCTGTTTCTCCTCTACTCAATGTAAACTCTTGGGAAAAATTAATATAATTTTTCCCCCGAGTTATTTCTAAATCTCCTGAGTAATTTTCTCACCTGGATTTGAAATATATATAGATTTTAAGCATCCAAATCAAAATGCAGCATTCGCAAGATTGCAATTTTTTGCTGTTTTGCAATGATATTTATTCCCATGAGCCTTGGATTATTTCAAAATGTCTTTGAATACTTATTTTATATTAATGGATTTGATAAAAGCCTCAACTTTTTTGCTCATTCGATGGTTATAACTAAAACTTAGCTTGATGCGTTTTGAGATTAGCTTGCTCTGTTTTGTCCTCATTGACTCCTAATTGTAGAGTCAAAATTGTGTCTCCCAGAATAGTTTTAGAGTATTTTGGCTGAGCTTTTAGGACCCATTCATAATTAGAGATGTTGCATGTCTGAGAAATTTGCGATTTGACTAATGATTTCAATGTAAAAGTTCGCGAGACAGTGCCACTGGTTTTCTCTGAAATCAATCCCAAGCTCAGAAAAAGCTCTCAAGTTGAGGCCAAAATGGAGGGGATATCCCACGCAATCCTGAGAGTCCACCTCTACATCAAGACAAACTCTCCATGCAAAGATTGGGAGCAAATACATTAGCAGGGTTGCCGTGATTTCAGTTTTGGAGTCCCCAAGTAAAGTGGCAGCCCCGTCATTGGGTTTGCTCCCTATCTTTGCATGGAGAGTTTGTCTTGATGTAGAGGTGGACTCTCAGGATAGCATGGGATATCCCTTCCATTTTTGCCTCAACTTGAGAGCTTTTTTTGAGCTTAGGAGTTGATTTCAGAGAAAACCAGTGGCACTGTTGTGTTCCTCGCAAACTTTTACATAAGAATTAATGGTCAAATCGCAAATCCCTCACACATACAACATCTCCATTACGTATCACTTTAGGGAGGGAAGGGGTTGATCCTGTGGTAGAAGTGCATTACAGGGGGAGGGAGGCATTCAGGGCTGCACTCCATGATGCTGCTATGGACAAATGATACCGATTTTCCAAAAATCTATGATGGAAATTCAATAATAGTTGGTTATTTTTCATTTAAAATTCATCCTGAAACGCTGATTCAAAGGAGTGTTACACATTTTTTTAAGAGGGTACAAACCTGAGTCACAGGTGCATTATTGGGGGAAGGAATGGGGTAAGAAAATACTATTCTCAATGTTACGTATTTCATGAACAGCTCCTAAGCTCTCATATTGACAATAAAGTGAGCAAAATAACTTTAGTGTGAGATTTTTTCACACAGTATACTTCAAGACAAATTTCACCTAAAATAACAAATATCTCCATTTTTTTAAAAAGATGTCAATTAAGTACCTAATTCTGCAGTTACTTGTGCTGCCTAGTAGCCAAACAAATAGAATTAAGGATCTCAAAAGGCAAATATTTGCTGCACACCTAAGTAAGGGATAAGGGGGAAGTTCAGGTGACTAATCTTTTATTTATAACACTAGTATTACTAAGTTGAACAGTAAAAATAGTAATTTCATGAATTGTAATTTTGCAATGCAATTTTTTCTCGAAGTGTCACCTACATAAACTCAGACCAGACCCCAACTGGTGAAATAAAACAGGAGTCTTAACAGAGCATTGCCACTATGCAACACATTCAACCTCTTGGAGTAGTTAGTTTCTGCATTTGTGAACTAGTTTCTAGAAAAAAATTGAAAAAATTCCTTTCTGAGACTTCATAATTAGTAATGAGAAATGATGCCATCTTGAGCTCTTGTATTGATAAGTAGTCAATGGAGATAAGTGGTGAAGTGGAAAGGTCAATCTTGAGGTGGACGTTAAAATTGGATAAGCGTTATCTGTACAGAAGTAGTAAAGCCTCTTCAAGATCGTCTGCTCTCCGTAAACGCATCAGACAATATCCTCCACTTATCTCTGAAAAAATCTGGAAACTTTTTTCGTATGGGTCTATGTGAGAATTTTTAAGTGAATGGTTGGATGGACATTAATTTAATTTTATATCTACATACAAAGCTAAGATGAGTCTGCCCAGTAAATGAAGGAAGCCAAACATCCTCCCTCCCCCCACACAAAACTATTTGTCAGTGGTGACTCTGGCAAGTTGGCAGCACTGTTTTTGCTCTGCTTGAGTTTGAACCTTTTATAGTAATAAGCCCTTTCAAGCATCGATTATTTTGTAAAAATTCAAATACGCAAAACCCAATGTCGCAAATTTGCAAGAATTATCATTGATAGTCATTGACTAAGCACTGTAAGTGGAGACATTTGGAACAGACTACTTACGAAACCGAAGTGAATTTCCCATTTTTCTTTCGTTCCTAGTTAGTTGACCAATTCAGAGATTTTTCGCAAAAATGTTTTAAAAGTTATAGACTTAACGTTGTAACATAACTGAGAGAGATTTTCATCTTAACCTAATGACCGTATAGATGCCCCTCTTGCCGAGGTGAGATCGTGTTATTTTTCACCTACCAAACAACTGTTAATACTTGCCGCTTTCACATCATTTCATGCTAATGTTGTTCTCAGGTCCTGCCTCCGATAGTGTCACAGAAAAAATTTATGAGATAACAAAAACAATATCCTTTTACAATATTGTCCCAGATCTAAATGTTGATGTCTCGAAGCTTGGTGAAACAAATGTTCAGGTGGGTTTATTTTTTTCCTTGTTCATCAGTCAAGTTATTATATTGACAAAATCTTTGAAATTCCTTTAAAAATGAAACACCTCATCAGTCCTCCTCTTTAGTTTGTCCTGTATTTTTCTCCTTTTATTGATTCGTTCTGTAAAATAGCAAGTCGGAAAATGAATACTTTTAAGTTGAAATTTAAAGAGGAATAGGAAGTTAGGATAATCTTGACGTTGGTTTTAAGTTTTCTATTTTGTCAAATTTTTAAGTTTCTCTTCATATTGTTTTCTGGAAACTAAAATTGAAAATATTTAAGAGCAGCCTCTTTGGACTAGAAAAATGATTTAAAAAAATAAATTTTGTATGTGTAGATTACCGTACAACAATCTATGGTGAAAAACGATCTTTAAATTTTAGAAGGACTAACTACCTGGCTTAGCTGTTTTGCAGAAAATGTTGACTAAAATCAATAGCTTACTTACTGGGGGACATTCTAGGAGTCTGAATACCCTCCTATCCATAACTAAAAAGTTTCAAACCACTGTCAAATAATTTTTTTTCTCTTTTTTCCTTTCGAAATAAAAATGAAATAGATTGAAAGAAACCGAAACTATGACTTAAAATAAACTTTAATTCTAACTTTGACGAAAAATTTTGTCTTTTCCAGATTGGAGGAAAACCATTCACTGTTCAAGTAATTGACTCAGTTGCAGATTACTTAGCGTTAATGAAGGAAATTTTCGATTTTGCAAAAATCAAAAGTCTGATTCAGGGCTCCTCTTCGCGGCCACCATTCAAATTATTAATCAACTCGATGCATGGAGGTTTGTCCGGTTTATTTATTTTTGGTTCAATGATTAAAGTTCATTTCATTTTTGAGGAAAGCTTAAGAGGAAACTATCACAACGAAAAAAATGATCATAGTTATAGTCTTAAGTTTAGAAGAAGATACAGACTGAAATGATATGCTTTTTAGAAAATATGGTGAAAAATTGAGAGTGGTAATCATTTTCGTTCCTGAAACAGCTCCTTTTCTTTGGAGGCCCAACTTGTTTACATTGTGGTTCAAAGGGGTTTAAGGATGCCCTCAATAAAGCATCTTGAATACTGTTGTGTTCTAAGCCAAAACGTCGCCTAAACATTCGAAGGTTGCCAAATTTCCTCCCATAAAATTTTTATTTTTGAGAAAAAACATAAATATTTTACCTTGATTTTTTCAGGAACTTTAGGAGAAACCGGGAACAAAATTATCTGAAAAATTTGAAGAAAAATATTTATAAGTTTAGCAGGAAATGGGCCTGATGCAAACTTTTGCTAGAGCAAAAATAAAATTTATTACCAATAGAAAATGTCTCAAAAATCACGATGAGCGCATCGGCAAAGTCTAAAATGCACTCCTTACTTCACAATTTGCATTTTTTCGAGCTTCCCGCTTCAAAAACAATACCATGGCACAGGTGAATATTTCGTTAGAGGAGTCATTCCATCCAACCCCTACTCACAAGAAAACTAAGCAATATCTGCCAATTCGCCAAAACACATGTGACGGGACGATGATTCTAACCACCTGATAACAATCGGCGTGATTACATTCACATTTTTCTCGCATTATCAGATATCCGCCTTGATTGACCTCGTGCTCTCCTCAACTTGCGCACAGAAGTGTTGGCCATGTTAAGCAGGGATTGAATGGAACGACTCCTCTAACGAAATGTTCACCTGTGCCGTTGTAGGTATCCTTTTTGAAGTGGGAATCTGAAAAAACGCAAGTTTCTTACGCATTTGGTGAAGTCAGGAGTGCATTTCAGAGTTTGCTGATGCGTGCATACTGATTTTTGAGACATTATCTGTAAGGAACAAATCTTATTTCAGACATTAATTTTTATGTTTTGTAGTAACTGGTCCCTATGTCGAACACATTTTCATCAAGGAACTTGGAGCCGCTAAAGACAACACCGTCAACACAGTACCTTTGCCTGATTTTGGCGGTCATCACCCTGATCCCAATCTCACTTATGCCGCAGATCTTGTCACAGCTATGAAAAACGGTGATTATGATTTTGGAGCTGCTTTTGATGGAGATGGGGTACGTTTATTCATGCTATTGTCAAATGTAATCTTATGAAGCTGTTCGAGGATTAAGTTTGTCTTTGGTAAAAGGAATTTGAACACCCAATTGGTGTAAAATAATTTTTTTGTCCGACCAGGATCATTTTCACATCACCTAATTTCCCTTCTTGGTCTATTCATTCGTCAGGAAACTTAATAACATTACGCCTCAACATTTGTTATCAATTTTCCATAGATTATCAAGGAAACACTCAATATTCAAGTTGAATGTTTGGCACTTGGCCTCCTATTTAAATGATGAAATATTAGCGGAGATGATGCAGAGTCTGATTCAATTTGGCTGATTTTGATTGAAACTATCCAATTTCATCTGAGATTTTTTACTTTAAAAATATTAAGTGCGATTTTTAGCTTTTTTTAAGTTCTAAGTTTATTTATCCTTTAGTTTTGCAAGTGCAGTTAACTCTGCTTAACCCTTTGACTCCTGTGGGCGAGAATTCTCATCCTCACGTAACCGCACTGAAACCCCACGGAGGAGAATTCTTGTCTTGGAACTTCAAAAGTCTTCATTTTTGGTGATATTTATTTTTAAATAAACGAGTCCTGAAAATTAAATATTGGTGGCTGATATTCATTCTTACGTATTTAAGGATAAGGCTCACAGTATTCCAAGCTATTTGGTTGAGATTTAAGAAAATGAAGGCAATAAAATTGAAAATGCATGATCACCCGCTCTTAACCCAGTCTGGGAAGTCCTGTTTGAAAATCTAACTCAGGGGTCAAAGGGTTAATCGGGACACATCCGTACTCAGTAATTTTATCCTGCTTAAGAGGGTGTCCTGATAAACCAAAGTTTTTCTGAGAATATTGAAAACAGTAAGAAAATGATCAATTTCGAGATTGTTCAAGCATTAACGTAGGGGCGTCCTTATTCTCTTCTTGGATAACGAATCCTCTGGAATGTTCATCACACTCTTTCGCATCAGCTGATGAGATCTGTGGAGCCAGTGGTTTATCATTCACAGTAGGGTTCTGCTTGCGCATCTTTAAGCAATTTTAAATGTGATCTAAATGTTCTTGTGGCAGAAAATTGTCCCTATAAACCAAAGTTCTATCCCAACAAAGGGGAATTTTTTTATATTGCTAGTATGTAAAATATTTCATTCTAGCGATTTTGTCCCATTTTACCAGTGTCCCTATGAAGCGGAGTTGACTGTATTAAGTAATATCACAAAAGTCAGGCTATTTTAGGAGGTATTTTTCAGAATGTCTGTACTGGTATACTTTTTGTTATATACTACCTTTTTTTGCAGTTGTTTTAACTTTACTTTGTTTGTTGGTTACAGGATCGAAACATGGTCCTCGGAAAAAAGGCCTTCTTTGTAACTCCCAGTGATTCCCTTGCTGTACTGGCAAATAATCTGAACTGCATTCCATACTTCAAGAAAACTGGTGTTAAAGGTTTTGCTCGCAGCATGCCCACAGCAGCAGCTGTTGACAGGTGCTGAGTCATTTTATACTTTAAAATTTCATTAACGCCACTATAGGTTGAAAATTCAGACCTGACTTGATTCTCATAAATTCCTATACTCATGGGAATGGTACCTCAATACCGAAAAATTCAAATTGAATTTTTGGTACAATCGCATTGGAAAGTATTTTACTACCATCATTGCACCAAGAAACCCCGTAAAATAACATTTTGCCCATCCAACTGGAATCAATTACCTTCCCTGAAAAATTTATTCAAAACTTTCCCAATAATCAATAAAAATGGTGTGCAGTAATTTAATTAAATGCACAATTGAATCATTCATTCTCAGAAAGACTTAAGCACAAGCAATGAAAGTTTGGGAAAGTGGTAGAAACTGTATTGATCAACCCGTTCTAAATTAGGGATTAATGGAGAATGTGTTTTTGTAATTGAAGCGCTAATATTTTAAAGCTCTGAGATTTAAAACAGGTCAATAAAAAAAATTTAACTGTTTTTCTTGCACTTGCGTTGCTGGTGCTTCAGTCTTTTTGAGCATGCATGATTCAATCGCTAGGATATCCTACTATAAAGTAAGCAAGTGTCAATACTTTCAGATTTTTTTGAAGATAGCCAGCTTCTCTAGTCACATTCAATCTGAGGATCACATCCTAATATTTTTTTTCACTGGATTTTTCCTTGCAGAGTGGCTGCAGCTCAAAAGAAAGAAATATTTGAAACACCCACAGGCTGGAAGTATTTTGGTAATTTGATGGATGCTGGTCGACTGTCCATCTGTGGAGAGGAAAGCTTTGGGTAAGGTATTATTTTTTTGGTCTTGCCAATGGCATTTTAGTAATATTGAGGACTCATAGAATTATTGTAACTATGTTTTAATAAGGTCTGTATTATTGTAAACACTTCAGATTAGAAAATAAAGAAAGCCAAAACTAAAAAAACCCCACGAACTCACAAAAATAAATTAAAATTGCTGACGCATTTCGGGGCTCCCTGGCCCCTTCTTCAAGGCTAAATTCCGACTGGTTGTTGTTTGTTGTTATTCTGCCCATCTCCTTCCTTCTTATCTTTCTTATCAAGACTGTCATCTATTACTCACGCCGCCACAAGTGATAGTTGGTGGTCTTGATAAGAAAGATAAGAAGGAAGGAGATGAGTGGAATAACAACAAACAACAACCAGTCAGAATTTAGCCTTGAAGAACATGGCCTAATGAGACTAGGTCTGTCCTTCCGAAAACGAAAATAAGACCTCTGCTGCACATGACGTTAGCAGGAGCCCACTCGAGCGGGAAGTTTGAAAACACATGAGGTGTTGCGTCGTCTCCTATACGCGCTTCATGTACTTGACAATTAATTCATTCGGCTGCAGCCGCCCATTTTCGATCTTCAACTTCAATAACTACTATGAGACTAACAAGGGGAACTTACGGACCTGCCGCCTCCGATTGGGCTGAATTTTTTTTTACAGACTCTATGGACCAATTCTAGAGGTCAATTTGAGCCGTTTCCCCGAATGCGCAATAGGGAGGGCGTAAAAAATTCCCAAAAGTTGCGTTTTCGGCGTGTGATTTGGTCGTGCGGTGCGTGGCAACACTGAAGCAGCCTCTAGTACCGCTTTATCGGCCGGAAGGTTTCAGCGAAGTCCGGAGCCCTACTGCACACGTACTGGTTCCATGATAGTGATGTCCCGGGTTCGATCCTCGACTTTTTATTTTCCGCATGATCACGTAACATTTTATTTTTAATTCTTCATCCGCATTTATAAATCAAGCAGTTCCGATCACTATCCCCCCCCCCTCATTTTACGTACATTTTCCCCCGATATTTATTCACATTGGCCACATATAATCGTATGAAACTTCATTGATATAAATTAATGAATTAAAAAGCAAAAGAAAACCTTATTTGTTACTACATTATCTTCAAATGTCTTCCTGGAAAAATATGTAATGTGTAAATAAATCGAAGAGCAACCCCAAACCCATGTGCAGGCAAGGGTCACCAAGAAACACATTATTTTAGCCCTTTGCTTTTTAATTCATTAATTTATATCAATGAAGTTTCATACGATTATATGTGGCCAATGTGAATAAATATCGGGGGAAAATGTACGTAAAATGAGGGAGGGGGGGATAGTGATCAGAACTGCTTGATTTATGAATGCGGATGAAGAATTAAAAATAAAATGTTACGTGATCATGCGGAAAATAAAAAGTCAAGGATCGAACCCGGGACATCACTATCATGGAACCAGTACGTGTGCAGTAGGGCTCCGGACTCCGCTGAAACCTTCAGGCCGATAAAGCGGTACTAGAGGCTGCTTCAGTGTTGCCACGCGCCGCACGACCAAATCGCACGCCGAAAACGCAACTTTTGGGAATTTTTTACGCCCTTCCTATTGCGCATTCGGGAAAACGGCTCAAATTGACCTCTAGAATTGGTCCATAGAGTCTGTAAAAAAAAATTCAGCCCAATCGGAGGCGGCAGGTCCGTAAGTTCCCCTTGTAAGTACATCACTAAACACATAAAAATATTCACTACACTCCAGCCATGGCCAAAACAAATCTCTCAGCGACATGTCTCAGCAGGTTATCCGACGACTCACGTGTGACTCTTGTGCTCCTCATTCCGGGAATCGGAAGTGGGCTCCTGCTGACATCACGGCAAAACTCCGATGGGCGAGGGGCGGCTGTGAAGCCGTGCGGGCGGGGGGACCTACGCAAGGATAGACCTAGTCTTGTTAGGTCATGCTTGAAGAAGGGGCTGGGGAGCCCTGAAATGCATCAGCAATTTTAATTTATTTTTGTGAGTTTGAGTTTTTTTTAGTTTCAGCTTTCTTCATTTTCATTATTTAGCTCACAGTTCGTTACCTCGATTTCCCGTTTGTTTTGTTTTGTTTAGTTTTCGTTACTTTCGGTTTATTACTTCAGATTAGAACTACTGAGTCCAAAACGCCGTTTCTTGTTTAGAAAATCATCGCAAGCTTGTATCTTTCTCAATTCATTAAGATTCCCAAGTTGCTTTCATCTGGGCCGTTATTATCTGCTATATTTCGATGTTGTAAAATGACTCTCTCCATGAATTTATTTGTATATATTATGCACCGTTTTTTGTAGGACTGGCTCAGATCACATTCGAGAAAAAGATGGCATTTGGGCGGTTCTCGCTTGGTTGTCTGTGATAGCCGAATTAGGTGAATCTGTCGAACAAATTTTACTGAAACATTGGAAGACCTTTGGCCGTAACTACTTCACGCGGTAAGAGTTTATTTTTCCTTTCAATTCTTGTGAACTTATGCTAAATTTCAATTGGAAAGTTTTCCAATCTCTCTGACTGTAACTTCCAACAATACAAAAGTCCAGTCCCCAGAATATTGTACCTCCTTGTAATTTGTACCTCCTTCTCTGTAATTAATTTTATTCTTCTCAGTTTCTTTTCATAATTTGTTATACCCCATGCGAGTCATCGATTCATCCTCGTGGCTTTACTCTGAAGGGAGCAAGTCTCTTATACCTAAGTGATGCTTTTTAATTTTAAAGATAATTTTCCTCCAAAAAAATCACAAATTAGCTATCTCTGAAACGTAATCTTCTGTTTTATTATTCATAATAATAGTGAACCAAAACTGCTCAGATTGCTGTGTGATACATTGTTTCATTATATCAATGCTTCGTTTGGAAGTCGACTGCTGGCTTTGCATTCTTTTTATAAGAATTACTAATCTAAACTTGTAATTATGTAGGTATGATTATGAAAATTGTGAATCTGCTCCTTGCAACGAAATGATGAAAAAATTAGAAGAAAAAGTCACATCACCGAGCTTTGTGGGCCAATCTCTATCTAGTCAAGGAAAAACTTTTGTCGTGAAAAAAGGTGATAATTTTGAATACGTCGATCCAGTGGATAAAAGTGTGGCCAAAAATCAGGTAAGCACTCATTTCTGTTGTTGGTTGATTTCCTCTCTTTGTCTATACATAACTGTTGACTCCTCCAAAATATACGTAACCGTTACGCACAATTTTCAACCATTGAGATCTGATTCAAAATTGGACTGGGTTCAATAGGAATGCATCTTATCACATCACGTTTGAACCAAATAAAGAGTTTGAAGTTCTATTCCTCAAAAAGGCTCAATTCCAAAGAAAAAGTTTAATGGCCATTTCCACTTTCAGAATAGTATTTTTCTCGACTTTAGATCCTCAACAGGTAAAAATTTACAGCTAGTTAAATTAAAAACTGCCCCTAATTTTTTTTCCTCCTTAATAGAAAGAGAATTATTGTTCATTTCGATTGATTTGCGTGAGAATTAGCTTTTCTTTACTTCTTTAATTTTGGTAAACGCTTTCTATAAAGTAGCTAAAAAATTTAAAGTAAACAGTAAAGTATCCATCCAAAATTTTACAGCGATAACTCATAATGGATTTGAGAAGTCCATTATCTCTTTTGAAGCTAAGTAGCTTTAAATCACAAATAATTAATGCAATGGGACAAGATGATTGTCATTCTTACTACATATTGATTCCTATCAAACTTTACTGTGTTATTGTTCTAGGGTATCAGAGTATTATTTGAAGATGGTTCTAGATTGATTTATCGTTTATCTGGAACTGGAAGCAGTGGCGCCACCGTCCGTCTGTATGCTGAAAGTTATGAGCCAGCAAGTGGAAGTATAACTGTTGAAGCATCTGTTGCTCTCCAACCATTAGTACAAGTAAGTTATTTTTACTCTTTTTTGGTATTTTCTTAAAACCGCTTTTTTCATGCTTTCTGAAGGTATCAAGGGGAAAATTTCATTTAAAAATACTGGAAAAGGGTTCGACCTCAAACCTGGTCTGAACTGTATACCTGCAATAATTCGGAATTAGCATAGTAATGGATTGCATAATAAAAGAGTGTTCGATGGGTAATTAGTGATTTTGAGGAGGATTAAACATTTAACGAAGGGGAGATACTCGAGAGTTATATTCAACTTTGCTTCAAACCAAAAAACTCTGCACGGAGAATCAAAGAAGTTAGCGCTGGTTTTTCGTTATTATTTTTTAACTCATTATTTTTTTCTTCATCAGGCCTTTGTTAAAAACTTTTTACTCATACTCATAATGACAGATATTCATTATTTGCCCATCCTGTAGAATTTTTAAGGGATTGTAAAACGACTTTCATTGCTTTCCCCAACCCCGATTTTCAGACAACCATCAATCCATCTTTCAACTTTCTTTTTGTTATTCATAGAAACTTCCTAATTAATATGACTCATTTGCAGAAGATTTTTAAACCTTTCACTCCTTAATGTCACATTGATCAAAATGAAATTCATGAGATTACATTCTCTAATCTCTTTTACTTTATTTTACAGGTTGCATTGGATCTATCTGAATTACAGAAATTCACAAAACGCGACAAACCAACTGTGATAACATAAATTTTCCTCACAAATACACACAACATTGTCAAGTTACCGAGTGCCTCCTCTAAAAAAATGAGTCTGATAAAGTGAAGTATCTAAAACGACTATAAGAATCAAATTGAACGTTAAACACGTCAAAAGCGTTAAGTTATTTTATTTTGTTTTTCTTACTAATTTATTTTTGTTACTTTTTAAAATATAGAATAATTTATTAAGTTTTGGTGCTAAGTTTGAGTTTTTTCAAGTTAGCACAATTCAAAATTTTGTGTAATTTTTTAAACCAAAAATGTCATTTAAACCAAAAATGTTATTAAAACTAAAAATGTTATTTAAACCAAAAATGTTATTTAAACCAAAAATGTTATTTAAACCCGAATTCTTAATTATACGAAAATTTTGTTTTAAAGTGTTCATTTTTTCTTCCTCTTTTGTGTACATTTTTAATCCAGCTTGCAGAAATTTATTTATTAACATTACACTCATGTAATTGTAAAGTGGTGATAACTGTAGATTTATAACACTTAGACCTATCGTCAAATAATAGATGTCCGCCTCCAGGTGCTCAAAAATTTCAATTTTCTAGTAAATATGTAGCTTGTATCTAAGGAATCCTCTTGCAACAAAAAATAACCCTACATGGACAATTAGACAGTGTCTGTTGAGAAAAACTTTTAAAATAATTTTAAAGAAAACCCTTTTTTATCATTAAAATGTACGCCTGATAAAATTATTGCAAAAAAATTGCATGAAGATTACCTTACTCATATTCTTTTGGAGTTAGTTAGAGAGGGAATTGTCTTATTACAAATAATGAGTTTTTGAAATTTTATTTAACAGTCATTGCTTCTAGGGACAAAAAATTCCTTGAATCGAGAAAAATAAAGTATAAAAGGGTTATAGAACTTAAAGTATCCACTGTATGTTTAAATACAGCACTAAAAACATCTATAAAAAACTTAAAAAACTCTTGAATAATAGTCTTTAGTTTAAAGGCTTTTTTACTTTACGCTTCACAAAGGGTCAAATTATATTGAAAAACCAAAAAGGGTCTCTTAAAATGAATAAGTATTTTAACATTTTTTTCTGAGGTTTTTGGAATAAACCATCATCGCTACTAAGGCACATAGAAAATGTTATTCTTATTTGCATTAACATTTTCAGCAATAAATTAAGGCTTCAGCTGTACGGCTCAACCTATCATGAATTCTTTGGATTACTGGCAAGCAACTTCCTCCGGACATTGTGATAGTAGGTATGTACTTATCTTGCAGCACTGAAAGAAAATAGTAACGGATTGAACATCCTAGGATGTTAAAAATCTGCGCTACAACTCTAAAATGTTGCAGTGGACACTCCAGCTGTTGAAGTAACATCCTTGCAACGTTTGAATTAACAACCGAAGCATTCATATCAACACGCCAGAGTAGATGAGCAGATTTTTAACATCCTAGCTGGGATGCTAATAACTTATACATTTTTTTTTGTTTTGTTTTGCATGTGTGAGGTTTTACATTCACCTGAAAGTTAGAGTTGCAAATACTGCAATAATTGAGAAAATGAAGAAAATACAACGTTCAATGAAGAAATACAATGTCGACAATAATTACCTTCAAAAAAGATTTAAAAATATTTGACAAGCATCTAAAGAAGATTTTGAAAGATACAAGTAAGTCGCAGTTTGAGCCTTAAAAAGGGTAGGTACATAAAGAGGAAGGATTTTACAACTCCATTCTGACGGTAGCTGTAAACTCCAATTTCAAATTATTCGCAGGCGGGCAGGAGGGACCTAATATGTAGCTGCCATCATGATTATTCGTGATCAAATGTTTCTCCTAAGTCTTTTCTCATTTTGACGGGGCTGAGAAAAAATTTAAAATTCGCGCCTAACCCTCAAGTCCTTGCAATCAAGGTTGTCAATCCCTGTATCTAAATTTCTCTTTCTCGTCGCCCAAATAATTTGTATTCAAAAAGCAGCCTGGAACAGCTATGTGTTCTCTTCTTGTTGCAATTTCCTGCAATAAAAATAGTAATCGTAATTTTATATGCAAATCCGAAAGATCGAGGCGACTATGCGGAAAAGTTGGTCATGAATGCGTAAATCTAAGTTCGTGTTAGAGAAATTTTGGAATTCCCGCCCCACATCCATTGTTGACAGTTGACAAATTCTTGTAGTGCAACTGCATCAAGAGAGGAATTTGTCAAGAAAATTTTAAATTATAATTAAATTATTTGTGTTATATCACTTTCATGATTGAAAACTAGGGCTACAGTTGTCACTTTAACAGGTATTGTTAATTTTTCTCCCTTCAATTTTCTCCTTAGGTTGTCTGGTCCGTCTCCAAGTATCCTTGGGCCACAACTTGTTTACAAACATCTTGACGTGGAGGGCCTTCAATTTTACGATTTTGATCTTAATCTACCCTGGAATCGAAGTTAGCCAATTATTCTCCAAATTCTTAGCGTCAGTATCTCTCTACGTAGTCTTAATTCAGTGAATCATATTCATATTTAAACATCCTGCATACCAACTTGCCTCGCGTAGTAGGTGTGGCCATCGGTCAGTTCCAACATCATTGACAAGGAATTTCTGTTTTATTGTGGCTTTATATTCAAGGTGCCTACTTACCATTTTTACCAGCTCCATGGTTTGTTCTCATATACACATCCCACTAAAAGTTTTTGTCCGCTCTCGGGGAGCTGTATAATTACAAACCTAATTTTTCACCTATCGTGCAATGTACTTTCTTTTGCCGTAGTTAAGTACTTACTTACCGAAGGTTACTCTGCATTAAAAGCATTTTGTTTACAAAGCCTGTTATGTTGCCCAGTGATGTCTTTAACTTTTCATATTCCGCAATCACATGCTGAATTTGGCAGCTGAATGTGGTAATCAACAGTCAGTGCTCAACAGCTGAAATTTCACTAATTTGAGTTATTTTCATCCAAATGTGTATCAAATCTATTCGAGTAGTTCAGACAAATCTGACATTATCCGATGGTCGCTGAGAATCGTTGCTGAATTTTGCGCAAAATTCAGGCATCGGGCCGATGACTTCCACATTCAAGCCACATTCAGCTCCCACATTCAGCGTGTAATTGTGGTATAAGAGGTGTAAGGAAGGGTTAGCAGGAACGAGTAATGCCAATTCAGGAAACTTGTCCTAATCAGCAAATGTCTAATAGAGTCAGTTCAGTGAAGTTTAGGCACCTCTAGACTGCGATAGAAGATCGTCTGACAGCCTTTTTACGTGTAAAGTAAATACCAGAAGCAAGATGGCAGATCTTCTGTTGCAGTCTAAAAGTGTGTAAAGTTATTTGGTGTGGACTGTTAACATCACTCCTAATCGAGACCATACCATCAGCAATGACAAAGATCACTGCATATTAATGCAAAAAAGAATGTCAATGTTACTGACATACCTGGCACGCCTCTTACATCATTTTTAGTCTTTTTAATAAGAAATTAAATATTCCTACTCTGGTGGAAATAACATAGGGGCAGTCAACCTGTTCTTGAATGAAGAACATAATACCTGAGTTCTTCAGTAATCCTACAAAATTCTTACTTTTCACCTGGGAGAACAAAGCAGGCCAAATCATATAATCAAAAAATTGAAAATCTATCAGAAGTATTAGTCATTTTTCATTCACTTAAAAAGACAGTGAAATTTTTATTCGACCAAGGAGGAAGTTGATGTTAGCAATCCAATCGTGGCAAGCCCAGAACCTCTGCTGGTCGGGGAAGTATGCTGAAATCCAATACATGCCATGTGCTAAATGCAACTATAAAGTTTCACTGGACCCCCTTAAATAACACTGCACTTCGGTGTGTGGAAGACAAAGTAGGAAGAATTAGCCAGTAAAAATCTTCCTAGTTCAGGTCAGTCTTCTTCAACTTCGACTGCCATGCCATCAAGAATTTCATAAACGTAATAATTCTGAAGTAAATGTTCTTACTTTATTTTACCGCTGTTGCCAATAACCTCACCATTCTGTGAACAGCATCTATTTTGTTTTACGTTGGGAGAAACTGTATTTACCAGTGCGTGAAGTACATTATTTTGTCTTGGTTGTTAAATCTACCACCTAATAGTTTTTCATTTTGTTATCAGTTCTATGTCGGATGTGCGAGCTTTGTTGGAGAGCCACGACAATATCGCTCTGTCTCACCTGAAGGGCCAAGATAATCTTAGCATGAGTAACAATACTATTTCGAAGGTAGTTGGCCTGAAAAAAGCTCCGAATGAACCTCTGGTAAGTCTTCTCCCGGTCACTTCCCCTCCCTCTGTCTCTCTGTGTCTGCCGATTCCTGCTTTTTTCCTGCGATAAAATACCTAATTACAGCTCTTGAAAGTAATATCAAAATCTTTAGACCATGTCTTTAGTCTTACCGGGCAGCTGCCTTAAATTATATTGGAAAATAATTGTGAAGGCATTGCTACCACTTTAAGTACTTTAAGCTGTAACTTTGTTTTCATGTAACTGTTTGTTGTAACTCATGTTTTCTCAATCACGCTCAAGCAAACAGGCTGGTTCTTTCAACATGTTATCAAAGATGAACCTTGTAAAAATTAGACTAATTCGTGGCTTTATTAGCAAAGAGCAAGGGGATTTTCAATTTTGCCTCCCATGGCCAAAAAATTTTTTGCTGTTCTCAGAATTCACACTTGTGGCTCAAGCCTCCAATGGTTTACTTCCCTCAATCCCAAATCAATTTCAAATTCGAAAGCTCAGAAAAATCTCTCGCCTCCTTTTATTTAGATGCAGCAAAACTAATTGTTTTGAATTAATGGAGCTTGGCATTTTCTTCCTCACATTACCCACATTATTTTGGAAAATGTATTAAAAAAATATCATCAAGTTTTCTTTGGAACAATGAATTTTCTTGAAATTAAAATACAAGTCCGTTTAATTTCATGATGATATGTTCCGTGCTGTTATTTTAAAAATCTCCTAAACACAGCCATGACTTTTTGTTAAGCTGGAAAATCGATGGTAAAACCTGGAAGAGTAATTGAAACACAGAAGCTGTACCCGTCTCCAGCACTCTCCAAGAACTGCCACCAACTCTGAAAGTAGAGATGTTGATATTTTCTTAGCTCCAAGATGCATATCAAATTACCAATGAATTGGTGATTTTTCACTAATAAATTTTCATTTCCCAGGGTTTCACGGTAGAACGAGACGAAAATGGGAATCTAATAGTTGCAAGAATATTAGCAGGTGGAACTGTTGAACAGAGAAACCTCCTCAAACCAGGCGATGTGATCCTCGAAGTGAATGGTTTTGCAATCTCCTCTCCAGAGGAGCTTCAGACTGAAGTAAATCGGGGCAAAGATGTTATTCAGTTTCGAGTTGCACCAGCTGCAGACAACGTCAACTTACCGAAAACTCAGCAGGTGAGTATCTAAATTTAACTTTCTTGGTAAACCGTAGGTATCCTGCAACAGGGGTTCAGAACTTCTGTGACCTAACAACTGGCTGATCGCAACCTAGGTTGCAAGAAAAATGTAAAGGCTCCTAGAAAAGATTTTTAAATTTTGAAGGTCTAACAAAGTTTTTTTTCTCTCCCTTTTAATTTTTGGACATGAAAAATGAAGTAAAATATTTACATATTAAAAAAGTTTTGCCTCCAGTTTTTCACAAGTAATTTTCTTTATTGATTCAGCTCAGGGGTTAACTGATACTCTAAAAAATACATTATTTCTCAGGAATTTGAAGAAATTGCTTCCCAGTTCGTTTTAGTATTGTTCTAACTTTATCTAATACCTCAATTTTTTTTTCTTCAGGTGTACATGCGAGCACTGTACGATTATAATCCAATGGAAGATACCTTGTTACCATGCCCTGAAATTGGACTAGCATTTCAAAAGGGTGATATTCTTCAGGTAATGACTAGATGCAATTATTGGTCATTTTCTACACTTTTTAACTGATGTTTTTCTCTCTGGTTGTTCAAAATGGATGCATTTGTGCCAAATTAGTCCATTTACATTACAAAGTTTCTGACAGTCTAGAAAACCTGAAAAATCAGGGAATTTACGGCTACCTGGGAAAGCTAGGAAACGCAAAGGAAAAATCCAGGAATTTCACAAGTAGGATGTTTACTTATTAATTTGAGAGAGCAGGAACAACTTCACAGTAACTTTTGCCTCCATTTGAATTTCTGAAAGTGGAAATTTTGTCCCAACCCAAATCCCAGAGGGTAAAATTTATTCATCAATATGAATGAGATTTGTGTCTTGAATCCATTCACCAAAAAATTTCTTTAAATCTTTAAATGCCTCTTCAGAGGAAATAATAATTGTTTCAAATTATAAGTTGCGGTGTTTTTTTTTTTTTTTTTTTTTTTTTTTTTTTTTTTTTTTTTTTTTTTTTTTTTGTACGTAGGTATTTACTGTCATTCACTACTTTTTTTTTCAGATCCTCAATCAAAAGGATCCAAATTGGTGGCAAGCTAAGAAAGTTAATTCAGACCAGCCCGCTGGATTGATACCATCTCAGGAGTTGGAAGAAAGACGCAAGGCATTTGTCGCTCCAGAAGCTGATTATGTTCATAAAATCAGTATATGTGGGACTCGAGTAAGTTTATTTTTCTTTACTTATCAATGCTTATAGCAATTGAAAATAAACTGAAATTTGCAGTACATCTCATAACATCTGCGTGATTCAACGCTGAATTGGTATGGTAAGCCTGATAGTTCTGTAGGGCACCACAACTTCAAAAGGATGCTTCCTATAGTTAGCGCTAAGTACTTATGCATTATTTCTCTTCAATATCATTTTTACAAAGCAGAAATAATTATAGTCATTTTTTTTCGTGAACCAGATTTCAAAAAAGAAGCAGAAGAAAATGTATCAAACAAAACAAAATGGTGAATTCGACAAAGCCGAGTTGATATTGTACGAAGAAGTTACCAGAATGCCTCCGTTTAAAAGACACACCTTAGCCTTGGTCGGGTCTCAGGGCGTGGGAAGGCGTACTCTGAAAGGGCGTTTGATCAACAGTGACCCTGAGAAATTTGGATCTGTCATTCCATGTAAGTACCTACCTTACCACCAATTTTATTTCAAATTGTTGTTTAACAATTATACTGCAAAGTAAAATGATTTTGTTCCTAACCCCGAGGTCTATTCAGAAAGTGAACTTTACCGTTATTTTTTCTTGAGACCTAACAGTTTCGGGGAAAAAAAACTAAATTGGTGCCGTTCAAAAATTCAATGCTTTAAACTAGCATATAGGCTATGTTTTATTGTTTTTCAGCAACCAGTTGCTCAGAAATCTTATTTTTCCTACGTTACCTCCAAATATTTTCCTTTGCCACTTATGGAGGTTGCAGAAAGTGTTAATTTGGTGTTAGCACTCTCAGCACCTGTTCATCTTATCAGAAAACCAAAATACAGAGAAAAAGAATACAGTAATACCTTAATTATCTGATGAATTTTGGTGGAAGCCTAAGCTAAGTATTATAGATGTAGGATAATCGAAATTGCCCATGAACACATAAAACCATATGAAATATGTGTGGGAAAAACAAAAAAAACATCGAAAAACCTCTAAGTATAAATATAATGTCACCGAGGATAACTGATGAGTGGAAAATCAAGGTATTATCGTATCTTATTTAATCGCTGAGTTACAAGATATTTTTGTGCCTTAGGGCGTTGCAGACGCAAATCAACTTCATCCCTCTTCTCTTAAAGGTGTTAAATTCGGTTCAGAAAATTTATCCTGTCTGTGTTTAACCCATTAATGATAACTATTAGTTCAGCAAAAAAATGCTATCTAAAATTTTAACAAATTTTCATATTTTAGTCACATCTCGACCAAGGAGAGAGTATGAGGATGATGGGAAGAACTATTGGTTTGTCGACCGTGAATTGATGGAACAGGAAATTCGTCAGCACAAATTCCTGGAATACGGGGAACATAATGGTCATTTGTACGGCACAAGTATTGATTCAATCTGGGACGTCATTAATCAAGGGAAAATGTGTATATTAGACTGCAGTCCTGCTGTAAGTATAGATCTCCTTTCATTTAATTAGCCTCTTAATGAGGTTTAATTTTGGAGCTCAAAAAGAAAATATTTAAACTCCGAATTAAATCGAAAGGGAAGAAACCAGTGATTGATTTTTTATTATTAAAAAAAACATCAGCGGAAAAAAAATATTGTCGTTATTTCTTCAAAATGAGAAAGTCATTTCCAAGTCCTATACATTTGGATGACAACCTAATTTCTCAAAAAGGTTGAAAACTCTTTGAACAACTGGAGATTAAAATTGTAGATTTTGCATGCTCGTGTGTTAAAGCATTATTTTTAGGGAGTAATATTTTGTATGTATTCTCCTTTTGTGCTCCCTGCGTTCCATAAATATTTTTAAATGGAAATCATAACTTGCTTTGAAATTTCTGTTGTCTGAATAGTATTTGACCATTAGAGTTGTTCAACTCCACCCTATAGGTCCTATATTTGTACTGATACTTTTTTTTGCTTGAAATTCTGTTTTCACACCAATAATATCTCGAATTTTATGTTTTCCAGGCCTTGAAAATTTTGCACAACTCTCCTGATTTCGCCCCATTTGTTATTTTCATCGCAGCACCTGGAATGGAACACCTCAAAAACTTGTATGATTATGGAGCTAATTCTACTAATTTGGGGTATTCAAGTAGAAATCTTAATGTGAGTACAGAAATCAGGAGCCATACCTTCAATTTAATTCTAATAGGAAATCAGTGGTAAATCTGAAAAACCCTGTCTATCTTGTCTATCCAAAAATTTGTCTTAAAAATTTCATGCGTAAATGTTAGTAGGTTTTTTTCAGAAGTTTTAGAATAGTACAGCTTGGATTTGAAGTTTTTTTTTCGTGCTGTCAGACTGTATTTGTACTCTATAAGAGTGTTAATATCTCAAAATTGTCTGAATTTTATCACGAACTTCAACTTTCGGATAGTTTTTTCCCTTTTTTTCACCCAAGACCTTTTTCCCTCATCAATTCCTTTCTCAGTGTCAAAAATATTGTTCCAGTCAAATTTTGATGGATCAAGATTTGATCTGAGACACAAACTCTACATTTTTAAATACAAAAAATCTACATAGCTTTGAGTGTTGGAGCAATTTAGCCAAGTTTTTTTCATGCTGTGAAAATGTTCGATTTCCTTGTCCATTTTTTTTAAAGAAAAAAAAAAATTAAAATTGTTTTCTTTTTTATTGCAGTTTGAGCGCCAGAGCTCAATCAGATATAGTTCTCGCCGTGCACGAACCTTGGAATCTTTGGCATCATTGTATGAGGTAAGATATATGTTACTTCAATCTTGTATTTTCATTTTTATCAGTTGAATCGGCAAATTTCTTATGTGTTCATTGCATTCAAAATTTGGATGAGAAAACATGTTTTGTAACATTCAATTTTGTACACCGTTCAGTGATTCATTTCAAAAAGAGTATAGAGACATTTCGGACAACACATTAACTTGAACGCACAAGAAGCACTTTAGATGTAATGCGAGCATGTCGGACGTAATGAACTTTAAGCTTAAGGCTTTTCAAAATCCTTTAGTCTTTCCTCCATTGCAAAATTCTGACAAAATTTCCTTTTGCAGAGGGCTTTATTCAGGACTACGCCTCCTATTTCAAACAAAACACTCAATTCTCAGTGGTGATACCTTTCAATAAATTAAATTACCGTGCCTTGTGTAGATTAGATATATTTGCAACGCCTTTTACAGAAAACTTAGCGGAAGCCCCATCTTCTTCAGTCAAACCTGTACACAATTCAGTGGCGTGGCGTGAATGATCGATTATCGATATTCCTCCATTTGAACGTATGGTAAATAATCGATTATTAAGGTGTTCGCTGCGAACACCCTGTTTATCGATACTTTTCCATAGGTTTAAATGGCAGATCATTCGATATATCGCAAAGCACGCCACGCCACTGACACAATTGCAATATTTTTTCTTATATATTTCAGGAAGAAGATTTACGTCGCACACTTGAAGATAGTGCCTGCCTTCAACGAGCTTACGACAAGTACATTGACATGACAATCGTTAACGAAGATTTCGATCAGACGTTCCGGAAAGTCCTGGAAGCCTTAGAAACTTTGAGTGTTGAGCATCAGTGGGTCCCTGTCAATTGGGTGTATTGATGGAAGATCTTATCGGATGTAACTGAAAAATTTTCAACGCCTCTTATCACATTATATGTAGCATCGAATTCTCATTATTAGCAAACTGTTAAGCTTTGATCTCTAGTTTGATCGGTAGTCTTTTTATCAGTTGCTTTGCAGTATTATTTGCACTATTATTATATCTACGCCCAAAGTGAGAAACTTGTATATCCGATTGTGAAAACTAGTTGACGTAATTTCATGAAAACTTCCTTGATTATTTTTTTATGTCAGCAGAATATTCTCTATCAATTTCAATCTATAACTTTGGCTTATTTTTCTTCGATAAAATAACATAGGAGCGGAATGTTTGAATTACTGCGATGGAGGTACAAGATTTTGTACTTTGGCCATCGATATTTGGATCAACTTTGCTCTAAAGATTCGTTCAACTGTATCAGAGCGCTTCAAACACAAGCAAAATTTTCGACTTTTCTATGACTTGACTGTGATATGGATGGCATTCAAAGAGAACCAGTGCAATATCAGTGTTTTCAAAATCGTGCAACCTCTTCAATTCTTTAACAAATGCTAAATGTATGTACAGTACTAAAATTTACAAGATTATCCTCCCATGAAGTTAGCAATTGATTGGTAGGGAAGCAAGAATTATTTGCCATTTTGGGAAATGTTTAGAATACCCACAAAAATGCATGATTTTTACAACACTGGACTCATGCTGGTTCCCTTCTGCTAAATGCAATCCATATCCTGTCGCAAGTGAACTTGCATCCATCAAGCTGAAAGTGCAATAAACTGCAGTGTTATCTTTGTCAAGTGTGGTTTATTAATTGTATCAACAGCCTGAGGATTTTATATTGAAATGACTTGAGATCTGTCTTATCAATCAGTTTTGCGGCTCCAATAGCTGCCATTTTGTGGCCCATGATATTTATTACCCATGAAAAAAGAATTTATTAAGTCCTATAGGCTTTTGTTCCTTTGAATGACTTGCAAGTTAAATCAAAGGAGGCTGCAAGAGTATTGATTGCTCACAACAAAGGACTATCTGCATATCACGCCCTTTCTGGCACCCTAAAATTCTGAAAGGCGTCCCCTTTTTTTATTTCATTTTCTTTGTGAGTTAAGCATTCCAAGTCTTTCCAATTTATGTTGTTTTTGCCTTGTGACACGGTAGCTATAGATGGAAAATTGCTGGCTTTTCCGCGAGTTCTGAAGAAAGAAAATCCATTTTAAGTCTCAATGGAGAATGTGAGAATGATGGTTTTGTCTTGATCTAGATCCTACATTTGTACGCACATTATCAGAAATCTTGTACTGCTAAGCTCCATATATTTGTTGTATTTGACAGCTTGCTCAAAGCTAAGATTTTTAACCACCTCTATTCTAAAATGAGATGATTTTACATTGATACTCTTGTCCTCTACCATGCAAGAAAGAAAATAAAGAGAAAGGAAAATGAGAAACGGTTAGGTTAAGTTAAGACTGTACACTGCATACCATTTCACAACATTCTTTTGCCATTATTTTACAAAGAAATTTTGGCTTTTAAAAAATTAATTCGATAACTGCCATTCTATTTTTGCAAATTTGAGTTGTAAATTTTATTTTCAAAACCAGAAATTCCTTCACCAAGGAACATAACAACTTGAAGTTGCTATTTTTATTTATGTTAATTTTATTGTTGGGTGTATATGCTTTTTTTTTACTCTAATATATCTCAGAGAATTGAGTATGTTATGCATGTGCAAGTGCCTGATTAATTATTACTATGTATTAGCCTTGGAGGATTTTTCTTTCGCCACCCTTAATTAAATTATTTATGTCTGTATCGACAAAGAATGAAGATATCTAGGTTATGATAAATTTTCAATCGCACTGATTTTATCGACAAGAATTCTGAAACAAAATTTTATCTAAACCAAAATACATAAACGGTAGGCCTGTAACTTATGTTTTCTCTCGATGTTGAGGTAAAATTATTAATCTTAGAAGTGACTCAGCTAAGAATCTCATACAATTATTTGTGCTCATCAGCGTTTCATGTAAATTGATAATGAACATCCACTATTACTTTCAAATTCCCATAAACAATGAAAAGGGTGTAGAAAAGAGCATCACTCAGTTGCAATGTCTCAGAACCTATACTGCTAATATGTATTTTAGCAAGGGAACTATGCGTAGATTTTTTGAAATTTTCTCACAAGAGTTTGTAAAATCATAAAGAATCTACAGCAAAAGTTTCAACACAGCACTTACATTTTCTTTGACTGAAAGCATGTAATGGTAGAGAAGATTCTGAGACACAACTAAGTAGTGTCCTTACCCCACCGAGTGCTTCAATTTTCCTAGGATAAATATATTTTTTCTACGTACAATAAGAAAATAAAAAGGAAGCTCCAAAGATGAATCTCCATAACTACAAACTTAAACTCAAAATTTAATTTTTTTATCATGAGAATCTTGTTTGGCACTGATAGTGTTTCAATTTTCTATTCCAAAAGTCACGGATGATTTAAAATCTCTTGTTTTAAACTAAAAATCTCTAGCTTGCAATTTATATTTTAGCAATAGCTTAGATTTGTACAAAATCTGCTGATTTCAAATACTCACAATATATTTTTTGTTTTCCTTTATTTTTTATATACATATAATTACTTTAGCGGTCGTAGTTGAAGTTGTTTTCAAAATTTTGGTGCCACTAGCTGCATCTTTTATTTTTTTCTAAAAGGTTTAGGTTAATTTTCTTTTGTCTTTAATCTTACAACGCTCTTAGAGCAGAGTTTTTTGAACCCATTAAATTATTTAAAAAATTACTTAGCTATTTGTTGTGCAATAATCGTCCTGTTTAGAACTCTTAAAAGATGAGTCACTTAAGCACGAAACATCTGTTGTAGTTTCACAGTTATTGTACAACATGGTTTCAAAATATTTTCAAATCAATGAAGCATATTTTTAAAGTATTGTATGAATGGGTTTAGGTTAGTTACACTTGAAGCATGATCAATGTATTGTTAGCCAAAAAGAGGGTAAAGTCTTTAATATTAATGTACCATTGGATGAATCAATCATAATCACTGCCATAAAAGCAATTTTCAAAGTTTAATAATTATTGTGTTGATGCCTTTTGAATTCAAGTAAGTTCTGTTAGCATAGAAAAAGCTTAAATTAACACTACATTCTACACTTTTTATGGGTCACAGTGCTCGATCATAAACATATCAGTGTCTTTTCATCCTGCATTTTCAGTGAAATTAAAAGTTAAGAGTGATGTTTTACCATTAAAATTTTGCTCCAGAAGTATCAAGATTTGAGGTGCATTGGTTTTTTCGTGATTGGGCTTTGTGACCAAGAAATGAGTGAATAATGTACGTGTTGCTCAGACAGAGCGTTGGTGACTTTGCCAACGAGGGTGAAATTTTAGTATATAATTGATATAATTAGAATATAAGTTTTGTACTGGAATTTTAAGCTTGTTAGCAAAATCACCAAATTTCTCTGTGAATTATGTGCATTAGTGTCGCAGATCTTAGACAGAGAATGCGTCTCAAAACCATCTTATATTTTTGTTCAGTTTCAGTTTTATTTTTATTCAGATTTCTCAATTTATATTTTGTGTTCGTGCAATGTATTTTTATTTGCACCCATATTGGTGCGCTATTCAATTAATCAACTATTATACGATGTACCGATTAAATGCCTCGCATTATGATTTACAATTTGTGTGTATGGTTTCAAGGTATACTCTTGCAAAAGTTCTGTGTCAGTGCACAAATTTTTTTAATGGTTCTTGATCTTGACATCTGTGAGGACTTCTGCTAAGTACCAACACTCAAAGACAAAAACCTGAGAACCCTGTTTGTCATGAAGTCAAACAGGTATCGATGCGGAGCACTTATTCAATTCCTAATTTGCCTGTTTAGAAGATGAAAAAAAAAAAAAAAAAAAATGTTTGGTGACTTTTATCTCTCAAAAATGTTGAAAATTTCTTAACAATCAGACTGAGATATGATCTGAAATCATTATTCCGTCCTTTTTTGTCAATGATTCATTAATTATTTACTTGTAATCCGTCCGATTATTTAGTTTAAATTGTCCGGTTTGTCCAGTCAGTCTTTTGAAAACTGAAAAGTAGAGGAGATCTTTCCACTCCTTACCATTTATTTTTTAAAATTAGCTTGTAGTTTGATTCGATCCTTTGTCCGTCCATCTTTTGTGTATTTAAAATTTATGTTAGTTTATTCTTTATTATAAAAATAAAAATTCTATACAAGCCTTGGTTTTAGTGTATGTATTTTTTTACTTGTCGTAGAGGGGGCTTGAAGAAGTAACAGATTAGTTATGCTAAAGTGTAAGTTTACCCACTTTTAAAATGAGACGTAAAATATCCTGTCCTAATTTTTATATTTACTCCAATGCTGTGATGAAGGTAACATCGAACCTCTGTCTATTTCTAAAAATCGATAAATTTGCAGACTTCAGGCACAGCAGAAGGAATACTTCTGTATAGGAAATAAATCTGCGTAATTTTACCGTGACATCTCCACCTTAAAAAATTTGTATCACCTCCAAATTCCCACATTCACTGTAATGAAAAAGTTGCCAAAACTGTATGGGAAAATATTCCATGAAAATTCCTCTTTTTTTTAATAGGTACCGATGATGACAGGAAATTTTCCACATCGCTAAGGAAACTCAAAAGTATTTTTGCAGTATTTTAAAAGAACTCATTTAAGAGAACACCATTGGAGTAAATTTTAATGAAACCTTGGATATCGTTTTTATTTTTGCTGAGTTGCAAAAAATATGCTGTTAGCATTCTTTACTTAAGCGTGCATTTTTCAGTCGCAATCTTTGAATTTATTATAGTGCCTAAGTGAACAATTCCTATCAAGTTACACACTAGCCACTAGCCTTTAAAAAGAAAAATTACTATTTTTAAGTAATTAACACCTTGCTCCCTTTCACCGGAGAGAAATTTTTTCAAGAGATTTCTTGAAATTGGGCTTAATTTATTTTCACCCTAATAGTATCCTAATCGCATTAATAGTAAGGGGCTGGAAACGTTGAAGTACTTTTAGAATAAATTAAATTATCTACGTTTTTAGTACTTGATTCTGGATTCAGTACATCGGGTAGGTACGGGATAAATTTATTTTGATTTAATATTTAAGTGACCTCCCTCAACTAAGCCTCCCCTTTCACCAGGGAAAAAAAAAAAATTATTAGTAAGTTAGTAAACCTAAAGAGCGCAATGCTCATTTGCCAGCTCCCATAGTAAAATCCGATTAAAAATCGGGCCATTCATTCGTTTCCTCAGCGATAAGTAAACCGCCCAGTAACTTTTATTTCTCTCTCTTAATCACTGAAAGCAAATAAGAGACGAGACAAAAGGTCGCGGGGATCACATTGCAACGTTATCACCGAATCATTATCGTGGGCAAAATTTTAAAACGAGGCGCTCGGATCCACTCGTTTATTTCTTCACCTCCTTTTTCATAAAGCGCCTTGCTCAGCAAAAACACTATGAATGGGCGAGCGCAATGTCCGTACGCGTCTGCGCAGGAAGTGTCAAGTTTGGCTGAATGTCATTTCGAGCGACTTCCTCGTTCATTCATAAAAATAGTACGATCACGATTTCGCAACCCACTTTTTATTCATGAGAAAATTTGAAGGTTCTCGATAGTATTTTCGGCTGCGGAGTTGCTGACGACTGCGGGAGGCATCGCCAGGCTCTCATGGCTCTGCTCATTGACGCGACGTCATTTCATTGTGAATTCACGCGCGACGATTCATGAATGAACCGAGCGGCAAGTCAATGAATTCCTACTAAGCTTTCAGTGCTACGACCCATATTGTATGCCCAACGTAGCCCCTGCCCGACCATTCGATACCACACGGCATTGCATCGCTGGATCATTCAACAATATTTTCCGCTGCTTTTCTCATTTTGAATACAAAACATAGAACTTCCTAAAATTCATTCCGGCCTTCAATGAAAGTTTATCCTATATTTTGTGTTTCTATCAGTGCTCTAATAACGTTTTATACATGAAGTGAACCTACTCCGCGCGTAATTCTTGAATAAATCGCACTTTACGGTGGCACTACTTTATCGAGTCAATCACTGAATTGAAATTATTTTTGTCATGCGTTCGACGAATGATTAATGGCAGCGCATGCGTAGGCTGATATCCTGTCTGAGTTTGTGTTACAGTTCCTCAAATGCCTTGAAAATGAATGGTTTGCAGGGAAAATGGGGTTTTTTTAAGTTAAATTGTTCCGCGAACAATGACAGAAGCCTTTGAAGAGTAAGTCAATTTATTTATCTTTCAATTTCATTGAATTTTGGGCGTTAACGCTCTTCTCGAAGATAGGCTACTTTCAATGTTGACCTACACCTATTCGCCTCCGAACGTATTTCGTGGATTCATTCCATGCTAATCATGAATGGATTCTCTACTACGAATTCTCTTGTAGCCTCTCTTCGAGTCTGGTGAAAATCCGAGCCATTGTAGTCTCTATGCCTCTGCCTTGAAATTTATCATGGAATGATCATGAGCTCCATTGCAGTGAGCTCCCATAGTTCCACCACTCAATTACAGATCAACTCATTGTTTAGGGAACTTTTCTGTGAACTCAAAGTAAACTTTAAGTTTAGGTCGTAGCTTAGTAGTCTAGGAAGTCTTATTACCTTTCTTTGTCTACTAATCATCACTGAATTATCTCCCTCGAATTCGTGTATTAACTGTCTCTACCTGACCAAGAACGCAGTATTAATTGATTAACTTCTTTTCTATCTTCGTTGAGGTTTAGTTCTCACCGATCGCTAATGTAGGGGCTTGAATTTTAGTAAAGACTTAGGGTGGCTTCACAAACTCTGTAATGTTACGAACCTACGCTCACGCCTCTAAATTTAGTGATGTCACCAATTGATAACCTCGAAGTGAAAACAGCATTTTCTCTCTCCCTTGACTTGTATTCAGAATTTCCCTACCGAGAAAAGCACTTATTATGTTTATTAAGTGCGCATGTAACACTTGCTCTTTCTCTATCGTCCTGATAAGTAAATGTATCGTTGTGAGTTTTTCATGCCCATCACGAATTTGTTGAGCTCTCACTTACGACGCCTACATTATCTGTTTTACCTGATTGTACTGTGCACCGTGTGGCACAGAGGAAAATGCAGGAGAAACATTGAATTAATATGCCCTGGTGTTCCTTATCTGATTGAGTAAATCAAAATCATCCAAACTCAAAAGTTATTTTTCATTCATTGTGAACTCAAAAAGGTAAAACTGTTTGTTATTGATTATTACATTGACCATTCAGTATGCATCTCATCTCTGCTTCATATGAAGCAACATTTGACGAAAGTTAAATATCATTGTAATTTATTCACCCCTTACTACTATTTTCTGGATGGGTGTTTGTCAGTGGGATGTAGAAACCTTGTAACCATCCCTTTACGGACTGCAAACTGCCATCAGCCCTAATCTTTCAGATTTACCAGTTAAAACTTCTTTTTTATATTTATTTATATTTTTGTGACTGTGAGATGCTCCCTCTATTCTCAAAACCCAAGAACTGTTGTAGTCAAGAAGTTTCTAAACTGCTTGTCAGCTTGTTTATTCCTCTTAATTATCAAACATGTCTCTGCTTTAATATACACAATGAAAAGGTTCTTTCGACAAGTACTTAAGTTTTACCATGAGAATGTTTTAAGTCTTTGTACCGTTTACATGTGTAATTATTTGAAATCCCTGAATGTGCAGAGATATTTACTCTCCTTTCTTTGAAGTTCATTTGTATTTACAATGCTCCTAAATGTCTATAATTAATTACACTGTTTGATCCCTCTTTTAGTGGAGTCTACTTGGTCAAAGTGCTAGCGCAGGTGATGACAAGAGACGACAGCACAGGAGGATGGGTTCCTATGGGAGGTGGGGGCCTATCAAATGTGTCTGTCCGAAAGCGTCTCATCACCACAGCCCCCACCGAGGACAACAAGTTCGAATATCTCATTTTCGGGAAAAGAATCTTGGATCAATCGGTAAGATCAATTTTGCCTCCTCTATCCTCGTGCATGTTTAAATTAGAGCCTCCATTATGCATGATAAGCATAAATACGTTCAAGTACGCAGGGCTTGTCATTTTGGACGACAAATTTTGCGTAAAAACTATTTCAAATCAAGTGTTTCAACACTGAACATATCCTGTAATGCCAAATAATGTTACCATAATATGTTTGGATAATCAGTAGGGTAATAATTCAAAAGGGACTAGATATGGAGGTGAGGTCTGGGCATATCATGAAAAGGGTAATGTGGATAAAATGGTTTTCTATAAAGGGGTAAGGGATTATAATAAATTTAAGTGTTACAATATGGAAGAATTGGGGCTGGAGGCATTTAAAAGGAACTTGTCGTTTAAACTGAGGGTATATCAAAACAACAACTGGGGTGAGGGAAGATAGCTGAGGGAAGTTAACAGAGAGTGTATATGAATGGTGAATGTACGGTATGTGAAGTTGGAACGGGATTAGCCTTTCAGGCTACTTGAAAAAAAAAAAGAAAAAAAAAGGGAGGTGTCAGGAAACCACCCTGATTTTCCATACATATTATGGTAACATTCCTTGACATTAGAGGATATGTTCAGTGTTAAAAACACATAATTTGAAATAGTTTTTACGCAAAATTTGTCGTTCAAAATGACAAGCCCTGTGTACCTCAGCATATTTCTGCTTTTCATGCATTTCATTTTTTAAAGTCTGTAGCAACCCTGCTAATAGTGGGTGAGTTAATACATCGTCACCTTCCAGGCAAAGTATCACAAGCGCCATGCGACGTTTAAAAATTTCCGCCGCCATTTTATTTTTTTACAGAGAAATTGTTCAACGAAGCTGTCTGAAAATTTCACTGAATTTTCTTCGTGCTGCCGATAAAATTTAGTGAAATTTCCAAACAGATTCAACCAACAATTTCTCAGTAAAGAAATAAAATGGCGGCGGAAATTTTTAAATGTCGCATGGCGCTTGTGATACTTTGCCTGGAAGGTGACGACATGATGACCAATCTCCCACCCATTAATCTTATTCTTATTCATTATGTTTTTCATCATTCCCATCATTTCTGATTAGCCCTGCTACCATTTCGTTTTAAGGGTCTAACAATTCTATATAAGTGTAGGTTAAAAAAAGTATAACAATAGGTTTAATTCTCTTGCAGTACCTTGAATCGCTCCTCAATTAAAGTCAAAATAGTGCTCAGTTTAAAAATAAATTTTGTATGCTATATTTGAAAAAACTGCTTTCAATGCCTTTTTTTTACACTGTTGGTAACATATTGATGGTACTGTTGAAAAATGGCAACTCTAATTCCTCTTGAATCCAAATTTGCTGCCAGCTGCTATTTATGAGCCTTGAAATTAATAAAAATTGTTGGAATATGAAAGCATCTTGGAAGGAGGTTGGTGACCTCAGTGAGTATATATTATCTTGTCGTTGGCTATCTTGAAAATGGTTTGGTCTATGGAAAAGTCTTCCTTTAATAAGTGTTTAAATTTTATTCCATGTTGAATCACAGCTAAACAGCACATGTTACGCTCTGTGCTTTAAATCTCCCATTTTACAGATCTCTTGATGCTGTCTTGCACCCACCAGCTTCAAGGCGTAAACAAATCGGCGGAACTGCCACCACCTCCTTGTTTTCTTCATGACTTTAAGCCCTTAAGTTTCCTCAAGTAAAGGAAGGAGAAGGGCAAGAATGCCGAATTTTTCTTTTGAAAGTACTCATCCCAAAACTTGTAACACTCAGCATCAGAGACATTAAATACAGGACTGCAGAACAAGTTTGGATGGAAAGAAAGAGTTTGGAAAGCTTTTTTTCCCTCCATTCTTGAGCTGTATTTTAAATTTTCAGGCATTGTTACCCTGTCTCATGTTGCATTCCAAGAATTTATCCATCTTTGTCTATTTTATAATGGATCAATTGCATCCATTTTTCTTAAAATTAATTTTCTGCAAGTACGGAAAGAATTAAGCCTCTTGGAATTTTTTGCCGATTCCTTTTGACCCTAAAATGGCAAAGAAACCCTGTTTTGAAAATGCCAAAATGAGACCTGTTTGAAACGATAATTTTGATGAGCTCTGATGACCTAGCCAAATGAGAATAGCCCTGGTTTCTGATCTCTTGTGATTTGCTTTTACTTTCTCCTGATTATAACGGAGGAAATTTCCTCCTCATTCTTGTTGTTTCAGGTTGTCTTCAGTTGCACGATCAAAAAGGATTTTGAGTACAATAAAGTAATGCCAACTTTTCATCACTGGAAGACAGGAGACAAAAAATTTGGGCTGACGTTCAACACAGCAGCTGATGCACGTGCCTTTGACAAAGGAGTCCGGATAGCTGTCGAAGAATTATTAGATGGCAAGTATCATTACTAGAATAAATCTTATCTGTCTTCGAATAGGTCACTGTTTAGGGTAAGAATTTAAGCACCCGAATGTTAATGAATAAGGTTGCTGCACCATGTTGGCAAAAATGGTTTCAAATGTGATAGAGATCTTGTTCAACCTCATTCGTAAAATTATCGTATAAAACCGTTTCAGCACCATATACCACCATACAACACCATGGTTGGAGTATAAATTCAATCATCGTATTAAGATTTTTGAAGTCGCACAGAATTTCACAAAATATCCAGAAAAAGAGTCAGAGTTGCACTATAGAATTAAATATGCACTAAAGAGATTCACACAGTTGAAGATGTAGCACTGAATTTGGGGTAACACAACAAACTTGTTGGCACACAAACTTGTGGTCTAAGAGATGTTAGAAGAACCAAAAATGAGAGACATGGGTCTGGGGTCTGAGGGATGTTGGAAGACCAAGATTGGACTCGCATAGGTCTCGGGTCTAAGCGATGTAAAAAAGACCTTGAAAAATAGGGAGCACATGCTTATATAGCCTTACGAACGTCACGGGTGGTGAGACAGCAAAACTACTCGTGATTGGCCTATGTGATAATCTATGTAGCTATCAGCTACAAGTTTAGTAATAAAAGAGATGGTTGGAGGATAACTGAAAAGAAACAAAATTTTGAAGAAAAAGGAATGAATCCAGCCAAGTTTAAAGAATGTTTTTAAAAAAAATGTGGGAAAGTGTTGGCACCTAATACTTATTTTCTAGTCAAAATTTCTTGTAGAACACCTTGAAAATGTCCAAAGCTGTAAGTAAGAATTTTGCATTTTTACCTATCTTACTGTAGAATCAGAATATTCAAAATTAGGTTGGTTGAGTATTTTGGGGCTGGAACACCGAAGTAGTACATAGTGTGAAGTGCAAATGCACCTAAGATTGAACTATTAAAACGACAAAAACTCTGATATCAAGTTGCATGGCGAGAAGAATTTGTTAACTCAGGCTCTCCCTAGCGCAGCCATTAGGACTGTGCGTGACTTGTGTAAGAGCACAGATAAATATTTGCCAATTTAGGAGAAGATGATAATTGTATAACAAGCGAATACTTAATTGCAATTTTGTCTTAGAGAGTAAAACAGAGTGAGGCAAAGCAAGAAAGGACGGTTTTTTGCTTTGGACAGTTGGATCGTGCGATCTTTTTTTGTGCCCTCTTTTTGACAGTGTTTCAGTTTCTTTGTTTGCTTTAATAGGGAATGAATGTTAGGTTCAAAGATCAGGGAATTCGAAAATTCTGAAGTTAGGGAAAAGCAAAAATATGCCAGGGACTCAAAAAATGAAAAAATTACAAAAGCCCCATTTATTGTAGTTATTTTTTTAAGTGTGGTAAAATTGACAAACAAATCTCTTTGACTGGTTTAATTCTTGCGCAATCAAAAGAGGTTAATGAATATGCCTAGAACAAAAAATTATTGTTACTCTCAGGTATCATTCAAGTACCGGAACAACCCTTTTATTCAGTTCATGTGATCAAATCATCACACAGAGTGTGCCTCTTCAGTTATTTGAAAAGAATAGGGCAGAATATTCTCTTAATACGAGTCAAGATAACCTTCTGTCTTAAAAAAATAGGAAAAAAATGTCATCACTAGATTTATGTCTAATCAGATGTACTTATGCTGAAAGGAATTATGTTTCAGTTGAACCTTTCACACATAGTTCCTTTTAGTGTAAATGCATTCAAATTATCTATTGCCACATAATCATTCTGTATATTTTGTTTCTTATGCTTTTCCCCTTGTGGATGTTGATCTATGTGTGGTAAGTATTCATTGAGAAATGATAGATCAGAGCTTTTGCATGCCATGAGAATTCCCAATTTGAAGTCATCATACTACGTAAATTTCTACAAGAAACATGACTTTCACTGGTTTTCTCAGAAAAGAATTCCCAAGCTTAAAGCGTTGCGTAAGAGAATGGAGAGGTCGTAACTACGTTTCTGTGACGTGAAACGTTCTCAGGCGTTGGCCTAATGCAAAAACTCAGAGGGACCTTTTCAAAAGAGGATGAAATTTCACTGCAGAAAACTATCTAGTCCTTAAATGACATTGTCTGATGATGGTGATGTGGAAATGAAAGCTACAAGCCAGAAATTGTTACTTTATTAAGATCAAAACGCGCTGCTCATGCAACTTTTGCCAATCATGGGCCACTCTGATTGGTCCATGTGACAACTGCGTCACTCCTCGATGTTTTGATGACCTGAAAATGATAGTTGTTTTCGGTTAACATCCACTAGTCTGACATCACAAAACTGAGTTATTATGGCCTCTCCATTCTTGTAGACAACGCGCAAAGGGAGCTCTCCAAGTTGAGGTTATGACAGGGGATCATCCATGTAATAAGAGAGTCCACCTTTATATTTAGTCAAAAGTCTCCTTGCACACATAGGAAGTAAATACATTGCCACTTCTACTTCCACCACCTTCTTCTTCTTCTTACCACTTCTTCTTGGTTGCCACTTTTTATGGGGACTTCAGAGTAACAGTTGCAGCTCTGAGCAGCAATGAGCTGCCAATGTATTCGCTCCCTGTCTGTATATGGAGGATATAAGTGGACTTGGAGGTAGACTTTTTGGTGAAAAAGAACATCTCCTCTATTACCTCACACTTGAGAACTTTTCTTAAATCTGGGATTTCGTCTCGGAGGAAACCAGTGGCACTATCAAGTTTTTTGTGAAATTTTAAGTCGGATGGACTGCTTAAGTAAATCCTATTGCAAGTGCTATTCAGTAAATCCTCCTGGCGTACAAGAGTTCCATTGAACTCCAGTTCTATTTTTCAGGTTTCGGCCAGTATACATTTTTAAAAATATTCGGATTTACAAACTTTACTTTTTCTCATTCTTCTACCTTGTTTCTATGTATCACCAAAGGTAGACTGGTCTGAGAGGTAGGACGACGATTACCCCGGGAACTTCTCCGAAAGGGGCCCTCATTGGCAATTTTCGGGAGTTCCTTTTTAGCCTTCCTTATGGAATATCATAGAGCTCTCAAGAGCCTCGTTTTAGTTTTTTGCGAAGATCCCCAACAAAGACTCATTGAGTATGTTTGAGAGGCTCACTCATACTATCAAAAGATATACCAGAGAAACTTTCGTGTAGGCCTTTCGGACCAATTTTTAATTCATATGAGACATCAACCCATGGTTTCAACTACCTTGCAATCGAATCCAGTTTAACATGACCGCCATGTGATTCACATCATGAAGAAATTATCATTTTTTTTTTCTAAACAGAAAAACTCATTTTAAACAATCATAACATTGCAAGCATAGTCAAGTGTTACAATTTGTACCTGAGAGCAATTGAAGTAATGCAGATGAAAGGATAACGACCAACATTTCTCCCTGTGATGTCACAAAATCTATTGGTGCAATATTTTTTTGTTGGAAACAGAGTTGGATTTTAGGCGATTCTAAAAGTCATTTTTTCTGCTATAATTTGATAAAATGAAAATTTTATACATTCTCATCATTTAGGTACTTTCCAAAAATGAATTTCATAAAAAATTGTGTAACACCCTAACTATTTGTACCATAACTGAATGGAAAAGATTTAAAGGATTTTTTATCTTAGGAGGAAAAGACCCCACTTACCTATGGGGTTGTTGAAGTATTACCTGAGCTACCCAGGGGAAGGTTCTGAGCTTGCTGTAAGGGCTCAAATGAGGGGTGGCGAAGGGAAGTTGAGTCCGTGTTATTCGAGGAAAGCTATTTTTTGAAGCTTTTTCTTGAAAGTTTGAGGTGCAATTCAAATGTGGAGGTGTTAGGTTGTCTTTCGGATGCTTTAGAAGAGGGGAAGAGTATGTAGTATGTACTTGAATCATTCCTTGATTCCTGCTTGTTACTATTTGACTGTATTTCATCCTAATTAAGTTGTATGTTATTTGCAGGGCGAACTTTGAATGTTGTTCCTACGGCACCTTCCCGGAAACCACCAGTAGATATTGTTGATGATGATGTTTTTATGGTGAATATTACTATTTAAATTATATTTTTCCTTCTTTTGTGTGTGTGTTGATGAGATATTTCAAAATTTTTGAGAAAAAATGACCCCAAATACGCTGTCAAAAATAAGTTTCATCTTAATGAGCTAGATAAAGAAAAAAGGCAACTGTGGTTTTCATAATCGTTGTGTGTGGCGGTCATTACATGAATTTATGAAGGGGAAAACATCCATCTCTTTAAAATTGTCCATATTCTTAGATTATTATGGGAAGGGTCCTGACAAAACACCGATAGTGTACTTGGCTTCAACGTTGGTCCGACAAATCGTCAAAAATCACTAAAATTTAAAAATTTTATTTTGAAAGTTAAGAGTATACATAGATTTGGAAAACCAGAAATTGTCCAGGAAATGAATGTGCTAGAATATGTGTAAAACTAAAGGAGGGTTGAACCTTTTATCAGAACTTTAAAATGTGTATGGCTCTAATCATTTTAACAAGTAGAAAAGTATATGCTTGGCTTTCTTTCTGACTTGTCCTTTTCACCTGCACTGTTTATCAGCTTTTATTAGATGAACAATTTATCCAGTCATTTCAATTTATGAGTCACCCAGAAACGTCAAGTCAGAAAGAAAACCAAGTATAAAATTTTATAAATGGAGTATTTTATTAACAATGCCAAGATTTTAATTATTATTATGATCTTGAGTTTTTATAAAAGGAAACCCCATAAAACCCCTCAACCACAGTTGGTTTAGTTTTTGAATCAGTACTCAAGTATTTTTAAAAAATGAAATGTTGAACATAATGTCCAATAGTATGAACCAAGAAGAAACTGATAGGAACACAAGACCTCTTTTTTAAAGACCTCTTTTTTAATGATTTAGGGTGGCTTTAAGGTACAATTGTGAGCCTAATCCGGTTTTTCAGGTGGATTGAATTGCCAATAAAAATTTATTTTTTTCCTTTTTTTTTGTTTGAAAATGTTTGCCCTCAATCAAATTTTTAACTCTCCTGAATACTTTTGGAAAATCGCCGAAGTTCCTGTTTTCTTCGCATGATCCATGCTTAATGGCTTAGGACCAATCCTATCTTTACATAACTTTTTAATTTACTTTTGTGTCTGCATTATAGGCATTGGATCTCCCTGTGGAGTCACGATCATCGTCGGACTCGTCTGGTGGAAAAGCATCAGTTCCACCTGCGCAACCCTGCACGGACTACAGTTATGTTCAGTTGACGGACATGTACAACGTGAATGTAGAACGTCGCGACAGCACAGCTAGTTTGAAGAAGAAACTGGCTCCTCCAGTGTTATTGGATAAGGTAGAACAGAAGAAAAGTTGTGTGGCAACGTGCATCGACACAATCACGTGCGTCTCGTGCTTAGACCATTGTATTGACTCGGAGGACGACATTTGCTCATGTAGTCCTCACGGAGATAACCATTTGAAGAGGTGGGCGGGGCTAGCTCTGTTATCTCTTTTTATACCTTGTCTTTGCTTGAATCCTCCCTTGCGTGCTTGTCATCGATGCTGCACCCGCAGCTCCTAGCCCATCCCCTTGCCTTTATTTTATTTTTTATGAGCACGGCTCTCTCGTGATTCGGGAGTGTGCGGAGAGCACCAAAGCAGTTTGGCTGTTCTTGTTTCATTTCTATTTTGTAATTAATATTTATAAATATTTGTAAATTATAAATCTGTACACTTTTATTTTGACTGTATCATACCAATTAATCGCTCGTCTTTTCATAATGTTTATTGTTTCACTAGACGTATTGTTATCTTTTGAATCATTTATGTTTACTTCACTCCTTCGTATTTTCCAACTGGTTAATGATTTGTGTCAGAATTTTTACAATTTGATTGTGAATCAATTGAATGCTAACGATTTCTTAAAACATTTTTGTAAAAATGCTGGTATTTTAGTGCTTTCTCGAAATTTTAAACAACTGTTCTTCAGTCTCTCTATAAAATGTTTTGACCCTAAGGTTTTGCAATCGCGGATGTAGTTTTTTCTGGAACAATCATTGATCATAGCCAAGATACGAAGGAAACTTTTTTTCTCTCTACCCAAAGCAAGGATCTTTGTAACAGTTTCATGCTAAAGATTCCCATGTCCAGTACATTGTTTCAGAGTCAGCTCCACTGTCATTACCATTAATTGGACGCTAATATTGGTCTGAGATGCCATAAACATTATGTAAATCTCTCTCAAAGCACCACGAATGTACATTAAAAAGTCAATGATGTATGTTTCTATCAGTTGAAGACAAAAGCAGGTTTTCCCAACCTTGAAACAATGTAATGATCATGGAACATTTTCGCATGAGCTGCTGTATTTCTGGTTGGACTCTGTAGACTGCTTCTTACCTCAAGTGTCTTGCTTAAGAATCTCACCCAGTTTTGTGAAGATAGTTCATGATTGAATTGGAGGTAGAACTGGTATGTAACTGGCTCTACTGTTCAGAGATAGTATTCAAAGAAAGTCAATCCTTTCGATCCAATGTTATCAGCTCCAAACCATGTATCATTTTGAATGGCAATGAAATTGTTTTATGTCGTCATGACCGCTTGTGAAGAAGACTGGAACCTCATTATGAAAGAATAATTCAAACAAAGGCGCTGTGTATATAGATAAATGAGCAATGAATGAACATTTTAAAGGAAGTTTTTAAGTTGGAAACATCTATCTACAAAAGGAATTTTGAAATAATGCATTTCTATTAGAGCCTTATCGTGAACTGCACGATTTATTATTATTATTCTACAATTCCCTTTGTAGTTACATTTTTCTACTTAATGATGACCAATTAATATTTTGCTTTCCATCATAGAAGAAATACTAAAGGTGGTGGTGAACCAGTAAATGTTTATTACTGTGTCTCAGCAAGCAATGGCAAGTTCGATGATGATCTTTGCACAGGTGGATATAGTTGGTCGAAAGCAGTGTCTGCCCCTTTATGTAGCCTCATTTTCATCAGCTGATAAGTGGATGTACTCTCCTACATCAAAGTCAAATTTCAGAATGGTTCCCTTGCCACCACCTTTTGTAATTTCTCTACGACTTTCCGTAGCATCTTAAGGAAACAAATTGTTTTCGTATAATTCTGTTTTTCTACCTGTTATGTCTAAAGAGCACAAACAATTGGTTAGTAAGAAACTTCGCAGCATTTATTAATCAATACGTGGCTCATTTTGTAGCCCATGATATCACTTTCTCCCTTCAATTTTTCTGTTATTTCCCTTCATTATCCTTTTAATCATTCACGTTTACTTCTAAATGATCTTCAACTCTGAATATGCATTTACAAAAGGTTACAGAGTGCTAAAGTAGAGATCTAAAATCAGCTTTTCTTTTTTGCAACTAGAGTTTTCTCTGGTTTTTATTGCTCAAGATTTCAATTTTATGAATACTTTGATTTTTTTCATGGTCAAGGTATTTGTTCATCAATCAAAGAAGTTGGTTTATCATGGATGAACCGTAGGGTGTTACTGTCCATTGGTGATCAATTAAAGTTGAAAGTTTGTGTCAAAAAATTAAAGAAGGTTGGGTCCCTTCAGAGCTACTGTTAAAGATCTAACGGGATACCAAGATGTCTACTGTAAGGAAAAAATCCGGGTACACTGAATTGGTAAAGATTTTAAGAGGCCCAACGAAAGTTCTGAAAACGTAGGAGTTTTTATATTAAACTTCAGAATTTGAGTTTTTTTAAAATGAACTTATAGATAGAGACTCGGAAATCAGCAATTTTTATACATCCTCTTCATGTGTAATTCATGAAAAAGCTGGTTAAATGCCCCCTTTAAAGTACAATCTAGTGAAAATTGAAAAATAGTGAATTAATTCACACTGAAAAACTGATAATAAGCAACATGTTCCTTAAAATTTCTATGTAGGTATGAAGATAGCAGTATTTCTTCAGAATTTTTACCCTTGAGTAAAAACCTTGATGCAAAGGATAACATCAGATTTCAGCCCTTAAAAATGTATTGATCATCAATGCACAGACTGATGATAGGCACATATTTCTAATTATTTCTTCTCTGTGTCCCTTGTTTTTTCAGGAAGCTGCTCAAGATTACAGCCTCCTTTTCCTTTATAATTAACTTATTTATTGTATCAGTACAGGGGTCATTCATAAAATACATAACGCTGAAAATCGGATTTTTTTATCTCTCTCCCCCTCATATTGAACCTGTATTGCACTCCTTTAAAGACATCATGTTGCTCTCAGTTTGACCTCCCTTTTAAAGAAACTAAGTCTGATAAAATTTAGATGAGAAATTGGCACCTTGTATTAGATTTTGAAAAATTAGCACCTTGCTCTCATTCTGGCCTTACGTAAGAGCCTTGGACACCCCCCTTACCTCTGTAATGCACCCATAACGCAGGCTCCGAACTTCTTGTATTTTATGAACAGCCCCTAAGTGACTTCATCTCTCTTGCTTGTGCTTAAGGGTTCTCATTTCATCTCACATTTTTTATGACCTTATCTAATGCCTGTTGTAAGTTAGTTGTCTTAGACTATTTTTTTATATTGAGTTAATGATCTTTAGTATCTATAAGTCTATTTGCTGTCAAAAGCCAAGGAAACAAATAAATTTACAAGAATGCTGACAATATAAAGTTTTATGTCTGAACACCAATTTAAAGTATTTACTACTTTTTCGAAGTACTTAAAGTCTTATTTGCTCCATTGACGGAAGCTTTGTCCAAACTTCTTTTAATTGTTTAGTTATTGTATCTGCAATACTGTCCTTTTGTCGTTTTTTCTTGTCACTCCAAGTGCCAGTCAAAAATTAAGGAGCTGTACCTACTTTCATGGTTCGTGCATGGCTTAGAGCTTTGAAAAATTCTTAATTCTAAACTTTTTTTCATCAAGGCCAAATTACTTGAATTTTATTCTTTACTAATTGTCAGTGTTAAGTGTCTGTTGTATTTACGAAGTTAATAGTGATGAGAAAAAGCAGAAGAATGAAGAACAAACGTAATTCTCCTAAATTAAAAAGATTGTGTGTTGAGGAACATATTACGAAAAAGATTGTGAAAGGCGCTTAAAAATTTTTCAAAAAATGCTTAATTTCTTATTCTCCAGGCTGCACGAACTGTGACTTTCTTGTCTTATGAATGAAGGTTGTCTTAAGTGTGCCATCAAAGGCAAAGAGCGCTATTAATGTTTTGTTCTTGTGATACTAATTAAAGTGGGTGGAGACTACTTGCTTAGTAGGGCCTGATTTTTGTTAATAGAATGCAATCTCATAGTGTAAAGGACTCTGCTTATGATCTCTCGAGTTAAGTCACAGATTATAAGCGGCTAGTGAGGTTTTCAATTAGATTTTTTTTAAGTAATCTTAATGGATTATAACCCATTGTATTTTGACATTGTTATGAACATGATCACAGTATGAGCGTAACTGTCATTCTATTAGTTCTCAGCATCATCAGAATGTTTTAAGAAGGGAAGCCACAGATTCCTTAGGTTTAACTTTTTTGTTATGTAAAAATTAAGACGAACTAATTTTGCTGTGCTCAGGAAGAACGCTGTATGAGCCTTCTTATGTTGCTAAATTTCCTTTGTTTAAATACGAATTTTCACAGAAATTTGTGAGTATTTTTCCTCAAATTTTTCAGAGAATTTTATTTGCAGTAGGATCTAAACTTTTTGAAAATTGTAAGAGAAAATTTCGTAACTGTCCTCAAGAATAAATATTTCATCAGAGGAATTGTGGCAACTCTCGAATTTTCATATAGCATTCTCCCTTAGCGCGGCAGAATATTTCTCCATCAAAACCAAATTCAAGACACCAAATCCGCATACTCATAGACTGGAATAGCTTACCTGGAGAGTCCCTCATAAAAAGGAATTTCAAATCTTTCTTTTCAAAAATGTGACCTAATTCCTGTATGATTTTGTTTTAATATTATTATCATCAGCTATTCAAAGTTCTTTTGTAACGAGAAAAAGAGTGTAGAGAGCTATCCACATTTGCTCAATACATTGTTTTTGTAATTGATTAATCATATTAAAATTTTAATTTGTTCAAATCAACATTTGCCCCTCAATATCGGCTCAGGAGTATTGTATAATCGTGTAATCATCAGCCCCACATTCCGATTGACACCACAATATGTGTCACTGACATAAATCGGATTTGCCTGAAATGTCAGTCAGGCGGTTTCGATTTTTAGGTGTTGGAGCTATCATTGTAGTTTGCCTCATTATTTCAACGGCATTTCGTGATTCAAAGGCAGAGTCGTTCACAATTCTGTTAACCTTTTATTATTTTCTTGAATTGTCTTCATTGAAATGCCTAATCTTTATTGTTTACTCCTTGAGAATTTTCAGTCAAAAAAAATCGGATGAGACTTGTATTTTTAGGTACTCTGCTTTACCTAATTTATTTTTGACTGCAAAGACACTACTGTTCCACAGAAATTACATTTTGAGCACTCACAGAGAATGTAATCTGGATGAAACTTAAAATGGTTGTATTTGATGAATGTTCATAACCGATTTCACCCTCGCTTCATGTATAAGTAGCACCACAACAGTAACACATTCGCAAAAAGTTCATTTGTCAAAGGAGGTGTTGGGTCACTTTGATATGGCTATCCTATTTTGTAGTTGCATTGTGATGAAGGGGCCATCTAAAAATTGTAGAAACTTGAATTTTCCGAATCTTGACATCTCCTAATTTCCTGCAACGCTCGGCTGGCTCCATTTACATAAATTAACACTTCTATCTTCTTGGCTCTATGGATCTATTTTTTAAGAATATATTCAATGGTCAAATACACCAGTATTGCTTTAAACAATAAATGAATTAAAGTTTTTAGTTCAGTCGAGAAAAGTGTATAAAAGCAGAAAAATTATCATCTCCCTCTCTGTTGGTTAAAAAGTGCGTAAAGTTATATCAATATATTTGTAATGCACAAACTACCTTTCACCCCCTAAGGCGCCTTGTATTTTAGGAATGGCCCCTGCATTCACATACAGCTTGTAATATTTAATATCATCTTCTAAGAAAAAGGAGGCCCCCCCTATATGTCAACTTGTCTCCTTAAATTCATTATACAGCACGATGATCAATGACTCAAGTCGAAAAATGTGCATTTCAAATCGCAACGTTGTAATTCTCTACTCTTGTTTTATTTTCGTGAAGGAAAAATAATTACCTAAAAGTTTCTATCCCAACTTCCTGTGAATTTTCTTCTCTCATTCTAAAAATAATTACGCAAAATTGCAAGGAAACATGTTGATAAGTTTTCAATGAAAAAAATAAAATATAATCATATATTTATGAACATAGCAATTGAGATGCATGTTTTTCGCATTTTGTCATTGATATCATACCAAAGGCTCAATTGTACACTCTACTTTCTTTTTTGCCCATTAAGGTGGTTTTTTGCTAGTAAACTCATTTTATTTTTACAACATGCGGAACATATCGTGAATCGTGAATTTACATGAAGATGGCCTACAGGCTAAAGGAGGCCTAACAACTGTTATAAATTATCCAATTTATAATCTAGTTTTCGTTTGTACCCCGAAGCTAAAGAGAATTTTTAAATCCGATTCTTTCAAAGATATCATGAGCCCAAACTGTCCATCTTCCTGAAGATTTTCCAGGAACATCCATCAGATTCAATCAGGTTTAATTTTTTACTTGTCCCACCGATTTGTCAGGTCAGGACTATGCACTTTCATCTTATTTGAAAATGAGGTTTTGAAATATTCTCTCATCTAATGTTCCGTTGCATCTCATATCAATATTTTTAATCAATGAATACTTGGCATTTAGTTTTTCCAGTTCTTGTAGAAAAATCAAATCAATCCTGATTTTATGAAAATTCATTGCCGAGTTCTAAGGCTTCTTTCAAATCAAATATTTGTTAATATTTACCTGTTATTTTAATCCCGTCGAGGGTAACATGATCTAAACTTGACTACTTAATTACTCTCCAAGGAATCATCATTTCTCCTACGTGCTATCTGTTGTAGCTTGATCAGACCAACTTGAGTGGATAATCCGCTCAAGTCTGTAAATTATTGTTATTTTATCCATGGTTATTTATTCATTTTTTTGTAACAACTTTTTAACTTTAAACATATCCACTACCAGAAAATTTTAAACGATCATTGTTTCAACTCGAAAATGTAAGAAGTGGTATGCCAGTAATGTTAATGATATTTACCCAAGTATTTAACTGCGTGAACAGTGACTTTCTTCTCAGCTGATGCTCATTTTAAACTAATTTTAATGCCTGTGTATAAATTAATAATGTATTGTGTAAAAATAATAAGTAATAGCAGGAAGATGTAAAAATTGTAAATTTAATGCCCCACTCCCCCCTTGTTGAACCCATTGTTTGTTTTCATCTATTCGTGTGTTTGAGATGCAAATATTTTCTCTCTACGCTGTTATCGACTCCGAACGTAACCCTTGCCTCAATCACTCCTCTCCTTCGTTTTTCTGTACATACTTACATTTTTATTCTACCTCCCCTCCTTCACTTTGTTCTTGAACAATTTCTTTAATAGACTATTTTAAACTGATTGTTGTAAAATTATTCTCTTCAAGTTTGTTTTAACCTTTTAATAACAAAACGCATGTGAAATTTCATAGGCTCTTAGCAGGGCACGCCCTTTATTTATTTTCTTATTCTACTTGTCGGAGAACTTTTTTTTCCCTTTTTTTTTTGGCTAAAAATAAACATTTTTATTTTAAATGTGTAAATACTGTCTTATTGAGTATCCTGAACTTAGTCCCTGAACAATAATTTTTTTTTCTTTTCTTTTTCGTGAAGAAAGATGTGTTTGGCTAAAGGGAAGGGCCTTCACCCTCCAACGCACTTATTACAGGGATTGTTAAGGAAACCGAAAATAAGAAGTTTGCGTTAAACTATCAATATTTTTTTTTTGATTGTTAGATCCATTCATGTAGTATATGTACTAAACATCTTACATTTTTTGCTCAAGAAGTGCTGGAGCAGGTTCTGTTTTTCAAACCTTAAATCGTCTATTGCATACATTCACATATATGTAATTTAACTTATTTTCTTTTTTTAAAAATTTTGTACAAGCGCAACAATGTTTCTGAATGCATCTATGGAAGTCCAAGGTTGAATTCTATTGAATAAACATGACGGAACCCACTCCAATGTTGCTAAATTAGGTTAAAAAACTTTTTTTTCGGCAACCCTGGGATGCGTAGGTTGGCTCTGGCAACACATTTTCGGCGCAGGATTTGGGTTGGTAAGAGTGGTTGTATGGCAATGAAAAAAATATGTGCATATGCAGCACACGTCATACTATTTTTAGGTGACAACAGGAAATACTAGATGCAAAATGGGTTTTTAATAAATTGATTTAAAACCGAATAACATATGTGATCTCATGCATCTAACTCTGGCGGTGAAAAGGACAAGTTACATATCGACGGTGCAAGTCGGCAATCACATAACTCGGTTTGCGACGTCGCAGACTTCCTGTCATACTTTATTTTTTAGACGGAAAACTACTCAACGGCAATTCTTTAAAATTGCCATGATTTTTCTTCTCTGTGCGAAGAAAATTCTGCATAAACGTCAAGGAATGTTATCAATTTGTTCTCCTTTAAAAAAATAACATAGAGGCGGAGATTTTCAGACACCGCAAACGAGATATGTGATTGCCGACTTGCACCGTCGATATATGTCATTTCATGCAACCGATAAAAATGAACATATGGCTGACATTCACCTACAATTTGATTTATGCTGGCAAAAACAGTGTTCTCCTAATATTTAATCTCTGGCAAGACTAATGTTTTCTTTTTTTTTCCATGAAATGTACTTACACATGTTATTCATGTAACATCTATTTTTCGGGTTTTCACCAAAGTTGCATAGAATCACATATATGTAATTTTTCTTTTTAATTTTTTTATCAAAGTTGCATGGACCTAAATATATGTAACTACCACTTTGGGGGAAAGAGCCCCCTCCCGCCCAAAAAAAAATAATTTGGGACTCTATTTTTTCAAAGATCTTTCAGAAAAAATGTTTTATTTCAAAATCCGTGATCCAAAATTAATTCATGCAATAGAGGGACATCATTTCCTCAATGGTTCTTTATCATTTCCACACGTGCCTCAAAATGCCTTTGGGCTTATTAAAACTTAAAAACTTATGGGTATTTTTTATCTCAAACGTTAATTTCCACACATACTTTAGGAAACGTGGAGCACTTAGAGTACATCTGAAAATATGATGAACATTTTTTGCAAAGAAAATTACATGTATAAGTTGTAACTGAACTTATATACTCGTACTTTTTCTACAATATTTGAAACCAGAAAAACACTCAAAAAAATTTATTTTCAAACTCAAATTTTACCCACAGAGCCAAATTATTCGGCATACATCTACCTGAGTTTACAAAATTGATTGAAAAGGTCACTTACATTCTGTATTAATTCTGAGGTTAGGCCAAAATTTGCAACAAATTTTTGAAAAAATATAGCATTGCTGGGGGTTGTTCATAAAATATGTAACACGCTACTGGGTAGATGGAGCTCGCAAAGAGCGTATTGCCATTTCGTTTTGATGTGTCACAGAAGAAGGTCTTACGTTACAAAAGCATTTTGGGGAAATTAAGCATCATATTTCGTACAATCCTCAGACCTCAGACGCACTGGAATGATGGTAACATGTAGCTCTACCTTCAAACATACTTCCTGCAATCTGTCTCATATCAACTCCAAAAAGTTTGAGTAAAAGTAAATATTTTTGTTTTTGTTGTGTTCGCGGAGTGACATACCTAATAAAATCATAAGCACAAGCTTTACTGGGTCCTTCAAGTCCTAGGACCGGAAACAAATTTACTCGCAAATAATGAAATAACATCTTCTTGATGTGGATAAAATTAAAGATCACAGAATTATTACTTGACAATCTTATAAACCCAGACTGAGTCGATTCCAGACCCTATTTCTTGACTAGGTTTCAGTGAAGACAAAGGAAATCGGCAAGCGATAACATTCGCATTGTTATGTAATTCTCTATGGCACTTCTCCTCCAACTCAGGCATCTGCATGGAAAAAGAGAATAATCAGGCGTCTTGGAAGAAGAAACAAAAAGAATAATCAAGCGCCTTAGAGGCTACATTCAACACTGCTAGCAATCACTAATTAATACATATTCACAATATTTTAACATGACAATTTACTGATGCAGTGCAAGTAGTTTTCCAACTTCACTAGGCGCCATGCGTCTAAAAATGAGGCATTGGCACCTGAACACTCGGAACGCTGGCTAAACATTGCACCTCAAAAGAAGGACGTAAACTGCAGTAAATTCTTGAGGCAGAGATACCATGTGAACGTATGCCAAGAGCCATTTTGGCCCCTGAGAAATTGTGGATGGCCCCTAAAAATTCATCTTGATAACCAAGATGGCTCCTAAAATTTTACCTTGAATTTGGGCCACTGAGAGCAAATTCGCATTTAATCAGCATTTACTACAACGTATTATTTCCTTTCCGTGATGGGAAGTTTGATCTCTTCTCCGCATCCAAATTACTCAAAGGGTCAATGAAAAATACATGATCACTCGACTTTCACCGTTAGACGGAAAATAAAAATTTGGCTAATTGTTAACGAGATGTTAAGCTGTTCCATTGGACTAAAACAGACCAATTGGAGCACTAGGCAAACAGGATAAGAATAAATTGTGTTTCCATCGACCTTCCAACTCAATTCCAGTAGAGTTCATAGGTTGCAGGTAAACCTGTTGAACTGTCGAAACTTGAGTGACGCAATAAGGAGAGGTAAGAGAGGGTTGGACTCCTACCCAAACATCTTATCATCTAGAATAAACGGAGTACAAACCATTTCTTCAACGCCAAAAATAACAACATTCTGATAGGGAGTAATCTTGAACTTCCACAAATCTTGACGAAAGAAGCTGGTTTTTTTGGATAAACCAAGCCTTAAGGCCCTCAGTCGAGAATAAAGAACCAAAAGTAAGTTTAATTCTACTCCATCAGCTGAGAAACCGTTTTGAGCCGCTGATATTACCTGGAAAATTAAAGAATAAGTATGAACTGATTTTTCTTTTAAAGGGTGAGAAAAGGTAAGATCTGGTGTAATGGGTCAACAGAATCACTGAGTGTACTTAGCTGTATTAATGTACGTGGCTGTTCTATACCAGCGAATTCACGCGAGGAGCAATTGGACCCATGCCCTCCTCCCCTACAGAATTTCTCTAGCTCTGCTTACTTTAAGCTTACGGTACCTAAAAGTTTGTACCTAAAAATAATTAAGAGTAGCAGAGCTGGAAATAGTTTTTGGGGTTGATTATTTAAAGAATTCATGATGAAACAGGGTTTGTCCAAAATCTTCGATTCAAAAATTTCTCCAAAAATGTCACACGAGTAATCCCTCCATTCACTAGATGCTTCAATCATGGTTGATACTAGATGGCTCCATAAGTCTGCCGTGCTAAGGTAGAACGCTGTATGAACATTCGAGAGTTGCAAAATTTCCTTTGATAAAATGTTTATTTTTGAGGAAAATTATGAATATTTTTCCTTGAAATTTTCCGACGTTTTAGATACAAACAAAATTACCTGAGAAATTGGTAGACAAATATTCAAAAATTTTCCTAAAAATTAGTGATTTGCCAGGGGGAATTTGGCAACGCCTGAAGGCTCTTACGGTGCTCATCCATAGCACGGCAGAGGTGTGAATGATCTGCATACCTAGTATTAAAATCATTTATAGGCACTTACGATCCTGCCATCTCCACTGCCCAAATCAATGACTTTCCCAGATTTGCCCTCTAATGCTTTCATGACATTTTGAACTTGAGTTGTTGTTGCTGGAACATATGGCAAGCATACTCTACGGAAAGCAGGGGAGATAAACGGTAAACAGATGACACTTAGAGCAAGAGCTGTTCCTCCTGAAAACAGAATTTTCAACAAGGATAATAAATTCAATTATCTAACACAGGCAGAATTTCAGGAGAAAAAATCGCTGATTATTTGTGATTTTCAATCAAATCCAAACGATAAAATTAGAAAACCTTCATCTAATGAGTGACAATCGGTACAGATTTCTTTCCACTTTTTGGTTTTCAAATAAAACTTAATGAACATCATTCCTTCGCATTTTATTGTTTCTTATCACTCAATGGTCTATAAACAGACTTTAATTATAGACTATGAACATTCTCCCTCTCAGTCTTGTACTGGTACTCATTAGAGCTCAAAATTTTTGAATCGAATTGAAATTTTTGGATCTTCTTAGCTTTGTTTCCCCCCAACCCAAGTAGCATTTCTCAACAAAAAAATCGCTTCAAATTGCGATTTTATCGGCAATAAAATTGCCAGGATCATCAACATCTGAGCGATTTACCTCAATCTTATCGCGATAAAATCGTGCTTTTATCGCCCGACAATTTATCGCAATATTTTCAAAATAAAAATCATGATAAATGGCGATTTAATCTCAATTTTATCGACGAAAACTGATCACGATTTTATTGAACAAGAAATTGCGATGTGTAGCGATTTAATCGCCATATATCACAATTTTTAATGCGATCATATCTCGATATATTACCACTGATATAATCGCGATAACCAACCTATAAAATCGCTATTTATCGCAATCACTGCTACTTAGGGAAGTCGTGTGGACCCAGCGGCATTCACCACCTTGTAACTTACAGTTCGGGCCATTGCTTAGTGTTTTTTCTTACATAGACCATATACCCTGTCCATAAATACCATTTCAACATCAGCGCTTCGAATGGAGTACTTGAGGGGGAGATGTCTCAGACTGTGAAAGGGGGATATGGGACTGGGCATGAAGGGGGGGGGGATGTTCTGATGTCATTCATTGGCAACCTCTCATTCATATTTCTGCAAAGACGTGAAGCAAAATTGAAAATATGGAAACATCAGCTTCAAAACACGTTGTCCGAATACTATCAGCAACAGAGGGGATCTCAGAGATAAATAGACACTTTTTCAAGGGATTTTTCCTCTTCCCTAGGGGTTTAGAGCAAAAGCAAAGGGTCCATTGAGTTCCTCAGAGCAGAAAGGTACCCATTCCATCATGACCATTTGGAGATGCAAGGAAAACTATACGCATCAATTTTACTGATATTCGGTTTGTCAGACGCAATGCTAGATGAGGCGACCAACTATAAATTGTCAATAAAGACTATCCTCCTCCTCCTCCTGTAAGTAACTTGAGTATTTCCAATAGAAGTTGGATTCTTGTTTTGATCTAGTGTAAGCACTGAGTTGGACCGGCAGTGATATTTACCTGACTTCATAGCAGAATAAAAATAGAATAATACATACCTATATACTTGTAGGAGATGAATGCAAAATTTACTTCACAGATTGTTAAACCAAGACTGTATTCTTTACAAAATATGATGCTGAGTTACATGGCTGCTCTTGATGGCAGTGGTGGTTTCTACTTGTAAGTAGGTACGCTATGTACAAACTATAACTAATCTGCAATAACTTAGAACGGCTTGCAGAAGACAGGCCGGGAAAATTTTAGAATACCTTACAGCGAGTGTACACTGAAAGCAGGATTATAAGACAAACAATCATTCAATTCCTCTCACCTGTTATGTATGATATAAGTAAACCTGTTCTTGAAAATGATTGACTTTTCACTTGACCTCCGGTCTTGGATTCCAGCAACTCTAAAAAGTCTTCTTTCATGGTGAAGAAATGAGCGATATTATGGCATGGCTACCTGAGAAAGGAATTTTTGGAAGAAAACTTAACATGAGGAGCTTTGGAAAATACGAGGGCACGGCTTACAAGGAAAATTAATATTCAAATTGAGAAATCTCTTTCCTCAGCTCAAGTGTAAACTCCACATTTTCAGATTGAGGTTAGAGTCTAAAGAACGGAGTTGAGGATGAAAACAAACAATGTTGCCGAATGCAACAATTAATTTAATTTTTCATATTTAGCTCGCAAGTTGCAGCGAATAAAATAATTGAAATTTACGCAATTATTTTTTAATTAGTACTCTAGGATTGCTGGAACTCGTTGAAACCGTGAAAATAAGATGCAATATTTGTAAATTCATTACATTTAAATAAGTGAAAAACTGTCAGCAATGTAGGTGTCCTGAAAAATGGCGGCTATCTCAGGACATCTAACCTAAAATTCTCGCACCTCCAACTGGTTCAAGTGTGCTGGCGAGAATTTTCGCGTGTTTTACGAAATCAATCACCAAGTGTCAGGTTTTGTGAGAGGATACAAATTTCTAAATGGATGCAGCGTCAATCCATCGTCAGAAATGCCATTTTTCGACACCAAAGAAACGTAGGCCTTAGAGGACCATCACAATCAGTAATCAAAGACCTGCAACTAACTTTACTGACAACACACTCCCATCTCTTGTCAGCAACTCAACATTTACCATGTCAAAATTCATAGGATTTTTGTTCAGGTAATTGTTTTAATTTATCATATCTCAGAAATCCTTTCATTTGGAATAATTAGTGATCTTTATAGGATTATTAAGTTCGAAGTTGGCACATCACTTCGAAAAGAGGTTTACCGACCCATTGAAACTAGATGGCATGTTTGTTTGGCGTTAGAAACCAGCAGTCTCATGATTTTCTTTCCTGTGATTACTTATTAACTGGTTACTTAAAAAATTTGTAGAAACGTTGGATTAAAATTCTTAATTTAAAAATACCTATGTTAAAGAGGACATGTCTGTCATCATAAAATTTCCAGGGCGCCAGAAACAAATGCTACTACTTAGCAATATTTGATGGATCACAGGTATTAGCCCACTACTCCAAATTAATTCAGGGAAGAAAAGAGCTCATTTACATCGCTAATTTTACAGTTGAAGTACTCAAGCACAAATCTTGCTTACAGTGTATCAATATCTTTGGTCCCAATTTATTTTTCCAATAGATTATTACTTACCGGACATCTCTCTGAAAAGCTTTCTGAGGAAGTTTGTGATCAGGTAAAAATGAAACTATCCAAGGAAGGAGCTGCTTAAACTGTTGCGCAGCATGGTTTGTCTCTTGCAGACTCTGATTTTCCTTGTGTGAAGGAAATTATAAATTTTTGTAACCAGCGCTAAATTATAACATTACGACAGCGTAAGTCCGCAATCACATACCTCGTTTGTGGTGTCTGACAATCTCCGTCTCTATGTTATTTTTTTGAAGGATAAAAAACTGACATCAGCTCTTAAAGTTTTTACAGAGTTTTCTTTGCATACAAAAGAAAAATCATGGCAGTTATAAAGAACTGCCGTAGTTTTCCATTTTAAAAATAAAGTTTGACAGGAAGTCTGGGCCATTGCAAACTGAGTTATGTGATTGCTGACTTACACTGTCAATTAACATCTTGATAGCTAATTTCAGTAAGTTTTGTCGTGCTAATCAAGTTTTGTGTCCAAGTTTGAATAGAAATCTTATATCTGAATCCTGAAATGTACCTACCTTGCCCAGTGATCCATTTTTGCTTTGTAATTTATCTTTTTCCTGCGATTTTTTAATTTTTATCATTAATTTTTACAGCAATCGCAGCCTCACTAGCGATATCGGAGGTGCAACACACATTTCATGATACTGCAGACATCTGCTCAGCAGATACGATTACAGTACGCTGTCTGTTGTGAAACTGGCTTGTCAGAGTTCGTTGATCCATCTGATTGAGTGTGTGAATTATCTTCAAGTGAATCCACAATGAGCAGCTCCACTGGGGAAGCTAGCCTCGGGAAACAGTCCCACAATACTGAGTCTTCCAAAGCTAAGACCTCAAAATCAGAGAAGCTAATGTCCTCAAGCAAAGAAAACTTAGTGCTCTGCTCCCCGGAAAGTTCATCTGTATTTCAAACTTTGAAAGCTAAATTTGAGATTGCATCTGCTTGTGGCCAAAATTTGATTTTCAAAAACTCTCCGGATCGGCCTCCTAACAGTAAAGTTGAAGTCACTGCTGACAAAAATTTTCCAGTTTCTCAAATTATTCCTGTCAATAACTGCTCTCCCAAAGTTGATGCTTCAACAAGTTTACAGACACAGATTCCAAGCAACAAAAGTTCTCAAAAATTCCATGACGACAAGTCTACTGATTCGAAAGCGGATAATAGATGGCAATCAGATGCCAAGGCTCCAAGTACTCCAGGCTCTAACATAAAAGAGAGGCGGGAAAATTTAAAAAGTGAAAGTATTGACCAGTTCTTTAACAGTCGCATGAAAAAAAATTCAGACGATTGTAATGATTTGAATGGAGATCTATTGAAAAATATTGAACTCTTAAAATCTCTTCTAAGCTCTGGCAAAATGTTCGATTTTCCGGAAACTGTGTTGACTAGTCTTCTAGAAGTTCATGAAATGACTTCAATAATTCCTTTAATGCTAGAGAATCGGAGAACACAAAAGTTGCTGTACCTCAGTGATGAAATATATTGGATGAGTGTTAAAAACAACTTCGATCTAGCAGATTTAAAATTAAGTGTCGACAATCCTGAAGAAAACCTCAAAATAGTGTCACTGGTTGCTTCATTCAAACAGCATGCTAAATACATCAGAAAGACAGCATTTGAAAGGCATCCTTTCAAATGCAAAGCATGCGGCATCATGTTGGCCACCTGGGACTTAGCACCTCATTTCTCTGGAATCAAGCATCATCGTAGGGTCCTAGAAATTGCAAAACTTGCAATCCCTCCGCTTTCAACCATTGTGGACAAAATGCTTCAACAAATTCCAGCCCCCCAATTCAATGACGAAGTTGCTCAAAGTATATCAAATACGCATGGCATCATCAAAAACCCCAGTATTCCTCCTGTTCATTTAGATCGAAAACCTTCCAACAGTTCAATAGCAGAGTCTCTAAAGTCATCTGAAGATGAAAAAGATCTCAACCCAGAACTATTATCGCATTTTCAGACTATAGTAAATGAACAAACGGGTCATTATGAATGTTGGTGTATCTACTGTCAAACAATGATTACAGGACCTTTAAACATTAAAAATCTTAATTTAGGTGAACATGCAAGAGGAGCAAAACACAGAGCAAAAGTTAGCCAATTCACGACAAAAACCAAGTCTGTTTCTAAAAGTGATGGTCAAGTAGAACGGAATGATCAGATTTTATCCCAAGACAAACCTTCTACTCAGGGTAAAGCTGTCTCAAAACCACATCTCTTCTCAGAAAAGTATGCAGAGTTAATGAGCAGTGTCATGAAGAAACACATCAAAGGAGAAGTGCCTTTAACATACGAATCGAATGATGTAGGATTTCTTGGATATTACTGTGATATTTGTCGCACAGTGGCAACAAATGATGATGATTGGCTACTACATCTTGATAACCACGATCACAAACGCAATGCAGCAAAGCACGGTAGCCCAACTTGTCTTTATCACTGTCTTGTTTGTAAAATCGTAATTTTCTGCTCTGCTGTAACCAGTGGGACTAGTCATGACCATGTATTTTCCTATGAGCATATCTGTATCAGGAAATTAGTTGAAAAAAAGTGTCCAGAAATACAGAGACATGTTCAGGAGAATTCTGTGTTGACAATAAGATCCGAAAAATCGTCTTGTAACTCTGTTTGTTTGAATGTGGGAGAAGTATTTGTCAGCAGTGGTGGAGAGGTGGCAAACCCAGAAAATAACAAAATATCAAGAACGAAATCATCTAAGTTAGACAGCTCAGCCCCTTGGATACTATCACCAGTTTCAACCACTCCAAAACGTCATCGTTTAGCCAGCAGAACGGAGAATAATGACAACCTTGGGCTTGATTATGATGAATCCTCCGAAACAGAGTCTAGTGGGGATGAATACGAAGATAAAGATGTTGAAGACATTTTAACAGAATTATTACCCAATGGTGAAGCAAGAGAAACAAAAAAGGATGGTAAAACTTCTACCTCAAAAGCCAATTTGTTGGACCGAAAGAAAAAGGCAAATGCAGACGGAACTCCAACAAACAGAAAGAAAAACGCAAGAAGGAGAGACCGACCAGGCCATTCATTGACATTCAAAGGTAAGTAATTAAAGGCATTATTGAATCCAGTAAGATTTTATGTTCACCAATCCACATCAAACCTATAAATCTTAGATGCTCCCCATAATGAATTTTCATCAATTAGAATATTAATCAGAATATTATTAGAATTTAGTGTATTAATTAGAATTTTCTTTAGAAGATTCTTAAATTCTCTGGTAGTTGATATTTTATGATTAAAAAAGGGCAGTCAGTTTTTCCAATTTGCATGCCCTTCCCTCCGTTTACTCAGTTTTATCCCCTCTTGAAGTTTTTCTCAATTTTAAGTTTTTAACAAAGTATTTATGAGTTTCATTAGTATCACAATTTAGGCCTTAATCGGTTCTCTTGGATTTTCAGGTCTTGACAATACTGTGTCTAGTGAAGAATGGACCACGCGATTTATTGAAATGGGTCGATTGAAATCAATAGCCATTGACTTTGATGAGGGGAAAGCCACAGTTACTTTTAGTAAAAGGTAAGATATCGGGTTGCTTCTACAACTTTTGATAACTTTTGATTATGTTTGAAGATATTTCTTCAAATACTTTTCCAGAGCTTCCCTGAAGTTTTCCAGTGTGTTGCATCTAAAATCCTCCGTAAAAACTGTCAGTTTTTGCTTTCCTGAAGCTGAAGAAAGCGTTGCATTAGGTGCTTTACGGCAGGGTTTTAAGTAGTCACATAATGCAGTGCTGAATGCTCCCCGTAGACTCCCCTCTCATCTGTATTTTATGACAGCCTCTTTTCTCTTAACCTCCAATGAGAATGTATTTCTTACTCGATTTTCTTTTCTCTGTCATAGATCATCAGTACTCAAAATCCTTGGCAGCAGAGATATCTTTTTAGACAAGTATGATCTTGAAGTTGATGACACTGGTAAGTCTATCACTCCAATCTGAAAATTTTACAAACAGTTATGATACCTGGAAAGACGAAGTTCCTATTCGGTGACTTCCTATGAATCCGTGGAAACTAAATTGTGAATCTTCCTAAAAAGTTGAAAATTGAATCCAATGATACTAACTGCTTTTATTTGTAGTGTAAGCAATGTTAGTTGGCATATCACTTAATACTTTTACCTTTAGCCCATAGGATAATGAAAGCTTGTAAATTTTTCTATGGTATGGCTGCAAGTTTGCAGAGAGCAGCCGCTACTCACTACAAAGTTTCCAAAATTTTAGATGTTTTAAAATATAGATCCCCTTTAAATAGGAAAATTCCCATAGCTTTATTTCTCTAACAACCCATGTTCAAAAGCGGGTTCAGTTGATAATATCTTGCAGAAGAAAATAGTGGGTAGGATTTAATTTTTCTCTTTAACTTTTTCAGCCCAGAAGAATTTGGACCAAACATGTAAGACGTTGTTTGAGAATGAGCATGAATTCATGAACAAAATTTTAACCATTTTGAATATTATTGATGATGAACTCAATTTACCTGATTCAAAGCTAAGGCTCACTCGGCTGAAAACAAGTGTCCTGTGTGCCATTCGCTCCTCTTTTCCTGATTGCAAAATTTATGAGTTTGGATCCCGTGTTTCTGGCCTTGCTACCAATGAGAGTGATTATGATCTATTCCTCGATTTAAGTAAGTCTGCTAACCCACTCTATCTTCAGTGTTCCTTGTTTCCATGTCCGTTATCAGTGATTTCATAGAAATGCCTATTGCAAGTGCCAAAATTGATGATAATAGAGCTGTTTTCCCCCAATGAGTTCAGAATTCTTTTGCTCAGCCAGAGTAAAGCAAGTTGATATCATGGTCAAAGATGGAAAAGACTTTTTTTTCAGCCTGCTTAAACTCTTGAGAGAACATAAAAGTAGTTTCATGATTCGTGGGACCTTTCAAAATACTTGATTTTGAAAACAATTTAAGGCCTTGGAATTGCTTGATTTTTTAGGAGGTGCTTGAATTTCACCCTTCACCAGTTGTCAGCGGTAGATGTTTGTTGTTAAAAAATGACACAACTTTTGAGATCAAATAGATCACTTGCAAAGATTGCAACTTCCTGAGGAAATTCATTCAAAGACAACCAGGAATTGCCAACTTGCATTTATAGCCCTCGCTATGACAGAGGTAGCAGTGCTGCACTTCCTACCCTTCGAAGCTTACTGATATAGTGCCCTTTGAACAATAAAAAAACCGACAAAATTCTTATTATTGAAAATCTTAATTGGTCTGAAGAATCTATCCCTGCTGTTTCAATCTAGGACACCTCTGCCGTGGAACGCAAAAACGCTGTAAACGCCATTTTAATTTTTTTTTAAACAATGCATATCATCATTTATGCATATTTATCATAGCAGAAAAACTTGTGTGCCTTGGGAAAATGTTTTCACAGAATTCTTTCGCAAATACTATCAAGAACTTAACCTGAAAATTTGAGGTGCATGGGTAAAACAGTTTTCATTTTATAAAGTGTTCAGTTCCAAAAAACGCGGGAAAATCTTGATGGATTTACAGCGTCCATGCTTAGTACGGCAGTCCTGTATGCTAGTTTTTCTCCTTGTCCTTGGAATATGTTGTCAATATATGCATCGTTACTAAACAATCCATGATATTTATGTCTGAATTTATCATATCCGTCTGTTTTGAAAGAATTTTTTTCTTATATTTTTCCAGCTGGCACAATGTATCAAGGAACAAAAGCGTCTGTTGATTCTCAGATGAGAGTTGAAATGATCAAAGCCATCCGAAGAATCACAAACATTTTCAGGCAAATGCCGAATGAATTCACTGCCCTTGTTCCCATCACATCAGCTCGTGTGCCAATTTTAAAATTTAAGCATGTGAAAACAAACTCCAACTGTGATCTTTCATTTAAGAATGGCCTAAGTGTAGAAAATACAAAGTTAGTCAGGTAAGTTAAAAACATTTTCCTTTCAAGTGCTCTACTCTCATTTTATTCCTAAATCTCAGGATAATAACTTAAAGGACTTCAATAACAAGTCATCGAGCAGGTATGAGATTCTGAGTAAACGCTGCAAAAATTTTCCAGGGAGCATCTTCAAGGCATATGTAAATGCCGACTCAAATGTTCTGCACAGATTCCTGCCTGAGCTCTGAAGGTAGGGTTGACAAAAAATCCTGCCGAATTTTCATCGAAAACTGTCTGGTGCGCAGTCGGGAGCCCCATCGATGTTCTCTCTCTGCAGACTCTCCTCACTCCGCACCCGCAGAAGGATTTTTTGTCAACCCTAGCTTTTTAAGCCAAGATGGATTCTTTTAAACTCCAACGCCGTTTTTTTCAAGGAAAATCTGCACAATTTTTCTTCTTTTATCTGTAGAATAAGGAATTCGAAGTAGTAATAACCATGAGGAATACAAACAAGCTGCTGGTTCCAACACTACTGTGTTGGAGAGCTCGCCTTTGGGAAACTATTAACAACTATTAATGATTTTTTCTGAAATTGTATATGTATTAAATGAATCTTTACCCAATTATCAGAGGTTACATGCCGATGCAAAATGTTATGACGTAATTTCATATGACAAATTTTTCACATTACAATAAATAAAGAGAAATAAAGAGAGAGAAATGGAATTATCTTTTATGAATGTGATTTTGCGGCAAATGTTGCAATGGCTAATTTTGCCATCGCATTTTTGTTTCTGGCTTTCATCGTTGATAAGCTTTTTCTTAACTTGTCAACAATGTAATGAAATCATATGATTTAATTTTAATTTTTTTTTTTAAATCAAGTCGCCAACTTGAATTAAGGTTATACTTTGTTAAGCTGGCAGTCTGGAATTCTGAATTTTTATCGGCACAGCGTTCAAAGAAACTATAATTTAGCACGGTTTGGAGGAACGTTTCTGCCATAATTCTTACACAATACTTATGGTATACACTAAGAGCTGAAAAGGAATTCACTTGAATTTTAGCGTGGAGCTCGAGAGACCACTTCAAGCCTTTGTATGCGAGTGGCTCAATGGAGCACATCACGCCTTTGTAGGTATGGGGTGGCTCAATGGAGCACCTCGCGCACTATAAATAGCACGGAGCTCGAAAGAGCACTTCATGCATCTGTATTTTAAGGTTAAAACGAACTCTAAAGAAACTCAATGCGAGACTCAAACGAATTCTCAAGCATTCTAAATGCGAGGCTCAAACGAATTCCCAAGCATTCTTGATGCGAGGGGCTCAAACGAATCCTAAAGCATTCTTAATATGAGGTTTAAACAAACTCTGAAAGGATCCCAATGCGAGTCTCAACCGAGCTCTCAAGCATGCAATTATTTTGAGGTTAATTAACCTTCTATGGTACCAATAACGGCAATCTTAAGGATTATCCATTAATTATGCGCAAATCTCAATCTTAGTCTTAGTAACTTAAAATTAATTGAACAAATTATTAAATCACGTCGAGGTCACCATGTTTTTTATTTTAAGAAATAATAACAATTGCAAGTACAACTGCACACAAAAACTGCATTGAAAAGATAAGAGGATGATAACATACAATTAGGTTATTTGATATAAAACCATAGCAACATGCTATGATATGCTCGGCCACTGGAAAGTGCTGCTCTCTAGTGTAGCAAACGAGGAACAATTAATCCTCAGTTGAATGAGGGAACGGAAATGTTCGACGGAGGAAAACTGTAACCCGCGAAAATTCAACTTTTAGACCTTGAAATCAATGGGATTTTGGCCGTTCCTCCGACGGCAACGAGAACCATCCATTCGTCGCCACGGACACTACCAATGCTAAAAGAAATCGATCGCAAAGAGCTCTCCCGAGTGGGCGAGCTCAAAAAGACAAATAAGAAGTATCAAAATTACTCTGTGTAAAGCTTTATACTTAAGTATGTTAAATGCCCACTATGTCACGTTAATTTCTGTCTTTGGAATTTGCTTTATCCTCTAAGAGAAAAACAAGTTAATAGGACAGTCCAGCGGGTCGATTGTTGAATCATTATCAAATGAGTTTGATCGATAACTCCTTATTTTCATAATGCTATATATATCGATCAAGATCACTCGATAACGATTCAACAATTAAGCCGCAGGTAAAATTAGAGTCCCTGAAAACCCTTTTATAGGGATTCTAGATCTTAGGTCAAGAAGTTTCTCTAATGCAAGAGGAGCCCTTTTCAATTACATGCGTCAAAATGTTCGCCTCACTCTTGTTTAATGGGAAAAATATTCTTTTATCGCTATACGCGGCATTTATGACAAAGTTGTGGCATAATAAATTTCCCCCTCGATGGAAAGCGATCCACGGACCTTCCGACCTCAAGGTGAGCGCTGTACTTCCCCGCAGTAGGGAGAGATAGAAGAGATTACCAATACATAAAGCAATCAAAGTTCTTTCTTTTTCCACCAGAGCTGAGAGTAGAGATGCATTGGCATCAGTGATACGCTCCTGTTTACTGATGATCAGTGGCAGGTTTTTCAATCAACCCTGCCTTCGGAGCTCAGGAAGGAATCTCTGCCAAACTCAAATGCTATGAATGCCTTGGTACCTTTTGTAGATCAGTGTTAGTTATTGAAAGAAGGACTTTTGCCTAGGACAATAGGAATTTAGGTTACAACCAAAGCTAGCACTAAAAAATTTGAAGTCCAAGATACTGAGTTTCCTATCTGTTTGCAGACTGGAGGTTGTTTTATCAGAGCTTGTATCACTTTCATCAGTGTAAACTCGGTCTCTACAGCCACAGCCGTTTGATTTGTTGGCCAAAAGTTGGAAGCACGATTTTTCAATTTTTCCCCCCAAAAAATGTATGAACATGGCCACTATTGTTCTAAGGAAAAACGCCGTATGAACTCTTGGATATTGCCAATTTTCCTCCGACAATATGTAAATTTAAAAAAAATTTGCGAATATCTTCCTTTAAAGTATTTAGAGAATTTCACTTATGATTTTATCTGTTGAGTCTAAAATTTTCAAAGGAAATATTTGTATCTTACAAAAAATGAGTAATTTATTGCTAGGAGAAATTTGGCAACATTCAACTACAAATACAGCGTTCTCTCTTAGCATGGCGGAATAGATGCATAGTTAAAAAGCGCAAGTTATTAAATTTCCAAGGTAATCTCATGATTCTTCTGTTTTTAATGAGACCTTCATCCTTGACCTATGCATTTATGCTAGAATTTTTTGTCGTTAACATGTGTGTCAGATCATTGTGAATGTTTTGCTCGTTTTCAAGTTTATTCAACTTTTCTAGTGCTTCTTTTATTTTTCCATCCATTGCAGAAAGTACTTAAACATGAACCCAAAAGTAAGATGGTTGGTCATCGCTGTCAAAAGTTGGGCTCATGCTTGTGGTTTACTGTCGTCGTCTGATTTTACTACTTACGCAGTTACTTGGCTAGTCCTATTTTTTTTGATGAGCAAGAAATTAGTCCCATCTGTTGCATCTTTCATGTTCAAAAGCAGAAACGTACCTTTGATTCAAGGTAAGTCCATCAGATTTCTATCATCAGCATGTTGTCTATCAACCCTTTTCTCAAATTTCCCATCTTTTATTTCTCTTAGAGAACAAAGAGGAAAGAAATTCATATTAGAGCTTTATTATAAAAATTTCCGGGAACTGCTGGAAAATCTAGAAAATCAAAAGTCAGCTTTTTTGCAACAGTAGAGTTTAGAATTTAGGTTTTTTGAAAAATCTGGATTGGTCATTCCCTTGTATCGGAGGTTACAGTCGTACATCAAAAAATGAAATTTTAGATGTTTTGCCTTAACTGAATGCATTCTTCAATACGTTGTAAGCAATTTTCCTTTTATCTTAGCAGCAGAAAATTGGTAATCTTGCAAAGTGACCTTTACTCCTTCATTTTATTATATCTCAGGAGTGTTGCTCAACAATATCTTTCATTATTAAATCTTGAAGCGCTGCATTATTGTAACTACTCTATTAAAGTTTTAATTTTTTATCCCTATTACGATTTCGTCAGATGTTAGTATGGCTTTGTAGTGGTTAACAAGTTTTTGTCACCAGATATTATTCGTTTTCTCCTTTTAGGTTGGCGATGCAGTTTTGATGACACCGAAGTCCTCTGTGAAATCAATGACTCCAATGTTCAATTGTTGCTGGATTTCTTTGATTTTTATGAGAATTTTGAATTTTGGAAGTTCATAATTTGTACTCGCAGCGGTACCCACTTTCGAAAATTCATTTTAGTGGAAAGAGTTGTCCATATGATGCCGAATGAAATAAAAGATGACTACTGTTCAAGTGTTTCTAAGTCGGACAGAGACAAAGACTTCAATGTGGGGGCATGTTCAGTACAAGATCCGTTTGACTTGTCGCACAATATTACCAAGCAAGTCAGACCATACGTCCTCAAGTCTTTCCAAAGATATTGTAGTGTGGCTGCATCTCAAATTCGGAAGTGGCCCCCGTTTCAAGTCTAGGTGAGCCAAGCTCTTTCAATCGGTGTATGAAAACTCTGATTACCTCATTTGGTACTTTTTACGTGTTCTTTTTAAGTTTGAACTTTTTTATTACCTACAGACTTTCTCTCTTAAGTTTTATAGCTTGATGATAAGTTTGAAGAGGGGTCATATTATTCAGGCTCCCAAGTTTTAGACACCTTTTTGTTCAAAATAAGAAGCTTTTTGCAAAGTCTAATCCTGAATGAATCCTACTCCTTGAATTCGTCTTTTTTTCTTTGCGAAATTTTTTTGGTGACCTTATAAATTGTATTAGGAGCCAACAATTGTTACTTTGCCTTCATGAATGAAATTTCTTTAGTAAGACTCTTTTTTTCTGTAAGAATCTATTTTGTGTTTAGTGAATGTTTACTCAGAACTTTAAATATGTGTACATTCTTAGGTATTATGTTTTTGAGTACCTTCTTTATTAAAGAAAACAGTTTTATTTTCCGAAAATGTTCTCCTTCATTTTGCACACTCTGTAGAAAATGACTTTTCAAATGCAGTCGAAGATTATTTATTCTACCTAAATTCTAACCCGAAGGAGCTTTGAATCAGTTAGGGTGATTCTGTGACTGAAATAATACATAAATAATTTAAGAATCTACCATTATCGCTATATGCTACTTTTACTTTAAACTTTTAGCAAAAAATGGAGTTAGATCAGAACTGAAAGGTATCTGTTCCATCAGACCCACCCGTCCATTCGGTGAAAGTTTGTCACTACCACAAGGATTCGAACCGAAAACTACTCAATCCCAAGTCAGGCACACTATCTACTTGGTCAACCTAACCGGGCTTTCTTCCTTTTACTATGGTCATGCTTCCATCAAAGTTCATCTCCGTTTTCTACCTCTCACATAAGCTACACAAAGCAGGCCAGTAGGCCAGTTATGATTGTTCTCTCCCAAGAGAACAAAATTGGGTTTAGGAGTTCCGTGAAAGGCAAAGTTGCAATTTAAATTTTGTTTTATTCTCAACAGGTAAAAAATAGTAGCAACAGATAATATATTTTTCTTGCCTAATTTTAAAGTTATACCTATAATATCAACAGATTCATATATTTTTCTTGCTGAATTTTACAGCAATACGTAACAAAAATATTTTGGAATGCAGGATTAGGATATTTACAAGAGTTTCAACAAAGAGTTATGAAAACCAGGCTTTTTTGGAAAATTTTTCTCCTATTCATACTTACAATGGTTCATGAAAAGAAGTAAGAACTCTTTTAAAACTGTATACCTATGGAGAAAAATAAAAACGCAGCTACGTCTTTTGCTGTTAAATTAATTGGAAAAAATAATAGGTACTGAGCCAGTGGAGAAATTATATGAGTAAAGACACAGCATGACATGCCATCTCTAAAATTTTGATGTTGAGAGCGAGTAATGCCACAGCAACTTCGGAAATCAACTTCAGTGACACTTTCTCGCTTGTCTCAGAAGAATATTAACAAGTGAACTTGACCTCCAACTAATGGGACTTGTGTGAAATTAGCTTATAGAATACAATAAATTAATACTAGCTATTTACTAAAGAGTCACTTGGGAGTTAATTATTAAGTTTGTTGCCATACTAATAGTCTCCCAAGTGAAAACCAGAAGGAAAAAAAGGCAACTAATTTACGCTCTATCAGTTGGCACATGGAAAATACTGTTTATTTCCCACCGAAAACTTAACTACAGATCAGAGATCAAACTAATGGCATTATTCTTTTGGAATTAAAAAAAAAAAGCGAGATCGATGTTCCATCTGCCCATGACATGAAGATCATCTTCCATGAACCGTTATGAAACAAACTATGTTAACTGAGTAACATAAACAAAGCATGACTTGGAACCGGAAAAAAAATTTACACTTCAATACGCTTCATTAATATTCTGATTAAAATTCATAAGGATGTGGATTTTGCTGTCCCCTTTTTCTAAGCACAGAATTGAACAAATCTGTTGCCCTACTTCTTTTACTTCGTTTTGAGAGAACATGATGCCATTTTTGAGGATTTAAAGAACTTCTGAACTTTCTTGACAAACTGTTTGCCTGAACACTTGGACCATACCAATGATGAGTGATGATCTTTTCAGTAGAATTCTTCCGGTTTATTTTAAATTGCAATGGAGATAGGTAAAGGCCTCCACAACTTCAAAATACGAACACACGTGCAGAACTGACCAGTCAGAGGATTTAAGGTGTAACAGATGACTCTCATTTGGACGTATTTCTGTCAAACAGAACTAAACGCCAATTTGAGTTCCTTTTGAGGAATTTAGAATGCCGGATAGCGCGTTCTGTCAAACGGAACTAAGCGCCATGGAAAAGCATTGTGAGTACAGGACGGAATGAGCCTGACGCCTGGTTCCGCGGCCAATCTAAGCCCCCCTCTACTCTCTTCCCCCTATGGCGCTTAGTTCCGTTTGATAGAAATACGTCCATTTTGGCTGTACATTGACAATGTACTGACAGTCTCATGAATTGCACATCGATGGTGAAACTCCCAAACATCATGAGTTGGTTTGAAACGTTGCAGACTTTCTGTTATACTTAATCTTTTAAATAGAAAATTACTCGGAGGCGATTCTCAAAAAGTACAGTGATTTTTCTTCTATACAGAAGAATATTCTGTGAAAACTTCAAAGAATGATGTCGATTTGTCTGCCTTTAAAAAAATAAAAAAAAAGCGGAGATTATAAAACACTGCAAACAAGATACGTGTTTTTGGAGTTTCACCGTTGACATAAATCACATATATAAATAGTCTACTGAGACATATACCAAACAAACACATTGATGAATTATGTCAACTACTTTAGAAAGCATGAATGGCTAACTGTTGAGTGCCTGCGAATTTCAAACCAAAAGAGAGCAACAAAATTTGAATGATGCTGAGTGATAGCGAAGACATTTTGAAATTTTACTTCGGTAAGACTTGCGGACGTGAGTCGTCGAGGAATCCATCTGACCTCTGATGTTATAGAGAACAATTATTAAGTGTCCTTTTAAGTCTTATTCTGTTTAAGGTAAAGGAAGTGCCTAGTATCAAAACAAAAACGATAAACAATAAAACTTTGAAGATAAGAAGAGCTGTCATCCTTCAGAGAGCGAATTATCTGCATCACTTTTTGTCCTATGATCATTTGTTATCGTTTCTCCATCATTCAATGTGACAGGATTAGCTTGAGGGGCTGGTGAATCAGGTTTGCTTTCAGACGACTTGTATTCTTTTTCCATTTTATCGATTGTATTGTCACGAAGCGAACGGACATTGTCTCCTTTCAATTCTTGTAAGTATTCTAATGTTACTCGCTGTGAAAATAGTCATACAAAAAACATAATGAGTAAATTTAATAAGTCTTTGGTAAAAACTTTCCTCTTTGATGAGGATGGATAAGAAATTTATTCTTCATCAATACTGACTCGAGCTGACGTTGTAGATGAGAATAATCAAAAAAGTCACCAGATGATCTTCGTCTTGATCTCTCTTTTTCAATACATGAGAGCAGGTCACAAATTAAAAAACTCGCGAAACAGAACAAGACCATACTCGGAGTGAAAAGACACACAATTTGAAATAAGAGTACCAATCGTTCAGGCCAAAAGAGAGAAGGCATTTTGGAACCCAGGCCACTAACTGTGATCTGATGCTTTTTCAACAAAGCCAACGCCCTCGATTTTCTCAAAATTTTTGCCAAGGTTTTTATCATCTTGAAATTTCCAATATAATGGACCACTAGACAAGGTACGAATTTCAGCATTCTAATACATGTTTCTTGACCAAAATTTCACGTAAAACACAATACGCACAACGAAAATTACCGAAATTAACTCCTTACGAAGATATTTTATGATTCTTGATGCGTAAATTCAAACCATCCGCTCATGAAAACTCAATGCTCAACGTGATTCACATCGCGCGCTAAACGTTATCATGACAGTCTCTGCGATATAAAAATCTGGCAACCTCAATTTTGACGCTTTGGCTCAGCTGTAGCAAATTGGTAATAGTTTGAACAACACATGGTGGGAAATGAACATTGCTCGATTGAGAGGCTTGCAGAAACCGTTGTAGTGCGCGATTTGACTCACGTAGAGCCTTGAGTTTCTTGTGAGCGGGCAGTTCAAATTCCTCATTACCAATGTGAAATAAAAATGTTAATATCTTTGTTAGGAGTTGGTTTAAGTAATTTTCGTTGTGCGAATCGTGCTCTACGTGAAATTCTGGTTAAGAAACATGTATCAGATTGCTTAAATTCGTACCTTGTCTAGTGGTCCATTACGATAGTCGATAAGTGGAGAGAGTACTTCATAATCGAAATTGGAAAACTGCACTGAATCGGCTGGGCATATGATAATAGAACTTTGTAGTTTCACCTTGATTATATTGTATAGCTGAGAGTGAATTTCTTGTCCAAGATAGTGCCGATCTGGTCGGAACTCGGCCTTGAGTGCATGGTATATAGTGTTCATCTTTTGCTTGATGCCCTCTTTGATCTCTGCTTTGCTAGTTTCTTCATAGCTTTTAGTTCCTTTAAGCGAAGCTTTTTCCAAATCATCTTGGAACTGAGAATTCAATTGTTCGAGTGTTGTTACATGCATCTATCAGAGACAAGGAAATAAGACACAAGCTGTAAAAGTTAAAATCGATATAGGTCATAAAAAATGATCAAAATAGGTCATTTTTTCCCGTTTTCGATAAATTCTTTTTGGAAAATAGGCACTGTAAAATAACTCATGCTGTAGAAGCAAGCATGACGATTGTGTGATGGTGGCAGTACGCTGAAGGTCCCTCAAAATGTTGAGGGGCAGCAAATTATATTTTCAAAAGGAACAAGATGAAATTTTTGGTGATGCTCAGCAGAACGCACCATTTCATTTCTCTTAAATTTTGTGTGCAAGAAAGGTATCCAAAAGCACCAAAACTGCCATGATTACTCGATGATAGCAACTGCAGGTAGCGAGTTGATTGTGGTTGCGATGGAAGAACAGTGTATTTTATAATACTTCAAATCAAGTTTAACGCATTTTTGTCATTTTTAATTCTCGATTTTGTGACAGTTTAAAACCAAAAGAAAATGGACCTTCCTATCGTTTTCGAAAAAGGTTTTTTTACTTTAAAATGAGCTCTCAAAAGATGGACAAGCAAGGAGAAAGAAAACAACAATTTACCGCATTCACTGTTTGGCACAGGATGACATGCACAGAAACTGAAAGAAATGGTCATACAGGCTCTTGGTTGTACCGTAATTTTTTGCTATCATTTCACATGTAGGATCCAGGAAGACAATGCTGGTTAAATGGGATGATGAAAATCGCAGAACACACCTGACTTACTCGTACATAGGTTGTCCCAAAAGTACTGCACGTTTTTTTCTTTTTGACGAACGGTAGTAGATATCAAAATGCGGTTTGTGTAGTCTTAAAGATCGGCCAATTACCGGTAAAACAAGACAAATCCGAGCTCTCTAAGTCAAAAAATGATCAAGTCACAGAGTTTTGAAAATGACTTGTAGAGGGGACCCCTACGGGATTTTCAGCTTCTTTTCTGGAAAAAAACAAAGAGTTGATTGTTTTTTTTTTTTTGGACAAACGGTAGCAGATATCAAAATGCGGTTTATGTAGTCTTAAAGACCGAGCAATTACCAATAAAACAAGACAAATCTGAGCTCTCTAAGTCAAAAAATGACCAAGTTACAGTGTTTTGAAAATGACTTGTAGAGGTGACTCTTCCAGGATTTTTAGCTTCTTTTCTGGAAAAAACAAAGATTTGATTGATCAAAAATTCTACAGAGAAATCGTCGCGATCGAATGAAGTTGGTAACATGATATCAGCCCGGACCTTGCACCCTGCGATTTTTGGTTATTCCCTACGTTGAAAAAGGGCTTAAGAGGCAGGAAGTTTAACTCCATCAACGAGATGAAAAGAGCTGTTGAAACTTTCTTAAAGAACATTAGGCAAGAAGAATTCGAAAAAAATCTTTGAAGAATTGGGAAGAACGGTTGCGGCGCTGTGTGGCAAGTGATGGAGGGTATTTTGAGAAGGAAACTAGTGTCCAGTCATCCAGTGAAGAAGAGTAAATGCTAGTAATCTTGGTAAGATTCTGCAAAATTGATTTAATAAAACCACTTGAATCCTTAATTATTTGGTTTTTTTTTCCAGAAAAGAAGCTGAAAATTCCGTAGGGGTCCCCTCTACAAGTCATTTTCAAAACGCTGTAACTTGGTCATTTTTTGACTTAGAGAGCTCGGATTTGTCTTGTTTTATCAGTAATTGGCCGGTTTTTAAGACTACATAAACCGCATTTTGATATCTACTACCGTTCGTCAAAAAGAAAAAAACGTGCAGTACTTTTGGGACAACCTATGTATTTAAGGTTACACAGAAAGAACACTGATCAAAATAAACAAAATCTGTGAATCTAGCGTTTTTTAGTATGTCATCAGCTATCAGAAAAGTCCAAGGAAACCTAATTCGGACGGAAAATGCGCTAGTTATCATCAAAATCCGGTTTCTTATCTTACAGACCTCGTATTATTTCTTCAAATATCAGTGAAAAAAAAAAAAAATTTTTAAAATCGATAGATGGTCCAATTTTTTTCTACTGAAACTGTCAAAATTGCACGAGCAAATTCTTGATCAGATGAGCTCAATTCCATTTCAATTGATGGAAAATGAGCTGTTCTTGTCAGCTTGTTGGATGCATTCATTTTGAAAGTATGGGACCAGTCCCAGCACCTTTGGGGGCTGGCCTTGCGTGAGACTGGCCGATTGAATAAAAAATGCCTGACTCAGATCCAAAAATTCCAACAACAAGAACTTTAAGCAAATCTCACAAATCAGAAAATCAATAATATGAGACAGGACAGGGACAGGACCTGCAAATCTCCACTCCAAATAGCTACTTCTCCATAGAAAAGAAAGAAAAAACAATCCTCACAAAAATGTTTGCCGAAGGAAAACAACACAAGTGACCGGAGTCGTTCTAAAAATCAAACCTACTTTTAAGTCATTGTTTTCTCTTACAGACTGTGCAAGCATGACTTTTAACTCCGAGTTTTCTGTTTCTAAGTCTGCTATATGTGATTCAAATTGATTCTTTCTATCAACTCCTTCGCCTGAACAGGAGCTGCGACTTCGATCTCCCACTGTTGGCTCATCTACTCTGTAAAAAGCAAGAGGCAGAAAGTGAAGGCTTCAAATTTGGAAAAAATGTAAATAAATGTTTTGAATTTTCAAATTTCCTAATTTTGATTACATCAATTTCTCAAAAACTCAGCACTTCAGGATCATAACTTTTGTACACGCTTTGTGCTCAAAATTGTAACATTTTTTACAAGAAGTTTGAGGTTTTGGATCCATATCAAGGCCAATTTAAAAATACTTGCACAAGTCCATCTCTAAAATTGTAGAGATTAGAAATCATGCTACAGTACAAAGATTACAGAACGAAATACGTATATTGAACATAAAAAAAGAGGAAGAAAATAATTTAATCGTTCAGCATTCAGAAAAATAGCTATGTTCTTTGACTTCACTTTGAAGTTACCATATGATTTCGGTATTTACTTATTTGCACAGCCGAGAGCAATTTTTAAATTGGAAAATATGCATTACACACAAAACAATCTTATAGGAACACTGTTTGAACCTTTAATTACGAACTGCTCAAAACTGACTTTTACGGAAATCGCCCTGACCATACTGCAAAAAAATGAGTTTATCGGTTGCAATGTTTTAAAATTTCCACTCCTACTTTATTCTTTGAATAAACCAGCATCATGGCTTGAAATTTGAACAGAGTATTTTGCACACAGAGAAATAAAATTAGCTAAGTTTTCAAGCAACGAAGTTTAGTAGTTCTCCAAGTAGAAAATAAAGTATATCGAGAAGTCTACGATGCAGTCAACCGAGATACACGTTCCTGCAGTTTTACCATTGATATATGATGCCCTAATTAATCGCTAAAAGAAGATTTAAAAATGAAAACTTACTTATTTTTCAGAAGAGATATTATTTCTTTGTATTGGTCTGCAATTGTAGAAAAATCTGAAAAAACTCTGTCTTTGACCTCAACATTTATTTCAGTCAATTTTCCGATTTTTTCATTGAGACTATTGAGATCAACGATAGACTTCGGTTCCAACTAGAGAATAAGAAACAACATGTATCAGATTTTGCAATTACTGATTATTAAAAAAGGAGTGTACAGGTAAAAACTATACTGCTGTACCTACTCAAAACGAGCGTGGTCAATCCGAAATCGTAGCTTTGAGATAAAGATCAACCCACAATCACTAAGAAAACAATGTTTAGGCACAAACAAAATACCCAGAAATGTCAAACAAAGCTGGAGTAATTACAGTTTGAAGGTCATGGTTTAAAAATAACACTTCTGAGAGGCCAAATACGTAAAGACGGAGCACTTGCATCTAATAGCATGGGGGAGAAGTGATGCAGATCTGACGCTCTGCGTTTGTGTGAGAGTGTAAATAATCCATAGCAGCAAACGGAAATTTGATTTGAACTTGTGCCCTTGATTCTTGCACATTTCTTGCTCTAAACTCGTTTTAAGTCACTAAAACGAACAAAATAATAAAGTTGGGATGGTGTGGCTCAGTAACAAACAAGGATTTCAGATAGAGTTAGTTTTTCTTTTGCACATGGTGGTCCTGCCCGTTCAAACAGGCTGTTAAAGTCCTAGCTGGCCGTTACTCCCAAATGAGATTAATCGGTCGATGACGGACTAAAAATAACCTAAAGTTAAAAAAATATATGTGGGTAAGTGAATTTGAGCAAGAATCAACCTAGAATACTTTTTTTACGCAACTTTATTCAGTTCCAACCCTATTCTTGAATTTCAAACTTGTCCTGATTTCGCAGCCAATCCTCTAGCCAATCAGAGAGTTTGCATGAATTTGCATCATTTTTTTCTTCTAGCGCTCCGTCTTTATGTCTTTGTGAGAGACTGTTCTTTTTTTTGTTTTTTTAGGGATGTATCTATAATCCCCTTGAGTGTATCAAAATGAGCTCACTCATACTGTATCTCTGCTGATTCCGAATTCTGATCCCCCAGAAGATGTGGACGAGTAACGAGTAAAATTATTAAATAAATGATGGGATTCTACATTACAAGACACCTCAGTTCACAAAAACCGAGAAATCTAGCGGAATCTTCTGATCTACAATTAAGCCGGACTGGTTCTAAATGTGAGACACTGTTGTCCAGGGTAGGAATGCAAATAGTTCTAACCCTCCACAATTTTCTGCAATACTGGGTTTTTGCAAAAAAGTCAACACAATGTGCTGATTAAAGATTTTCTGAATTGTTTTATTTTATCCGCAATTAACATTTGGACATTTTCATACATTTCATGTTTCCGGGTGACGAAAATTGTCATTTTTTAAAAAAAACAAAATCCCTGCCAGTGTCCATGATTTTCAGGACACAGCCACAATTTGATCATTCAGTCAAGAATTACTTGCATTCCTGGTTTTGAGTTTGATATACCATTTTCAAGGCTTAAAACCGCTAAACTATAACCTAAGTAGCAGTGACCGCGATATGTTGCGATTTTATCAAAGAATGTATGGCGTTTATATCAACGTTGATTAAATTGTAATATTATAGAATAAAAAATTACGATAAATTGCGATTTCAATACGTACTTAAATTTGCAAAAAATTCACAATTTTATTGACAGCGATTTATTAAAATATTAGAGAACAATAAATCTTGATAAATTGAGATAAAATTTTGATTTTATAAAACGCAATTTTATAGACGAGAAATTACAATTAAATTGAGGATTATTGCTCAGATGTTGATGATCCTAGCCATTTCATCGCCAAAAAATCGTAAAAAAAATTGCAACCTAATTTCAAAATATCGCGATTTTTTCGTTGAAAAATGCTACTTGGGAAGATGCAACTCAACAGCTTACCTTGACTAGTCTTTGGAGATACCAGAGTATTAATTTTGACCTTCAAAAACTCCAATTCTAGTTTATTGATTTGATTTCGCAAAAATTGCTTACTTAAAAAATTTGCCGTCATACACTTAAGTCATTTTTACAAAGGACGATCAAATATGTGCGGTTAGGTTATAAAAAATTTAAAATTGATACCTTATTCAAAACTTGATCCACTTTATCAGAGACTCGTCCCAGGCCAATGCGAACTTCTGAATTTTGGATTCGCATTTCTGACAAATAAACTGACAGGTGAGAATCAGCGGAGAAAGATGAAGATTTAGTGAGAGGATCTATGTGCTGGAATTGAGTTAGACTTGATGATTCGCCTTTGAAGTTCATAGGATCAGGGCAGTTATCTTTCCTCTTCTTCGTTTGACTATTATTGAATTTACTTTTTTGCTTGGTTCCAGGAACTAGCTTTGATATCACAGGATTATCCTGAAATTGGAGCAATATAGTTCATTGTTTTGAATGGTTATAGTAAGTGGTTCTTCGTATAATTTGAGCAGGAAAATAGGAGTTAAACTTTATCCTTAACATTGAGTCTTACATATGTATAAAACTTCAAACCTCTTTCTCTCACTTCAAACTTAATGCTATTTGGTGCATTTCTATTGCATTCAGTACAGTTCATTCCTTTCTGCTGCTTCATGAAAGTTTCTAAACAGCCAAAAATTTGAGAGATTAAATCTTCTTAGCATAAAATAATATCCAAGTGTCATAACGTTTTTTTATTATCTCTGAATGTTCTGAATGGCTTAGTAACTTCACGATTTTAATGACAAATGTAAAATAGGCTAATGTCTATTTTTTCCTTCTTTCTTTCATTGACTAACTCCATTTCAGCAGGAGGAGTTGGAGACAAATGGGTAACCACAATCTACTACATACTATAATAATTGGTTCTTAAACATTATTCAGCCCTGTGATTAAAAGATTTGTGCAGTTCCCCAGTTTCCGCAAAATTTGAAAAACGGAGATTAGCAAACTGTTCTTTTACGAGCTGTTTTCAATCATATGAACAACATTGGAAATACTGAACTTGATGCTTACTTCTTCAGATTCTGAGTCAGAATCATTGGAATGTGGCACTTTGTCATGTAAACCTGGCAATGGGTAACTTAATCTAGAATTCCGGCTACTGGGCCGACAAACTCGAGGAACTGTTTTATCATCCGCAAAATCATCTATACTGTCTTGAGGACCACCAATTTTACTGGAAACAAACAATTCAAATTTACAAGCCTTCTTTAAAGAAAAATAATACATGGATTTTTGAAAATGTAATCTCACAGATAGCGTAAAGGTTTGTTAAAATTACCTTGAAACAATAAATTAAGCAAGAAAACTAGCTTAAAAATTAACGAATAAAATTATAAACTGATCAAATATTAGAACTGAAACAAAAAAAAAAAAAAAGTATTTTCTCGATGGTTTGCTGATTCATTCAGCTTACTGAAAGAGGAAATGAAAATTCTCATTATTTTCACTGTAAGTCTGCCATTTTCTGGCATCTCCTGATATAAGAAACTACAGTAAGATCTCGATTTATCGGATTTCACGGGACCGGAGGCCGAACCCGTTAAATCGCGAAATCCGCTAAATCGCGCTAGTCAGTCCCGCTGAAGGGACCGGAGGATCGATCCTTTAAATCGCAGAATCCGTTAAGTCGCGATCCGATGATTCAAGGTTTTACTGTACATCTTTTGATGGACACAGCCATCATAAAATCAAAATGATATGTTTATGGTAGACGATGTGTTATACTTCACAGTCACAGTTTCAATGCTAATGTTAATAAATGGAAAAAATAACATTATCAAGTTTTTTTCCTGTGTCTTATTCAATTCATAACTTACGGAAGATCCATAGTTTGTCTTGTATCTGGTGGGGATTGCGCAATTGTTATTTTTATAACAGTTATTTGTAACATGAGAGAGCATTCATCAGCAACAAGTGGTTTCCAAGAGCCCTGGGTAAAAGTAAAAGATAAATTATATTCATGAGGATGCATAAGAATGTTCTATAAGTTAGTAGTAACCATAAGGGGACTCTCACCGATAGCCATGTGACTGGGAGTTTTTGGAACTTGCGAAGATCCGTTGTTGTCATTTATACAAGTTTCACATGCCAAGCAACCTAACAGAAAGACGTACAAAACAATGCTTCCATTCGGAGCTCATGCAGCTCTGATAAAGTAGAGTCTGTTTTCAACAAGAGCGGCCTCATCAGAGGATGTCAGTAATTCAAAATAAGCAGTACCAATGGTTTACTGACAAAGAATTACTTGAGCACTCTTAGTTCTCAGCAAGTTCATAAGCTTCCTTTAAAGCACTGCTGATTTACAATGTTGTTGGGTCCACACCATTTTGCGGGAAAATCAAAGCCAAGAAGTTCCATTTCTCCACCTTATTGCATACAGTATTTGGACCACTTCTTAGCGTTTTTTTCTCATTTAAAATGTTGTTGAGTTGAGTTTTCACGTGATTAACAATATTACAATTGAGTGCTGACAAGAGCAAACAATTTGAGGTCTAAACAAGAGATTCTGAGTATCCATTTGGTGAGAAACATGATAATGCCGCTAGCTTTGTCTAAAACCAAGTATCAGGCTGGCAAAAGGCTCTCAAAGTTGAGACTATGGAGCCTATGCAATATGTGATTCTTTTGAAACATAGCCAAATGCCCTGAATTCAGTGCTCAGGCTGAATTCATGAGTAGAGTTGCCATGGCTGTAGGCTAGACCCTCTAAATGGCATATCGTTACGAATTCGTGACATCGCATTTTTGGGGGTTTTAAAAATTGAATCTTTCCTCTGCGGCAACCTTTTGCAAATTTGCATTAGTGTTTTTTTTTTTTTTTTTTTTGGACAAACAGATTCCCAAAAATTTAAAATGTCGACAACGTTGGTACTCTATGTTTTTTGTGCAGCTACAAAATAGATTAGTGTCCCTCAAAATCTGAGATCCAAAATTAATTCAAAATTCATGCCCTTGAGGGTTAAAATTACTTTCTTGACAGCCCTGCAGCCCTGCTCATATATCCAACCCTATTTTTGGATAAAAAATTCTCTTAATACTTCTTCTTTCTTCGTGATGCACCAACATTACAGGCTCAACTTTGAGAACTCTTTGTGAGCTGAGACATTTATTACAGAAAAACGAAAGGAGCTATTACATTCTCTGTGAAATTTAACATTAAAATAGTTCATTAAAGTGCAGTCCCCTCGCTTTCATAAATGTTTCGTGTGATATGATATCAGTTATTCTCCCACCCCACAAGAGAAAGAAATAAAATGCCATCACTTTTTGAGGAAAATGCTAGAATTGAGGGATTTGTTCAGTTTTGGATCGAAGGGGTATATACTCTGAAGACCAAGAAGATAATTAACCTCAGAAACTCAATAGTTTGATACAGAGCAAGAGTTAAAATCACATATTTATAAGAGAGACTCCATCGAACATCTTTTACACTTCGTACACAAGTATGCGCGGTAGAAAATTGGAACACTGACTTACGAGCAATTGATATGGAATGATGATGGCTCTTTTGGAATTGACAGTGACACCATGAAGTCCTTTCTCCCATCCAGGGCCAACTGTTACACTAATAGGTTTCCCATCATTGTGATTGTTTGCAACTTCCTTGACAAAAAATTCATAGGAATTTCCAGCATTCACTGATGTATAATATTATGAGAATTTGTAAAATAATTTTCTTGACCTGTTTTTGTGTTGAGGACGGTTCAAAAATTTTGAAAAATGAATTATGAATTATGCTTTTCCTCATTAAACTTTTAGAGGACCCCAAAAGAGCTATATGTACGGATAAAGTGTGAAAGGATGTATCTCCGTTGCGGGGTTTCAAAATTTCCGCTCCTATTTTACTTTTTTGAAGGGAAACAAGCCAATTTTTGGAAAGATAATAAGGTATTTTTATTATTTGGTATTTTTTGCTGAAAGAGAAAGAAAATCGAGGAGGTTTTCAAGAGATTGTGTTGATTGGTTTTCCGAAGAAAAAATAAAATACAACAGGAAGTGTAGAGTGTTGCAAACGGAGATATTTTGGTTATAGTAAACGGTTACGCACTTTGGCCATTGATATGATCTTAAGTAAATAAATTTTAAGAAGATAGCAATCATCAGAGAGGGGGTGGGTACAAAGTCAAGGAGAAATTTTTTCCTAGTGAGATAGGAAAAAGGTAAAAACTTATCATTGATGCTTTGCTTTTTTGAAAAGAGATAAGAAAATTTGATTGCAAAGTCACAAAGACGCCTGAAAGCAATGATGTTTAATATTGGTATAACATTAGATGTTTGCATTAATGAGAATGGAGTCTGTCTTTTCATTGATTTTCTACAACACACAGCTGAGAGGAAAATATTTTTAAAACGGCCCGCTATTACAACAAACCGATCCACTCATGTTTTATTTTTTCCAAGGAAAACTGATCTACAGTTTCTATTGAAATTTCCTGTTAATTTTCTTCATTTGCCATGGGAAAAGCATGCAAAATTGCAAAGAATCGTTTAGATTCTTTATGAATAGTAAAACATAATCAGAAATTTTTCAATGTTCTGAATAAGATGTACATTTCTCACATTTAGTTGTTGAATTTTACTTGATTTAAAAAAAAAAAAAAAAAAAAAAAAAAAAAAAAAAAAAAAAAAAAAAAACCAGACAAATTGAAACTGCCTTTGTAAGTATTTTGAGATATTAAGTACACTGTTACAAATGTTACACACTCACCCTGTCAATTTTGAAGGAGGGTGTAACTGTTTTTGCTACATAGTAGATATCTACGATGGAGCCATCTTCAGCTTTCAGTTGATCACTCGAGCCAACTATTAAATTTTGAATTAACAGTTCGCTCCCTTTTCCTGCATTAGCTAAACAACACCATTTGACAAGGGCTATCTGAAATCAGAGAACCACAATGTGCTAAAATCGAATTATATAATATGCCAGCTCCACTGAGCAGTGACAATAGAATTATATTTTCCAATGCTTATCCCATTTAAGTTGAGCTAACTAAAGATTGGCAGCAGGAAGTCATGAATTGTGCAAAAGGAAGACGTACCATTCGCTGATTTAAACTCCAATTTTATCATATCACTTACAGAACTGGTGCAGACTTTAGAAATTCGAATGGATTAATTTTGCATGCTGTGGAAGAAAAAGTTGGGGCTTGAGGTGACCTATCAGATCGGAAGAAAATTGACAGATACAAATTTGACCTGTAATTGGTTGAAATCAATGTTTGTGCTCCTTTACCATACGATTTAATTGCAGCTACAATGTTTTTCCGAGTTCAATTCTGAAAAGAAAGGTTGGAAGATGGGCTCAATCCAGCTATCAGCAGGATTACTCTTGACTCTTCATTACCGAAAGATAAGTAAAAATCGTAAAAGAAGAATAGTTGGCCTGCGGCCCGATTATTGAAACTATGTCAGCCTGACACGACAAGACATAGCCCTATCTTAACCATGCAATATATCGCAATTCGATGTCTTACCGGGCTGGTTTAAATTTCAATAATCGGTCCGCTGAACTGATAGGGGAATACAATATAACAATAATGTATACAAACAGGGTGTCCACTTGTACAAGATCATCTAAAATCCTTGTTTTTTATTACCTTTTCTTTTCTTTTTTCATGCTTCAAAAAAACATCCTCTTTTCAGGGATTCCTGAAATCCTTGCTTATTCATTACCTTTCCGTCACTTTTATCTCACCTGAAATGCTTTTTGAATACCGACAAGGACATAGTTCCGCAAAATATAAGAAATTATGATTTGGAAAGTGGAGTGAGGAAAATCTGGAGGATGATCTAAAATATGCAGAATCTAACTGAGATTTCCCAACAAAGTCATCGCATACTTAAGTTTCGTAAAAAATTGCGAACTTTTAGTTCGAATTTCTGTTCCTATTTAAAAAGAGTTCATGCGTTTCCCGTACTTTTGTACCGACCTTTCAAAATCCATACCTAGGCACCCTGATAAAAGGAATATCGACGGTGTAAGTCGGCAATCACATATCTCGTTTGCAGTGTCTGAAAATCTCCACCTCTATGTTATTTTTGTAAAGGAGAACAAATTGACATCATTCCTTGAAGTTTTTGCAGATTTTCTTTGCACAGAGAAGAAAAATAACGGAAGTGTTAAAGAATTGCTGTTGAGTAGTGTTCCGTTTAAAAAATACAGTATGACCGGAAGTCTGCGACGTCGCAAACCGAGTTATGTAATTGCCGACTTACACCGTCGATACATATTGAGTATCTATAAAAAGTATCACCTGAGTGGAGAACTCTGAAGCATCCTGGGGAGATTCAAAAAGCACTGACCACAGTTGATTTGCTTTGTTATAGAAGGCAGCATAGTTATTTATTTGCACCTGTGTACGAAACAAAAAGAAGAAGAGAAAAACATTTAATTTCAGAAATTGGAGCAAAAAATGGAGAGAAAATTTTAAAAGAGAATTTACCATTCTGTGCATTAACTACTCATGCCTTTGCTGTGATTTAATTTAAGGTCAAGACTAATTGACCAGAAAAGTTCCTACTCATCACAACTTGATGGTAAAACAAGAAATGATGCATCTCCATTGCCAGGGATCAATGTTTCAGGTCAATTTTCATTATTTCCGAGGGAAACTTACATAAGATCAGCGCAAAAAGAATTTAGGGAATGTTTTAGGATGTTCAATAAAAATCATGCCCGATTTTGAGGGATTAAAAATGGTTCGTTTCTTTGTATCAAATTAAAAAGAGCAAAAATTCTCAAACAAAAATACTGAAATATAGTCTATTCTGATTCATACCGACTTCTAATTTCAGAATTAGGCTGCGATTATGCATTGCCACTATACAAAACTTTAAAAATATGGTTTGAATTCTGACTCTAATTTTGCGCAAGGAAAGACTTCAACAAAATTTTACGTTATTTTTTCAGGTACTAAGAGGGCATCATGTCACATAAAAAATATACCAGTGTCCCATTTCAAGAAATGTAGGTGATAAAATAACATTAGAAGTTGAGGAAAAACTTACGATAAATTTAAAATTTTGGTTGATAGAGGCTCGACACACATGAGTTGTTTTGTCACGATAGATGATAAATTCAAAACATCTGTTGACAAAACTTCCACAAAGAGCAGCTCTTAACCTCCCGACATTATTGTAATTTCCGTTTTCCCTGTAAAATTAGATACCTTTAAAAGACGGCATTGAAGAAAGGAAGAACAGGCTGGTAAAAACACTGTGAGGGGATTAGAACTGGGGGAAAAAAGTTGGAGGAATGTCACATCAACCTAAAGCGCATCAATTGATGATCAGCACAGTGACTCTGTTTCCATGATCAAAAAAAAGTCCATCAAGGTAGGTCATTGGCACAACTCACACACACTCACATTGGCAGTGCTGCCGATCAAAATTAGGTGGCACCTTATTTTTTTATCAACATTAATCCGTAGAGTAATAAACGCTGGTAGGTACGTATCAAAAAAAATATATTCAATGCCCTGCTTGCAATTCAGGTATGTTGATCAAAATTTAGAGAGGCCTCTTAATTTTGATCAGCAGTACCTACTCGTAAGTGGCATCCATAACCCATTTACCTACATTCTTGGAGACCAATCTATTGGTTAGCAAATGGATTATTATTGTCAAGTGGTTCTATTTTTCGATATAACTTTTGTCCATTCTTTTCTCTCCCAGATCTACGAATTGAAAAGCATGAGATCTTTGCCAGAGAAAGTCAAACAAACTGTGTTTACTGCAGAAATACTTTGATTAGAGACTTCATTTTTACACCAGAAATGAAATGTAAAACTGTGACATTGGTCAACAACATGACTCGACTCGACAAAAAACATGATGTCCCTTCACTGACTTCCAACATGCATCTTTTATCGTAGATCATAAAATTTGAAAACGTCAAAATTCCACTAGAAAAATTTTGCAATGCAACAAGTTATACAAATTAATGGTGCAACTTCTGCTTAAGCCACGAGTTATAAAACCTCTGCTCCAAGTCTGCAATGTCGCAAACTGAGATACATGGTTTGGAAGTTTCATTGTCAAAACAGAGAACTGATTGGGAGAGGAAAGCCAGCACTCACATTTTAAATGCCTGAACAGTCTTGACGATGAAGAGGTCCAGAGTTTTGGCTGCTCTAGAATTTTCTGCTGATTTACTATCGAGACTTTCCACCTTCGATCTCCTTGAGTCCAGAGATGAGTCGGAATCCGTCGGAGTTTCATGTTTCCCAAGAGATCTGGGTTGTTTGGGAGCTTTGTAAGTAAGTGACTGATTCCCATTGTTGAGACTTAATCGAGAAGAATCAAAAAGTGATGCTAAATTGGTACTGTAACATAATAAAAAAAAGAGAATAGATTCTAGAATCTAAAGGAGGTAATAAGCATCAATACCTGCATGGTTAATAGAGAGGAAAATAAGTATCAGGGATGCTGAGTGGGGTGCGGTGGATTTAGTGACAGAGCAAGCTGTAGTGTTTACCATGGGGAGGAGAGGTTCCGGGCAATCCCTCTTTTCAAGGAGACTACCAAAATCTTAACATTTAGATCCTCTGTAACTCCTTTTTTATTCTATTTCACAGATAAAATCTGATGGAACATCTGTGGTCTCTTGCTCTCTTACATGTAATTTTCATTTCCTAAAATCTTTTCGAATATTTTTGAGCGTTGGCAGACAGCTCCTTGATCTTATTTCCTAATTCTGCCACTTATACAACGGCTCTCTTGTCCCAATTCTAGACCAGTAATAATTTTTGGACTCGCATAGTAAGTTTGCCAAAAACCCAGCTTCCTATGTTTGAACCAGGATTGAGACGGTCATATTCATGCAACTTCTCATACGTTGTCGAAAAGGCGACATGATAGCATTGTAGGGCACTTGCTCCAAAGGGAGCAATCTCAACCTTGAAGGAAAGAGAGAACCGAGATAGCGTTGAAAGCAAGAGCAGTGCGCTACAATGAAGGGCCAAGGGAAGCGGGCTGCAATTGAGTATTGCATCGCTTGGATTTGGAATGTTCCGCCCTTCCTGTCTCATCTTGACACTTCTGCCGAGCAATGGCTCGCCGTTCAGCGCATCACAAGTAATTTTCCAGAGCCCGTTAGCCCGTGTCCTGGCCGCACAGCACGCTTTGTCACTTCCATCTGCCATACCTCTTTCCCCAATTTGTGGTTACGTACGTATTTCTGTTCCTTCTCTCCTGTTTATACCTCAACTTCCTAACTTATCATTGATTTAATAATACTTAGCTGAAATTCATAACATATTTACTTAAGAGTTTCCTCTCTCTTCTGAAATCTTAGGGCAAGCTTACTTGGCACGTACGCCACTGGGGATGCCAGATAAAACTTGCAAAGAGAATAAGCAAAGATTTTATTACAATAACGAGTAATAAGCATCACTGTGAGGAGGATGATAATTAAAGAATAGAAGGATCTTACTTCGGAGACGGAGTGAAATCGATGTCATCTTCACTGAACATGGCTTTATGGATGTAGAAAGATGAGAGGGCTGTATCCCTACAGTATTTGACACATGCAAACAGGAAAACTCGGCATTTTTTACATAAATGTGCTAACTTCAAAGAGTTAGTGAGAGACAGAGAAAGATGGAAGTTGTAACGTTCTGTGGGTTACTCAATGAATTTGTCCACTTATTACAAACGCGAAAAATGTTGAGATGAATTAATGAATGCCCACTATTCTTAAGAAAACCGACACTTAAATTCAAATTCACTTATCATCAATCCTTAGTAAATCAAATTACTTATAGCAAAATGAACTGAGCATAGAAGTGTAAATGTGATAACAGCTATCAGCTGATGCTGCTGACATGCTTGCTCGTGTTTACATGATTATGACGTCATTTGCGTCATCAAGAATTATGAAAAAATCGAAAAATCTCGAAATTTCGGCCTGTGTTTATTTTCTTTCTGTAAGATAACCTCGAGGCCGGCGGCTCGTTCGCTGATTTTTCCATGTATTATTTTCCCTAAACTTCAGTATTTTGGCTTTCATGATTCCTATAAAAATGGCAGTTCGATGTAGGATCACAAGTGGTAAATCATTTTACGTTAATTGCGTACTGTCATCTTCACGTAGCAGTCACATTTTGGACACTCCGAAGTTCTACTATCAGAAAAGTGACGATCATGTGTGCAACGTAAGTTAAACCTTTAACAGGCCCCGCAGGTTTATTGATCACCCTATGTCACCAATATCTCATACACCTGGTCCATCATATTACTGAAACAGTTTTCAGTACATAGCTAATTATTTTAGTTGCACGTAATGATGCAGCATGTGCGAAGACCTTTAGTATTAATAGGATCCTGATGTGGGCTGCATCGCACTTATCCTCAGTCTACAGAGTTTATGATTCATCAGATCAAATTTCATTTATTAATTAAGAAAATACATAATACAGTAACCAGAATCTATTCTTGTTCTTGTCACATTCATACTCTATCATTACAAGCATTCTACTATGTTTCTGCGAAACCTCACTTTTGGCAACTTCAAGTTAGAAATGGCTATTGCATAGGTAGCCTTTGTCATAATGTTATAAGTATTGCAGATTCCAAGCCAAATAAGTTTATTCACTTTTACACAGCAACAGAAGATCTGCTATCTTGTTTCTTGCATTTACTTTATGTTTCAAAAGTGACTTCAGATGATTTTCTGTCGCAGTCTAGATGTGCGTAAACTTGTTTGGCGTGGACTCCAGAAATCTTGCAGGTGATGAAACTAACATTTCTGAGACCGTTGCCTATGAAAATGGAGAGGCCGTAACTAGTCAGTTTTGTGACGTCAAGCTAGTAGATATTTACCGAAAACTGCAAGCATCTCCGGGTCATTGGTGCATCGATGAGTGAGCCAGTCGCTGTGTGGACCAATCAGAGTGACCCTCGATCGGCCAAAGATGCGTGAGTGGCGCGTTTGGATCTGAGTGGAGTAATGATTTTTGGTATTAAGCTTTCATTTCCTCAATCATCAGAAAATGTCATCGGATTAGGTTTGCGGATTAGGAAGTGAAGTTTCATCTTCTTTCAAAAAGGTTCTTATGAATTTTTGCATCAGATCAACCCCTGAGAAGATATCGTGACAAAAGGAAGACACGCCAGGCATTCTCCCATAAGAATACATGTTAAACTGCGGCCGAGTTTCATCTACTAGCGTGACGTCACAGGAACGTAGTAGCTTTTCCATTCCCATAGACAGTGCTGAGACGTTGGATTAGTATCTACTAGATTGGTGGCATTCTGTGCCTTCATCAACGATTTTTGCGAACGATATTTCTTATAATCTGGCAAACTATCATTGCAATGAATTTTTTCCAGCACAATATTTTGCACTCTCTGAATTAATAATATCTTTACTAATACTTCCCTGTTTGCAGTGTGGTATTTTAGAAGAATCTACCATGATGTGTTAATTAATCCAAGTGGGCTTGGGTTGATGCACCTGGCTCTGAGAGAAGTTACTGCCAAATAAGTTAACGCACTTTTAGAGTTGGACAGAAAATTGGTCATCCTGAATCTTGCATTTTCTTTCAATGCTACTTAAATTGAAAATATATGATCCGTTCACACCATACAATCCGATTGTACCCTAAAAGTGCTCAAATGTATTTAATGTCGACTGTAGGCATTGACACAAGTTCTTGCTCTTCCTGTCAGCAGAATTTGCATTACTGACATACCTAGTTTGTAAGTTTCTCATTGCTGTAGACCAGCAAACAGGGATCTTAATCTGCATGTACGCATTATTTTAAATTTTTTTCCTGCCAACCTCTTGATTCCTGCAAGTTGCATATCATAGTTCTAATATGCAGAACAATACCGCCTCTAAAAACTTGCATGAGTCTAATAAACAGAAATTTTCTGGTGTCTAGCTGTAAAAAATTTTACTTTCCACTTTGGCAGCCTCTCAGAAACGGGTGAAAGAGGTGATGAATATGGAAACAAAATTCCTACCTTCTAATTACTTATCCTATCATGATGTCTGTCAACAGGTGAAGAATTATGCAAATCAAGTCGCTGCCATTCCGTTTGCTGAAAGATTTGAGCAACTCTTGCAACCATTTGTCCGATTTTCTCCATGTTGCACTAGCAAGACACTGCATGATTTGAGATCAGAAATAATTTCAAAGAGGTCGGTTTTTTTCATCGCTTACTTTGATCCATCAGGGTTTTGTAAATCATGTGGAGATTTGATTTACCTCTCAAAATAAATCTCATATCAATAGTGAAATTACTAAGATGTGTATCTCAGTTTGCGGCGTTGCAGACCTCCTGTCATAATTTATTTTCGAACAGAAAATCCTTGAATTTTGTTTCTTGAAAATTTCCGTGTGCCATGATTGCTTTCCTCTGTGTGAAGAACACTTTATGAAAATTTCAAGCCAACACTGAGATTACAACTGAGATGAGCATTTTCGCAGTTTCACTGTCTATATTTATGTTACTTAAAACAGGGTGGATTGAAAATTACTCTTTTTCATTATTTGGTCTTAATATATTTTTGTTTTTATTAATGTTATGTCAATATCCATGTTACTCAAGACTAGGTGGATGGAAATTTACTCTTTTTATAATTTGATCTACATATTTACCTGATGGTTTTATACATGATCACAGCTATGAACAAAGTGGGATATTTGTTGATAATAGTTGTTTACCTTTGCGTTGAAATATGGTGACCTGTCTAAAATAGTCAGTAAATAAATGAGACCAAGTATCATCAATCATCATCTATAACACTGGTGAAAATTTTTTTGTAGTTCCGTCCGAAGAGATGATGATATAAAATTTTAGACCATGATTTTCTCACAGCAACCTTTCCCTGTGACAAGACTTTGTTCATCTTTTAACAGTGTATCGCATCCACTTAGGCATCAAGAGTTTAGGAAAAAACTTTGCAGGTAAACAGTCTGCTAATGTAAGTTCAAAATATCTTTATCAAATTTTCTTAGTTCCTGTGTGTATCTCTCCATTAGAAGCAGACGCCTTTCTTTCAATCTACTGTGGACATACGCTCATTGTTTCTGATACGGTTGCTTTAGAAAACGTTGGAAATTCAATTCAATCAGTCTGAAAAATTTTGTTCAAAAATATGATGAAATACTTCCTTGAGCACAAGATCACCCCATAAGAGAACTTGAAGTGATTTTAAAAAAAATCATCGGGACTTTATGATCATTGGCTTTATTCAGCATATGAATTTCGACATGAAGCTATTAATGATAGTGTATCATTATCTTTTCCTATCTAACATACTTTATTGTATCAATGCTCGGTCAACTTGCAATAACAAAAAGATGCAGAAAGTATTCATACTTCAAAAAAAAAAAAAAAGGTATAAAAGCTATTAGAACTATGCTTAAATAAAACCTAAAAAATCTTGCAAGTAACATTTTTAAAAATTAAAACACTAACTGTTCTAGCATTGATCATATATTCATCTTTAAAACTATACAACAACAAGAAAATACAGGAATATAGAGTGGTACACAAACACAACACTAGAAATAGAAAAGAAAGTCTGATCATAAAAATTAATAAAGCATTAGCCCAAGGCCATACATTTTCCTGTAATCTACCACTCAGCATAAAAAAAAAAAATTAAAGAGGAGCCCGGAAGCCACAACGCCCTGGTCAGACAACATCTACTTGAGCAATGTCCCTATTCCATAAACGACTTCACAGACGGGACAAGTTGAAATTATTCTTGTTGTTTATGTATTTATTCTTGTTTCTTGTTTTAAAATTTTCCACATTTGTAAAAGCCATGTGCACAAATCAACAAATAAAGCTGTATATCATTATATTTATTATTATTATATTTTAGATTTTCAATCATGTCTTATACTTATTTTTTTTTATTTTCAGCTTATCTAGTCATGCTTGGAGGAATCCTGGAATTCCTTTTTTAGCTTCATCTCCAATAGAAAACTCAACTTTACTGCTAGCAGATGTTGGAAGTATTCATGGAGACAAAAAGTCAGGTGCTTCCGCTGGGTCCTCTTCAGCAGGAGATAAACAAAGCGGCCGTCCCTCAGAAGAACAACTTGATAAAGCGTATAAATATCTATCTGAAATTGTGAGTAGCTAAAATATAGGAGCTTTTCTGAAGCAGTGTTAATTTTAAGAATGTAATGCCATGCTGGCTTGCAAAGAAATTCTGAAAAAGAATTTTTTTTATTTTGAATAAAATCATACCTTGAATTCTGATAACGGTAAAGACATGGAGAAAACTAATTAAAGTTAAATAGGACTGGACACTGTCTGGAATTGAAGATTACACCACATATTTCTTGTTCTATATTTTGTGTAAACATAATGGATACATCCAGAGTTGTCGCAGTCAGGAATTACTGAGAAATGTTAAGGAAAATGACCAAAAAGTCAAAGAAAAATTAATAAGTCACCTTCATTTAGTTTCTAGAATAGGTTTGACCTTTCAAACAACAAATTTTGCCTGAAAACTATTTCAAATTATGTTTTTTTAATCATGTGGCATATCCTCAATTGTCAAGGAATTTTACCAAATTGTGTCAAGGAAATTAATTTTCTAAAATCTGCTACAACCCTGAATGTCTAAATTTAACAGTTTTTAAAATATTTTAGCCTTGTTTAACCTAGTTTTAAATTTTTTGTATTTTTTTCCTGTTTTTTATACCATTTAACATGCTTCAACGTTGCCAGCCAGTATTTACGGAACTGTCCCCGGTGGGCCAGAACAAAGACCTAAAGACGGAGCATTCGTATCTACTAACATGGGGGAGAAGTGATGCAGCCCTAAAGCTCTGCGTTTGTGTGAATGTGTAATTAAGCGTGGGAATCCATGGCGGCAAACGAAAATTTGATTTGAACTTGTCCTCTTGATTTTTGTGCTTTTCTTGCTGTAAACTTGTCTTAAATGCTTAAAACGAACAAATGAATAAAGTTGGGAGGGTGACTTTTTATAGTAAACCAATTTTGGCTCAGTAACAAGCAAGGATCTCAGATAAAGTTAGTTTTTCTTTTTCTCATGGTGGTCCTGCCGGTTCAAACAGGCCGTTACAGTCCCAGATGACCGTTACTCCCAAATTAGATCAATCAGTCAATGACGGACCAAAAATAACCTAAAGTTAAAAAATATAATATGTGGGTAAGTGAATTTGAGCAAAAATCAACCTAGAATACTTTGTTTACGCAATTTTATTCAGTTCCTGCCCTATTTTTGAATTTCAAACTTTTCCTGATTTCGCTGCCAATCCTCTAGCCAATCGGAGAGTTTGTATGAATTTGCATCATTTTTTTCCTCTACCGCTCCGTCTTTATGTCTTTAGGCCAGAAAAATCACAACCTACTCTGGAGGACAGAGTTCCTTCAGGCTTTATCTGAGAAAAGAACGGTTCATAATAAACTCCCTAGAGGTTCCATGTTTTGGGAGTCATCTCTCAGGTCTAAAATTTAATTATAATCAAATTAATGAAATTTAATTTTTTTTTAAATTTAGGCAACACAATGCTAAAATCCTCACCTATTTTGTATGTTATATAGGTCAATTTTATATGTACGTACAAGAAAAAAAGGCCACCAGAAACGTGGCCTGAACTGTGTAACAAGGTGGTAAAATAGTGCTGGGCTCGCACTATTTTGCGGGGAAAACAAAGCCAAAAAGTTCATAAATTTTAAGCTCTAATGAGTACCTGCACAAAACTGAGGGGAAGGGGAGAGTTCACCGCAGGCAGCTTGCATTGGAATATTAATTTGAGGTCACATCAAGAGATCTATAACGTTTTGGGTCTTTTTAGACGTCGTCAGCAGATCACACTCGTCAGTGAGCCTAACCTTAGCATCCCGCAGAATCCTCTATCCTCTTCCCCCTCAGTTTTGTATTGGTACTCATTAATGCTCAAATTTTTTATTCTAATTGAAAATACTTAAACTTTTTAGCTTTGTTTTCTCCGCAAAATAGTGTGGACCCAGCACTATTTTACCTCCTTTTTTGTATGTACTATACATGCAGGTGTTGAGTCCCAGTGATAATCAACCTCTCTTGTTCTGAGTGCCTCTTTGTTAATTACTCATTGAATTTTTATTTTCCTCTTAGCATTCGTTCCCGTATTAGTTTTTTTCTTCTTCTATTTCCTTTTTCCTACTGTTTCAGCTGCCAAAAATTATGGTCCAAACTGTGAATTATGAATTAATTGACCGCAATGTTATTATTGAAGATCACTTGAAAACTTACAAAAGAACAGTGTGAGTAAAAATTAATATTCATTGACTTAAGGTTAAGATATTTTTTATATAAATTAGTGACTTCCTTGCATCCTTCTGAATTAGGAAAATACCATCTTGAGTTTTCAAACACACTAGATTTTCTTTTTAAATTACGTTTAAAAGATTCTTAACATTTTTTAATAGTATATTTGTTACCTTTTTAATTTCCAATTCATAAGTATAACGAAAAAACAACATTTTCAATTCTTGTAGTCAGCATTAAAAAGTTTTTTGTCTCTCTGATCTTACTTAATGTTATAAAATTACACAAGAGCAATGCATAATGCCTGAAGCGCTTTAGGGGGTTGGACTGCAAAGCGTTCAGGGGGCATACCCCTAGTTTTTCTTCAAAGGCTGAAAGTAAATTTCCTCTTTAGTGTTTCCACTCAGCTCAACAAGGCTTTTCCCTTCCAATTTTTATTACAAGAAATCCCTTTTTTAATCCTTATAATTAACTGTGATCATAATTCTTTAAAAATAATTCTTGACATCTGACATGAATTTTTGACATGACCATATTTTCCATTTTCAGAGGAGTCCATCATTTAGTCCAAAAACTTGGATATATGAGGTTTTGGGGGCACTTAAAATTCTCCTATGTTAAGTTTTATGTTCTAAAAATGACCTCTCACCCCGAGGAGGGATGTATTAAAGTTCGATGGCGGATCGCCGGCATAACAACTTTCAAGGCAAGTATCTTCCTAAATTTCCTCTCAACAGAGTAGTTAATAGTCATACACCCAGCAGAAACATCATCTAGATTATGAATGGTAAAAATTTAAGAGTGATGTAAGTTTTGAAACAAACTCTTAATTTTTAAACTAGCAGTAAATTTCACTATGAAGAGATAATCATTGCGCTCCAGCGCACTGGTTCTTGTTGTATCCTTATGTCCAGGATTAAACAAGAGGTTAGTGACTGATGAACTGAAATAAGAGTAGAATTGATATCAGTCTCTCAATAGGACCCCAGCAAAGCACCTGCAGTGCTTTTGCCTGAGCTGAATTCTCTTTTCCCTCAGTCTTGCATTGCAACTGAATAGAGTTTATTGTATGTCAAATTCTAGTCTCTAGTATTTTCTGGCTGTAATTTCTCCTGAGAATAGTGTGAAATAAGCACTGTTCCAGCATCCTGATTATTATAGTAAGAGACCATTCATAAAATACATAATGCAGATTAAATTTAAGTGGTAATACATACCATAATTTTGGCTTTTTTGACCCCCTTCCTTTCCCTTGCAACACTTTTGTAACATAGGTCCTTATCCTCCAGCAAGTAAAAAGAAAATAGCAAAATACTCCTTCAACTCCACTCCCCTCCTCTTGGAGCATCTCATATTTTATGAACAGCCCCTAAGTAGTGGCAGCTACCCAATCAAGATTGAGCCCAAGAAATACATTGGCACCAAGAGTTGCAGCGCTGCATATGCTCAACTTAGAATTTTTGGATTGTAATTTCTTCTCATAAATCCAAATCTGAAAAACTGACTTAGGGAGGTGATCAGCGAAGCATGGAGTTGGAGGACGGGCAGTAGATCAAAAGCTGCGAGAACTTTAAGTACTTGGGGGTATGGTTGACCCAGGATAGAAAGACGGATGAAGCTTTCAAGGAAAGGAGCACCCTAGGGAGGAAGGCTACAGCGATGTTAAATGGAATCTCTGGTATCCAAAGAGAACTAGAGGAGAATTTACAACGTTGTAGTCAAAAATATTCTCATATATGGATGTGAAGTTGGGCAGCTGAAGAACTGGACACAAGGTATGCTAAGAGCAATGGAGATGGATTTCTAGTGAAGGTCTGATGGAATATCTTGAAGAGATTGGGTCCGCAATGATAGAGTTCGTCTGATCAAGGGAGTCGAAAATGACATCGTCTTCGATGCCATGACCAAACAGCTTGTCTAGTATGGTCCTGTTAACAGGATTATGGAAGAAAGACTGCCGAGGAAGATGCTTGATTGGGTTTCTCCTGGGAGGAGACGAAGGGGACGCTCAGTGAAAGGGTGGCGACAGGGAGTTTCAGAAGAAATAGGGGAGTGCCAACTCCTTCATGGCAGATGGGTGTCGCAGAGCGCTAAAGAGTGCTGTAAAAGCGGCTTTTATGTATGTAATTTCTGCTCAGGGACTGTAATTCATCATGAGTTAATCAAGTTCTCAATCTTTTTGTTTTCAGACCTATTTTCAATTCTGGAAATTAAAGTTTTGGAAGTTCAAAGAAATGCTGCAAAAAGAAGAAGAAGTGTACGTATTTCAGCTGATATTTTTCATTCTTGTCAGCTATGAATATGTGAAACTGCATCCAATAGCTGTCCCTTACTTTTTGTCACTTATATTAATAAAACTGATACTATTGTAAGATTAATGAAGAGGCTCATTCTCTTTCTCTGGCCCGCCATTTTTCATGGTATTGATCAATTTTTAATACCTTTTCTGATTTTTGAGTAAGGTAGGAATTCATGAAAGGAAGATTGCCCTACAGTGACAAAAATTTAAATTTTCGATGGTAATTTTCTCAACGTACGATCTTATCACTAATGCCAGTTCTTTACAAGATAAATGAAACAAAGTTTTGCCCCTTTGCTACAGACCATTCAAAATTGATGAAACGCTCAATTCTATTCGTCCCAGTCTTGACGGAAAGTTTGAAATAAAATGCTGATTTTCATACTCTACTCTCATTTGTTCAATCTTACTCAAGCACCAAATTTCACCCCAAAGCTGAAACTGAACAAACAGAATAGAAGAACGTTTTGTTGATTTCAGGTGCATAAATAGGAGAAGAACATACCTTTGTTTCACTTACTTACCTTGAGTTCTCCTCCTTTATTTTCAATTGCCTCTTGAAAATCAAGCGTCATTGCCAAACTGTGTTGAAATTCAGCACATTTTTCCCTTTAACTCAGTGTATAATATCCATATTTTCTCACACAATCTGGCAACCTTGCAATCAAGAGACCAAACATACCTGAATTCCGCTGAAGAGAGATCCCTCCTATATTAAATTTTAAATCTCCTCTTTTTTTTTGCGCAGGTGGTATGATGGCTTTATGATTATCCACTTGAACAGCAATGGACTTATTGGAAAAATCTACATTGACAAGGTATGCCAATGGGTCTGTTGCAAGCAAGAGATTCAGCCAACTGTATACACGTTTTAAAGAAAAATTTGCTAAAAAATCACGTCGGCACATCAAAAAAGTCTGAAATTCACTGCTTAGTGCGTTATCTGCATAGTTTCAACACTTTTTTTTCAAATTCACCTCGTATGCAAGCAGTCTTTCTTGGTGGCTGGCAATCAGGTTTACCCGAAGAAAGACCTAAAATAAACCTAAATAAATGAAGAATCTTGCAAACTGCTGTAAACTCCCCTTGCGGAAGATTTCAATTGATTCGTAGCTTTTGTTTTTGCAAAATAAAGAAAGACAAAGGAAAAAAACGATTGAAAACAAATGAAATCATACAATAGAAAAAGTTAGTCAATCGTTTGTTTACTTAAGGGAGTTCTTTCTCATTCCTCTCTCTGTGCAAACCTGGTCGGCGGTGACTGAGGAAAACTGCCCGCAGATGCAGAAACTTGAAGAAGTGTGTTACAAACTACACAGATTGCGCTCTAAGGAGCAGATTTCAGATTGATTTTGTGATTTTTGAGCGAATTTACTCCTAAAATGTATCCAATTGGCTGCATCTTGTGCGTGAAACATACCAATTTTATGCTATCTCTGCTGTCAGGCTGAAGTGAATTTTTATCTCAGAAAAATTCTTTCTGGGCATCTAAGGAAGAGATAATCACATTTTAAATGAAGAGAGTCACTTTCAAAAATGGTATGTCAAAATGAATGCCCGGCCCAAAATTTGATTTTCATCAAAACTCTTAGTTTTGTCAAGCTTCCACAGGAAGAATTTACTCAATTCTTATGAGAATATTGTCCCTAAGTCTTGTCCATTGCACACATTCATGTGTAAGAGGTTTGTTTTAATCCGTTTGGACAAGATCTGGTCCAGTGAGAGATTAACATGACTTGTCCAAAGTGTAGCTTGTGGCTTCAGGAGCTCAATAATCTCAAATCATAGGAAGGCACAGATTTATTGTACGTACTAAAAGTGATGTACCTATCCAATTAGTAGTAGTAGTCGTTAGGTAAACTGACAGAGATGCCATCAAAGGGCTTGGGCACTCAGTGGTCGTCTGTTAAGCCTCTAGTAGACTGTCTTGATAACTCTAGCAGAGCTACAAAGTACGGCATTTTGGATTAAGGCTACTCTCTCACCAAGTTGGGCTATGCTCTTTAAATATCTTTCTGATAGGTGATACTGGCTTAGTTGCCCAACAGCAGCCTATGTATGTATTTTGTATGTATTTGTTTTGACCCTAGGTCACTCCATTTGAAAGGAAACAGATGGCCACATTTATGATCAAAGTACAAAATAACGTATCTTGATGTCGCAATATTGGACTTCCTACTGTACTTAATATTTCCCTTGGAAAATTAGTCAATGCAATAAATACCTTGAAAACTTTCTTGAATTTTCTTCTTTGTTAGCAGAATACTCTGTGTAAATTTAGGGGCTTAGAGGACCTGGTGCATAAGTGCAGTTTTTCCTATTTCGAGAAATACATGTTTGAAGTTTCGAAATTACATGGATCCTTAAGGTGGAAAGAAAATATAAACCGACTTTTTGATGCTTAAAAATTGGAATTTGGGAGCGAACTTTTCTCAGAATATGCTTGAAGATTAGTTATACTTAAAATCATTACTACCTTTTTCAAAAACTGCACCTATGCGCCTTGTTCTCCAAGCCCCTCAATATCAATTTATTAAGTTAGCCTGTTTCTCTTAAAAAAAAAAAAAAATAGGAGCGGCAATTTTGCATCAATACAGTGGAGATATGTGGTTTTGCAATTTGGCCATCGTTATGCTTTCTCTCTCGTACTAACACTCAATAATATATTTTGCCCCACCTCATGCAATTTCAACTTCCTCTGACATTTTTTGAAAATGGATTTTGTTGCAGATGATGCCTGACGAAGATAAAACTAAGGTGACAAAAGACAAGAATGTACCTCTCACTGCACACCTAGCTATGGTAGGAGCAACACCAGAAAGCCTTGCTGCACTAAAATCTTGTAAGTCAACAAATGTGAAAGATATCAGTAGGCCAAAAAATGTGTTGTCATCAAAAGATAAATGTCATAGTCATAACTCAGTATCGAGTAATCATGTTTAAGAGTGAACTTTAAGTAATTTATTAGCGCTTTGATGTACCCTGTAATTGACATGTGCGATAAGCAGAGCTGTCGTATCTGAGCCAGATGATAAGTTTGTATAAAATACAAACATATCTCATCCATCGAGCCATAAAAGCAGATTCCGTTTCCTCTAGGTGGCTGCTACGTTCAAAACCGCTCGTCAGTTGATGTATCAAAATCTGCAGGCTGTCTCTTACATTTCTCAGTCGGATGTGCTACAACCATAAACACTTTTTATTATTAGCTTGTTTTAATTTTCTTCTGTTACTCTCAATTTTCCTATTTTTCTCGTAGTTTTTCCTGATTTGCACTGAAATCATGAATTTGCTTTGACTAGTGCTCTAGTTCAGTATTTTCCTTTTGCTCTCCTGTTTTAAAAATTATTCTTTTTTCCATCTTTCTCTCTTGTTTTTGAAGATTTGAAAGATGAGCTTTTAGAATAAATGAAGTAAAAAATACTCTAGTTTAAGGGCAGATACTGTCAAATTTAGCCCTTGGACATGCAATGAATACAAATGTGTAATATGAAGCCCTTTAAGTACTCTTCCGCAAAGTGACATCAAGAATGTCCCCAGGAAAAGATAAATTGCCACACATTATCTTGATATCCAGTTCCATGTCAACCAGTTCGCAATTAAGTGACTTACTCTACAAATGGTTTTTCAGTTTCAATTTCTGTGTTGTTTGTCAGTGATTAAACAGTTACTCTTATCTCTTCCTTCTCTTTCCATGTACGAACAATTTATCAGACACGATGTACTTAAAGGGATTAGAATTCTTCTACAGTTGTCTCGCCGTCTATTTCTATTTTTTATATAAATTCCGATCAAACAATGTTGTATCCTTTTTTTTTATTGGTGGATTTATTCCGAATTCAGGGATATAAGTTTAACTAATATTTAGTTGGAAAAGACATGAAGAAGCAGGTTGTTGCCTGAGAATAAATCAGGTATCCTCCTTGATGAAAATTCATGAAACGGGTGATTAAAGTTTCTTGTTTATTTTATGATACTGTAAAGGATACAAGGAATATATTTGAAGTGAAATCGATGGGCGTTGATCATTGATTAGGTGTCTAATTTTGAGAATTTTTTCTCTTTTTTTTAATTACTTAGGTTTGTATTTACAGATTTCATTGATCATAAGCTTTTCAACATTAATTTTCCTTCTCTACGCATTTCCATCACTAATCCTCTTACTCAGGAGAAATTTTACACAAAATCTTGAACGGGCATAAAAGTAGATTTTTTATTGATAAGGAATATCTAGGTAACATTAGTGAAGTTATACTTCAGCGATCATAAATTGTCCTATCATAATCAAAAATACGTTCAAATACCAAGAGATACTTCTAATGAAGGGTGGAAATCGTTATATAAGACCGTCTCATGTTCAAAGCATAAAGGGATGTACATATCGACTGTAAAACTGAAAGAAATGCGTAAATCGTTTACAGTGTTTTAAAACTCCATTCCTACTTTATTTTTTAAAAAGAGACCAGACCAATATCATAGCTTAAAATTTTCAAAGAATATTCTTCACATAGAGAAGAAAAATCGCCGAAGTTTTAAAAAAATGAAGTCTCATAGTTTTTTAAGTAGAAAATAAAGTATGACAGGAAGTATACAAGGCTGTAAACCGAGATACACATCTCTGCAGTTTTACCAGCATTATGTGCATTCAACTTAATCCGGATTGTTCTGTTTTATTTTTATTGAACTGAGAGTCAAAAGCACATACCTCTTTAGATCCCAAGAAAAGTACGTCTTTTAAGCATTTTTAATGTGCAAATGTCAAAAATAAAGGTAAAAAAATAAGTATGTCAGTATGTCATTCAGCTTATGTAAGGAACCTTGCGCGTATGGCAAGACCCTGTATTAATCAGTGTCACAATATGCCCTGAATTTGAGCATTAATAAAAACCAAATTTCCTTCTATTAAGCTTCTCATTTATTCCCTTTTGTTCTTCCAAATTATGAAACTTTTTATTGCGTACAGCACTGTGAAGTATGTTTATCACATATTTTCCTCTTAATCATTTCTTAATATTTTCTGATCCATTTTCTTCCCTCTAATAATCCCCCTAAAGTCTGCCGGTCTGAATAATTTTAATCAAGGCGTCGACATTGTTATTTGCGGTGGCATTTCTGCTCAAACTAATGATTTCACTCTTATTTTTGCCAACTGGAACAGAAAGAAAGTAATTCTTTATTAGATGAAAGTCTCATAGTAGTTTTACCTACCAGAAAGTAAACAGTAGACTGATTTAGTCCTCTTATGAAGGATAACCTCTTGTCAAAATTCTGCGAGGAGTAAAGTGTGCTAATTAATTTATCTCTACATTGTCATCATCTACTAAAAAATCAATGAATAACTCATTAAAAATGAGAAATTTTGACAGCAAGAGCAGGTCTGGATTTACGTTTTTGCCACTGAGGGCAATGAAAAAATTGCCGCTGCTCTTAACCAATGTGAAACGTGACTGAGGTGGGGGGAAGGGGACTTTTGCCAGACGTAGGAGACCGAGGGCCCTCCCCCAGAAATTTTGGAAATTTCAACTGCTCGGGGTCCGACCCAAGTTCTGCCGTATTTTCTAACAGTTCAAGAAATTATTCAAAATCGTGATGTCTGAAAAAACATCTTATTCTTACTATCTTCAAGAATGATTACCCTTTCACTAACAATGAAGAGGAATGTAGATAGTTTTTTTACTCTTTAAAGGGGCCATCGTGGGGCAATATCCTTTAAAGAATGTTTTAATATTTTAGTCGGTCAGGAGTCAACTAGACCAAGTGAAGAATAAAAAAAAAACAACATTTTTGAGACAAACAGCACTTACCATGTAGTCTCGTTGCATGTTGAATAATAGAGTTAATGTTTTTCAAAATATTCATCAAATTACTATGGTTTTCACAGACGATTTTCGAATTAGCCGTCATCTCTTTGTTCAACTGATATAGTTGCACATAGCAGTCTCTCATGTTTTTCCTGGGAAGAGACAACCCAAACAAATGTAATGTATAGTGGTAAACAGTGCAAGCAACTGGTTTGTCGAATGATGAAATGGACTGCATTTGGACGGTCTTGAGGAGAAAGGAACCAATCCACATAATCTATTGCCAAATTTAATCAAGCAGTTAATTTTTTACATGTAAACGAATGTGCGGATTTTCGTGGATACACACCTATTTCAGAAAATTTTCTGGACAGTGCGAAGCAAATTCCTTTAAATTTTCAATGGAATCTGCACAAACGCTCTCTCGTAAAAAATTAACTTGCCAAGATAAATTTGGCAATAGTTGATGTGGCCTGGTTCTGTTCTGCTAAAAGCGGTCAATTTTGCAATCAGGAATTAAATTTTCTGGCTTATTCGTAAAAACACGTATTTGCATAGGGAAACTAATAGTAAATACGTCGTTTCTAAGCCGAGCCAGAAATTGTTGTTCTTAATCCTAAAATGTAGTCCAAATAGGATATATTGAGATTTACAAAACCCCCAGTGCGAACGGGACCTACAAAAACCTAAAAAATCTAACAATTACATCGATAGAAGTACTAACTCCAAATAATTTTTACCCAGATGTTACCAATAAGCCGTATGGACACTTCGTATTTCTGTTGACTACCCAAATTGAATGGCTTCGACTATCATACATAGGCTGTTCAAGAAGTACCTACCCAGTGAGTAATGGACGGCGTAGGTCGGCAATCACATAACACGGTTTGCGACGTCGCAGACTTCCACTTCCTGTCATACTTAATTTTTTAAACGGAAAACTACCCAACGGCAATTCTTTAAAACTGCCGTGATGTTTCTTCTCTGTGCAAAGAAAATTCTGCAAAAACTTCAAGGAATGATGTCAATTTGTTCTGCTTTAAAAAAATAACATAGAGGCGGAGATTTTCAGACACCGCAGACGAGATATGTGATTGCGGACTTACGCCGTCGAAATGCAAGAACTTCCTCGGTAAAAATCGGCAATAGGAGCTGCGTTTCAAAATACCATAGGAGTTCTTATAGCTGACTGAAGAAGGCGATAGACAATCATATAGCTGGCTGTAGAAAGTGGATAAAATCATACAGCCGGGCTACACGAAGCGATAAAAAATTATACAGCCGGGCTATAGCTCCTATCGTCGGGCTTTACACTTTATCGCCTGGCTGTTGCTTTTTCGCCATCGTCTATAAAAGGCTATAAGAAATTGTGTAGATATTCGTGTGCTTTGTAAATCCTTAAGTTTGTACGGAATCACCTTAATATTTACAGAACGCACATTATATTTTCCTGTACTACAATTTTTTTTTCATCAATTAAAATGAGAATAATCCATACAGAGTGTGCAAACATTTCAAAGTCATGAGTTGAAAAACGCTGACTCCACGAGATTAAATATTAGAGCTTAACACAAAGCAGAGCGGCGGCGCACTGGCGCGTACAAACCTAACAGGGCTACTTCTCGCATTGCGCAATGCGTGAAGTATCCCTGTTTAGGTTTGTAGGCGCCAATGCGCGTTCAGCGCGAGCTGCCCGACCGCCGCGCCGCAGCGTACCACGGCGCTTGAAGCAACTATTTCACACCAGAAGTATTGCACAGTATCATACGAAATTGAAGGCGCTCCAACATATTAGGAATGGCAGGCATCCTTCAAAAGTACGGAGCTTTCCTCTCAAAATAAATCAAGAAACTACGGCTCAAAATGAGAGCGGTAGTCCAAAAACTCACTAAGTCCTAGCATCCGTACGTATGTTTAGCATACCTACACGTTTAGCATACACTTAATCGCCAGGCTGTTACTTCATCGCCATCGGCTATAAAAGGCTATAAGAAATTGTGTTGCCGGCTATAGAAGCTATTGGAAATCTTACAGCCGGCTGTAGGTCTATGGTATATGTATTTTGAAACACAGATCTTACTGCCAATTTTTACCAGGGTTCAAAAGTAAGCCTGACAGGGGATTGGTCTTAGTCTTATTTGAAACATAGGCTTATTAGTTTTTTAAAGAGACGAAGATCAACTCATTCGGTTGAAAATTAAAAAGTTATAGACGTTTGAAAAGCGAATGTCGTGTCGCCACCCACGACTTCTAAGAAAGGATTTCCGCCCACCGAAATAAGTCTTTAAAAGTCAGGAACAGCGAATTACGCGCGCGCGTCAAGGGCCCAAGCAGCACAATGCAACGAAAATATTGAAATTAAATTGTAATGTGATTTCAATAAAATTGTAATTTTTTCACCATTGAATTGCAATATTTTTACACCATTTAGTCGATTTATGCCGATTTTAAACAATCAACAAAATGAACTCCATGTGTCAGAAAGATAGGCAATATGCATTGCAATGAAAAATTGCAATTTATCTCAATTTTATCGCAATAAGTTTCAATAAATGGGGGCCCTTCAAATAAGAGGTAGGCAACATACATAACTCTCAGTGGAATTGCAATATTTTTACAATGTAATTGCTACTTATTGCAATTTTTGCCACTTCGGGGGTCGTCTAGCACTGGTGCACTCTACTGTCGGCATAGCTTTGGCTAGAGATTACCTCGATTTTCGGAGTGCGGTCTAACAGAAGAATAAATTTTGAGTCTTACATCAGCTTCAAAATGCGGGCATCCTCAGCTTGAACGATTAGACTCTTGATCATGCTCACATTATCTGCTGTGGATGTGGCCATCCTGGATATGTTCTTCCGCAGTTCATCTAAATTTTCCATGGAACGCTTCAGTTCCTCATGAATAGTAGGGAATTCCGCAATTGGCTAGAGAATGAAAAGAAAACAAGCAGAGCCATCAATTCCAAGCATAAATAAAGAGCCTTGTTAAAAATGGGTCGAAATTCGCCCCTTTTTAGGCCCTCGATTTTGCAAACGGGAATTGCGCCGAATTGTTGCATATGATGCCTTAAGTCTCTGGTAAAAATTTCAGCTTGAGTTGAAAAGTGGTTTCGGAGATACGGGGGGGTGAAGTGGGGGAGTTGAGCGGCTGGCGTGCGCTATTTCCGCGGCTGTTCCTCGCCAAATCTTCGTTTTGATGTCACCCGTTACATCTTTTTTCATGTAATTTTTCGCGTACTTTCCATTTCTGGCCTTAAAAATTACTTACAACCACTTTTCAAGGCGCTAGGGGGTGAAA